AATCATCTCATGTTATATATAAGTAATGTATGTGGGAATTTTCACAGGTTTGATATGTTGATGGTTTCTAGCGAGATAATTCTTAAGCTTAAACTTTACATGCATTGTGTCCTCATTGTAAGTAAAACTCCGATATATCTGCTATTGTGATAAGAAATTTAGTGTTATTTGTAGATCATATTCTGATGGAATTCTGAATTCTGTAGATGAGATTTCTTGAACATCACCAGTAAGTGAGATAGTGAGTGAGTGAGTGAGTGAGTTAGAGTAGATAAAATTTCTTGAAAATCACGAGTAGGTGAGATGGTGAGTGAGTGAGATGGTGGGTGGGTTAGTGAGCGAGTTAAGTTTTATGCTGCTTTTGGTAATGTTCCACCAATATCAACTGGGTGTCCGGCGTGACGTGCGAACGCGTTCACCACTGGGGTCACCCACCGCCCCGGCTTGATGTGGGGGGGGAGAGCCTGAAGTAACGCAGTTTTCGGACATGTACTTTCGACAAACCATGGGTATGACGCTCACAAACCTAGAAACGTAATCATGGCAAACCGGAATTCAAACCAGTACGTCATCTGCACAGCGAACTGTCGCGCCGTAGACTTGGTTGACACATATCATTGTATCCCAATTGCGTAGATCGATGCTCATGTTTTTGATCACTGGATTGTCTGGTCCAGACTCGATCTTATCTCCTGTCATCAGGTAAACAGTGATTAATGAAAACACCACAAATCACGTTATTATCTTTTTGCATTAAAATAGGGCTTAACATAAAAAAATGCACAGTTACTTTATTCCGCTAGTATATAATATGGTGTCAACCGGCTACATTAGAATCTGACTAATACATTAGCTACTGGACTGAAAAACACAACCCCCTAAAAGACCCGTGGAGATCCGGGGTAGAATAGGTCTTCAGCAACCCATGCTTGCCACAAAAGGCGACTATGCTTGTCGTAAGAGGCGACTAACGGGATCGGGTGGTCAGGCTCGCTGACTTGATTGACCCATGTCATCTGTAACCAACTGCGCAGATTGATGCTCATGCTGTTGATCACTGGATTGTCTGGTCCAGACTCGATTATTTACAGACCGCCGCCATATAGCTGGAATATTGCTGAGTGCGGCGTAAAACTAAACTCACTCACTCACTCACTCACTCACTCCCAAGTCATGCTGCGTCTGCTGTAATGTTTGAGATTTGAGACGCGCCCCCAAGATCGTAACGATTTCTACTTAATGCTGGAATTATTGATCATTCTTTGAATTAGATAAAAGATAAGGATTCTTTTGTCACAAACGGGCTACATAATTTAGGAACCAATCAAAATATTCAAGTCGTTATGAGATGTGTTTTCTTTTAAATACGTTTATCTTTGGACCTGCCAGGTGAGGGTAAGGCTGAAGGGTGCAGAAACGCGCGAGGTTGTCGTGAAATACATGCCTTCCTAGCAGTTGCTACCTTTCGGTCTCATTTATACCAACTTTAGTGGAGATGTCGTGTTAGGATTGGTCCCGGCAGCCTATGCTTGTGGAAAGAGCAGGCTCCATGACGGGCGGGGCGGTGGGACAGCGGTAAAGCGTTCGCTCGTCACGCTGAAGACCCGGGTTCGGGTCACATGGGTACAATGTATGAAGTCCATCTCCTGTGTCCCCCTGCCGTCATACTGCTGGCAAAAAGTTTAAAGTAGCGCAAAACTAAACTCACTCACACAATGTGCAGATGGCCATTCACTCACCTCACTCACCTCACCTACCTCACCATACTCAATGTGTAGATGGTCATTCACTCTCAGTGTGCAGATGGCCACTCACTAACTCACTCACTCACTCACTCACCTCACCTCACCTCACCTCACCTCACCTCACCTCACCTCACCTCACCTCACCTTCCTCACCACATCTCGACTCACCTCGCCCAATGTGCAGATGGCCACTCACTCACTCACTTACTCACTCACTCAACTGAACTCAACTCACCTCACCTTCCTCAATTCAACTCACCTACCTCACCTCACACCTCACCTACCTCACCTCACACACCTCACCTAGCTCACATCACACCTCACCTTCCTCACCTACCTCACCTCACCTCACCTACCTCACCTCACCTAGCTCACATCACACCTCACCTACCTCACCTCACCTCACCTACCTCACCTCACACACCTCACCTAGCTCACATCACACTTCATCTTCCTCACCTACCTCACCTCACCTCACCTACTTCACCTCACCTACCTCACCTCACCTCACCTACTTCACCTCACAGCTCATTCAACTCACCTACCTCACCCACTCACCTCACCTACCTTACAAACCTCACCTACCTCACCTCACTCAATGTGCAGACACCACTCACTCACTCATAGGTCGGGTAGTCATTGTGCAGATGGCCTGTTAGGTCAGGAGGTACTAGAAACCCGTGGTTGTTGGCTCGGGTCATGTTCACCAAAGTTTCTGCATCTGTCAGCACCATACTCGTACGTGTTGGTTCCATCGAAATGGTAAATGTCTGAGACCTGCATCACTTCCGGCTTTCCTCCTGACACGCTGGAACACTTTCAGAACCACTGATCACTCGTTCAAACTGGAAACCTTTATAATAAGCCCACATTTAATTCCTAATAATAAACCCACAGAGGGCAGTTTTACAATACCGGTAGTGAATGAGTAAGTAAAGATTTAACGTCACCTCGGCAATATTTCAGCCATATAGTGAGTGAGTGAGTGAGTTTAGTTTAACGTCGCTTTTAGCAATATTCCAGCAATATGACGGCATGGGACACCAGAAATGGGCTTCGCATGTTGTATCCATGTGGGGAATCGAACCCGGTTCTTCGGCGTGATGAGCGAACGCTTTAACCACAAGACTACCCCACCTCCCATTATACCTAAGACCAGGGCCTAGATATTCGAAGCTCTCTTAGCGCTAAGAGTGAGTGAGCTCAGCAATATTCCAGCTATATGGCGGTATTCTGTACATACTCGAGTCTGGACCAGACACTCCAGTGATCAACAGCATGAACATCGATCTGCGCAATTGGGAACCGATGACATGTGTCAACCAAGTCAGCGAGCCTGACCACCCGATCCCGTTAGTCGCCTCTTACGACAAGCATGGGTTACTGAAGGTTCATTCTAACCCGGACCTTCACGGGTCTTAGCGCTAAGAGAGTCAGTCGTAAGTTAACGTTAATGTATGGCACTTTCGACTATCTTAGCGTTAAGAGAGCTTCGAAACTGTAGGCCCAGGGTTCGATTCCTCGCATGGTGTTGAATGTGAAAATTTCATTTTGGTGACTCCTCGGGGGTAATTGTGTCACGAGTTTGATTTTCGATTGAAAAGGCTTAAATTAGCAATATTATACGAGCAACAAATTAATTGGATTTATTCTTGTTCTGTATTCTGATTCAAAGAATAAGTCCACGTGTGTTTTTCATAAAACTTTCGAAACTTAAAATGCAAAAGGGCGCAGTTTTTACACATCTCCCAATGAGTATCATCTTAGCTTTGAAAATCAATAAATTTGATATTATTTTGTGACAAAATGCACACTGTTTCAAAAATAAACGGGTCAAGTGGTTGCGAATTGTGTATTTACCCACTTCCAAAATGAAACCAAATGTTTGCACACAAAAAAAGGGCGGTGGGGTAGCCTAGTGGTTAAAGTGTTCGCTCATCACGCCGAAGACCCGGGTTCGATTCTGCACACGGGTACAGCGTGTGAAGCCCATTTCCAGTGTCCCCCGCCATGATATTGCTGGAATATTGAAAAGCGGCGTAAAGCTAAATTACTCACTCACTCACAAAGTCCCAACCACGGATTACATTTCACAGACTGTTTCAGTTATGAGCGGTGGTAACATCGATGTAATCAAATTTAACAAGATTTTGTTTAATTTTCATACACATACAATCTCAGTGCACTCTCTTTTGTCCGTCAGGATATGTTGAGAACTGCCGCGCTGAGGATTCCCGAGCAAATTCAACCCACTGTAATTCAGTACGGATTCAGTTTATCAAACCTAATAGTGATAGCCATTTACCTATGCTCTATGATGGGACCGATAAGGGTTATATCTGCTGTAGTGTTCATATGTTTGTATGTCTATTTGTTGTTAACATGTCACGTAATATTATTACTCTCTGATGGCTACCTGTAAGTTTGTTTGTTGTTTAACGCCGTACTCAGCAATGTTCAAGCTTTATGGCGGCGGTCTGTAAATAATTGAGCCGGGACAAAATGATCCAGTGATCAACAGTGTGAGCATCAATCTATGATCTTGACAGTGGAGTCTTGACATAACATTACACAGAATGATATTATTGTTACCCGGCGGAGATGCGATGCCAGCTGACAGCGACGTCACCAAACCGGACCACATAGTCCACCTCGTCAACAAACCTGACCACCTGATCCACCTTGTCACCAAACCTGACTACCTCATCCACCTCGTCACCAAACCTGACCACCTCATCCACCTCGTCACCAAACCTGACTACATAGTCCACCTCGTCACAAACCTGACTACCTGATCCACCTCGTCACCAAACCTGACCACCTGAACCACCTCGTCACCAAACCTGACTACCTAATCCACCTTGTCACCTATTACAGCCAGAACAGTTTGAGTTCGAATCCCCACATGGGTGCAATGTGTGAAGCCCATTTATGGTGTCCCCCGCCGTGAAATTCCGGGAATATTGCTATAAAGCGGCATAAAATTTTAACCATACTCACTCACTACTAGTGAGTCAGTAGTGTAATAACAATCCCAGATTTGCACAGTATTTAAGTCCAGTTCGATGAGAATATCGATTTGTCAATACACGGGCAGTCAACAGAACCACAAAGATTCATTGCAACATAACGAAACGTATTCATACATACCAGGGCTGACATGATTACACTGACACACAGGCCATTGTTATTGCTTATGTGACCGTGGAAGGGCTGTTGCTAAGGACGCTATAATATGGATTACAAGTACCCGGAAGTATGGACGGCCCAATCTGTGACAGCCATACCAGAGCCAGGGATCACACACTGGACATAACTTTGTGATTTAGTGTCATTCCTGAATGCCATGGGTTGTGGCAGCAGCCAAAGCGGCCAAACACAGCCGGACCATGCCTTGCCACATCCGAGGCAGCCATTTTCAAGCAGGTATGCTATAATATCATATTAATGTAAGTTATCCATTGTTTCATGCACTTCAAAGAGCTTATAGCAGCCTTGATGCATACATATTGTACCGTATTGGTTAAGAATAATGGATGCCAGCAAATAAAACCATGTTGTTATTAATAATATTGCTTCGGAAATGGAGTGTGTTGTGTAACGAAGGGAGACAACTCACCATAATGTTAGTGTTGTTCCCACTACAAAGAAACGGCTGTAAAATGGCAACCTATCAGGATCGCGAAATGGCCGTATTATATATACTGCTTCACCTTTCGCTTCTGAGCTTTGTTTTGGGTTCAATTCCCAACTTCTTAACAATCAATGACTAATTTTAAATCCTTCGTGGTTATACCGAGGTAATATTTGAGTGGTGTGTTTTTCGCAGTATCTGACCCAAGATCACTGGTACCAGTACTGTTTAAGGGTGACAAAATATGTAAGACTTATTTTTGTTGAATAAGCTGCTAGGATTTTTATGTTGGTAAAACAAGTATCTGAAGATTTTAAATTCCATCTTGTAGTTTCCTTCCTAAATGTCGTGCATAAATTGTCACACAGAAATTATGATATTTGGGACGAGGTGTGAAGAGGGACATTTTGGTCCAAAGAAAATATGAAATGTTTGAGACACGGATTTTGTTATGATATCAGTATGAAAAATATCAAACTTATTTAAATTATATAAATATGTTATCTATGTTGTAGCGACATAATATCATCAATATAAAGTAACGAAAAAGACAACTCCAAAAATAGTTACGCAAAAAAACGTCCTTCGTTTTGGGATAAAGTTTCGCTTGTTATAAGCGCTCGATGGATAGATAAAAGATGTGAAGAAAGCTGGAGTCAGTGTGTGTGGTATCATGCCGCTATTCGACCAATATCATTGCGGGGACACCGGAAATGGGCTTCATACTATACACATATGGGGATTCGAACCCGGACTTTCAGCTTGACCAGCGATCGTACCCTATCACCCATTGGATGCATGAAGTGATGTAGATTTTAGGAGTTTTCCACTTTGTCGAAACCCACTTGCAGGAATGGTGTTCTGCAAATTAAGGATCGTAGTCGAAATGAATAATTTATTAACATATAATCCCAGTACCCAACAACTGCTTCTCGAATAATGAATACTGTCTCATGTGTCACTTGTTGTGTTTTTCAACAGCGAGGATAACCGTGATAAACTGTGTACACCCATACACATACAGGAAACACTTCATGTCTCACGTGGCAATACAACTGACGAGGCCACAGTGGGTCGAACGGCAGATCCGAAAGAGAGAAACCCGGAAATAAATTCATCGGCAGGTGAGGATTCGAAGCTCCGCGAGGAGATTCCGAATGAAGAAACGAATCACCGCGAAGAAATTCCGAATGAAGAAACGAAGCACTGCGAAGACATTCCGAATGAAGAAACGAAGCACCGCGAGGACATTCCGAATGAAGTTGAACCGACAACCGCGACAACACCTACTACAGACGCAGGTCCAACTGGCAGTAGTGGTAGTCTGGTAACTGAGTCAGATATGCCCAGACAGGAGGAGATTAGGGGGAACGATTCTTTGGATAAGAATCAAGAACCACGTGTCATACCGGAGCTACAATACGGAGACTCTTCCAAACAGGCAATGGTCGATGTCGCGGAACATTCGGAAAACCCTCGGTCTGAAATCCAAGAGCGAGGTCAAAATGATCAAGAGGTTCTGGGAAGTTCTGGGAATACAGCCACAATTGTAGCGAGTAGTCCAACCATTGGTGAACCAGGATCATCAAAAGAACATGACAACGACACCCCTGTTTCCATAGACACTAAAGACAACGACAACGACGACGGGGACTGGACTGATGAACGAGGTTCGGAACACCAGGAGATGTCTGTGTCTATTGACGATATCAAGCAGGGTCTACTCTATGGGGATGCAAGCGTCCAGTGCCCAAAGACAGCAAAGATAGTAAGGATCTTCATTAGCAGTACATTCACAGGTGAGTATCAAAAAGCTGAGTGCGAGTGCGTGTGCGTGCGTGCGTGCGTGTGTGTTTTGAAGTTAGTGGTTGTGGGTGAGTATGGTGGTCCAGTAGATAAAGCGTCCCGCTAAAGGGTGGCAGATCCCCGGATCGATGCCCGAGTGGCATCATACAGAGTTATCTTAACGGATGGTATTTGACGTAATCGTCAGATCTGGGTTATAAAGAACGTCCCAACCAAGGCCAAAACCCTAATGTGAGAATTATGGATGTATGAGTTTGGTTTAGAGTAACTTTGAACCGTATTTCAGTTATCTCAGAGCATGTCAATTTACAGTGGGGACAAGATGACAACATGCATGCCCTAGACATTTTAGCATTTTGACATCATGCTTGCCCTAGACATTTTAGCATTTGGACATCATGCTTGCCCTAGACATTTTAGCATTTGGACATCATGCTTGCCCTAGACATTTTAGCATTTGGACATCATGCTTGCCCTAGACATTTTAGCATTTCATGATACGCATGAGCGAGATGTTGATAAGCCCAAAAGCACACGTACTAAGCAGCATTCAAATCCATAGTTTTCTAGTTCTTTAAATGCATTTATAAGTTGGACGAACATGACACGTTTTAAGTTCTTTTATATTCTCTTAACGACGTTTCAGAGCTAATTCTTTCTCTTTCATTATTCACCTGATGAAGGAGTAAGAATGGATAACAAAGTTCTTTCGTATTCATTACACGACGTTTCAGAGCTAATTCTTGCTCCTTCATCTTTCACCTGATAAAGGAGCAAGAAGTTGTTATCCATAAAACGTGTCATGTATTCATAGTTTGCTCATAAACCTAAGGGACATATCTCTGTACGAATGTCGATGCCTTAAAGCATAAAACAGACAATAGACCAACCGAGAGGTGTTGTTGTACCAGACACGACGCAGGAGAGGAACTGCTTACTGGAGAGGAGCTACCCCCGACTCAAGGCCGTGTGTAAGAAGAAAGGGTACGAGTTTCAGCTGGTGGACATGAGGTGGGGGGTGGGGCAAGGAATAGCTAATGATCACATGACCAGTGACATGTGCTTCCGGGAAATCAAACTCTGTCAGCAGCTCTCAACAGGGCCCAACTTTGTGGTGAGTAGACCGTCTCACAGTAATAAAACCACAGTATATTCCGTTCCGCCCAGCCCTTACTGTTATGCAAAAGCCCTAAATGTAGCCACTTCAGTGTGGCTTCTTTTGCCATTTAAGTAGATTTCTTTGTTCTAAATCAAAAATATATTTTTTGGAGACTAAACATTACTCTATGTGATTGTGATCGGCTTCATTGCGGCTGTACAGCGCGAAAACATTCCTTCAGCCAAGCCAAAAACATCCTCGATAATCTCCAGGGTATAAGTTACGATCACTCTCCACTACACTCTGGATGCATCCACGGCTTGGCCCGATAATTATATTACCTCCCTTTGCTGGCCCCGCATTCTCACAGTATCCAATCAGCTTAGCCGCCGTTACTTGCCAGTATCAACAAAGATAGCGGTTGCAGTCGCGAAGGTTTGTTCGCAGTGCCACTCAGATTTTTGGGGAAATGATACTGACAAATTGACAGATCTGAAACAAAAAGTATATGAAAGAACTCCTTCTACCTCTTTCAGAGTACCTCTGCATCAGTTGAGTTGCTAAGTTCAAACGGTTAGATAATTTAAGGAGCGTAAGTGAGTTGTGATTGGTTCGCGCAACTTCCCAGCGTAGGCACCTGATTGGATAAAAAGCCAGCCAAGGGAGGTAATAAATTTAAAATCATCGGGCCAAGCCGTGGGTGCATCCAGGGTTTAGTGGAGAGTGATCGTAACGTATACCCTGGAGATTATCGAATATGAGCCAAAAAGGGACTTATAAGAACATTATTTTGGTCATACAAGAATGTTTAATTATATTTTTTGGAGTATTTTTCTTAGAAGCTGATTCTACGAAAGGAAGGAGTTTGCTTTAAAGGCTACATAAATCAACGTTTCACACATTTCGTCTTTTTCGTGGTTTCGCACATTAAATTTCGGGGTATGAATGTTATTATGTAATAAGAAGACTGAAGATCGTTTGATATTATGTTTTATGTCAAACATATAATTGGAGATTCCAAAGACATTGTCGTTTATATCTTTAAACTTGATACAAATATACATTATTGAGTTTTTCCTCTTTTCCTTCTATCGCTAGCTACTTTCGTGAAGTTGGGCAATGGGTGACCGCAGAATACCGATGTGGCACGGGGCGGCGGGGTAGCCTAGTGGTTTAAGCGTTCGCTCGTCACGCTTAACACCCGGGTTCGATTCCCCACATGGGTACAACTTGTGAAGCCCATTTCTGGTGTCCCCTGTCGTGATATTGCTTGAATATTGCTAAAAGCGGCGTAAACCCATACTCACTCACTCACTCAATCACTCACCGATGCGATATTGCAGACGCTGTTATCTCACAAGTATGGCTACTATGCATATCCACGTCAGATCGAGGCTCAACTCTACAGACAGCTCATAGCGACTGTGACGTCAGAGGAGAATAAGGCGCTCATGGAGAAGCAAGTATACTGAAAACCGTCATAATTCCATAATAAAGGTCCGTTAGAATTGGCCTTCAGCAACCCATGCTTGTCGTAAGATCCAATAAACGGGATCGGGGGGTCAGGCTCGCTGAGTTGGTCAACATCGTATCCAACCAGTCTAAGTAAACTTAGGCTCAGTAGTATTCGTTACACTGCTTATACTGAGTCTAATAAACCCTAGTAGAAAGTCGCGTCAGCAAACCTTTTCAATTGACCAATCAGAACACAGCTTACCAAATCGCGAAAGTTGACATTCGCACATACCTTTTGAACTTTTACCTCGGAAAAGTTTGTACCTGAACGATTCCGAATGCTTTTTTTCCGTACGATCGCTTCCAAGTGATGCAGATTGCCACAACAACGAGTAAACAGTCGTTAAAATGGCGTTTTTGTCAATATTTAAGGATCTCAGCTTGCGGAAATATAAGCTCATAGTAACCATGTCATCAGAAAGCCCTAAGCGTATATACTGCAGGTCAAATAAATGTGTTTTATGCGGATTTTCGTTTGTTGAGAGATAAGTGTCAACGACCGGGGAAGTGAAAATTCAAAAACCATTTTGTAAGTCCCGCCAAACCCTAAATAGTAGCCATTGTCTGATTGGTTAAATCCGTTCGGCCGTCTCGCATTTGATTGGACGGTCATAGGTCTCTCAAAGGTTAGCTGAAGCAACCTTCTACTAGGTTTTTTTTAGATTCAGTATAGCAGTGTATCGAATAATACTGAGCCTAAGTTTACTTAGACTGCGTATCCAAATTGCGTAGGTCGGTGCTCACTGATCACTGAATTGTCTTGTCCAGAATCGACTATTTACAGAGTGGAGCCATACAACTGGAATATTGCAGAGTGCAATGTTAAACAACAACCAAACAAAGCCAAACAAATTCGCTGCATAGAGTGGCGCCAGACGGTTATGATCATTGGCTCGGAATTCTAATTTGCAAATTTTTTATTATCACTCATTCACTGTTTCAGGTGGTTCATTGAAGACACCAACGCCGACCCACCCCAATACATACTACTCCCCGTCAGCACACACTACCCTCAGTTCATGTCCCCTGACTTTGACGTTTACAACAAGAACCGGAAACTGTGGAGCAATGATTGTAACGGCATCATAAACATTCTCATAGCGGCTGCCAAGGAGGTCTTTGATGAGGAAAAGGCTTCAAGCTTCATTCTCGGGGGTAAATGGTTTATTATGTGGGTTTGTCGGCATGCCGGGAACATAAACACTCTCATAGCGGCTGCCAAGGAGGTCCTTGATGAGGAAAAGGCTTCAAGCTTCATTGTCGGGGGTAAATGGTTTATTATGTGGGTTTGTCGGCATGCCGGGAACATAAACACTCTCATAGCGGCTGCCAAGGAGGTCCTTGATGAGGAAAAGGCTTCAAGCTTCATTGTCGGGGGTAAATGGTTTATTATGTGGGTTTGTCGGTATGGTGGGATCATAAACACTATCATAGTGGTTGCCAAGGGGGTCCTTGATGAGGAAAAGGCTTCAAGCTTCATTCTCGGGGGGTAAATGGTTTATTATGTGGGTTTGTCGGTATGGTGGGAACATAAACACTCTCACAGCTGCTGCCAAGGAGGTCCTTGATGAGGACAAGGCTTCAAGCTTCATTCTTGAGGTAAAAGGATACCGCAGTATATAAGCAATCCATGATGTTTGTTTCAGTTGGCGCGGTGGGGTAGCCAAGTAGTGAAAGCGTTCGCTCGTGACGCCGAAGACATGGGTACAATGTGTGAAGCTTTTATATCTTGTCCCCCGCCGATATATCGCTGGAATATTGCTAAACGTGGCGTAAAACCATATTTACTTGGTTTCAGTGACAGAAAGAGAGATTGAAGAGGGCATACTGAAGAACTTCAGGAGTGATGAATGTTTTTGGCTGAAACGGGAGATTCGGGATCTCGATCTAGGACATAAAAGTATATCCAGATATAAAGGTGATTCACACGGTTCTCCTTTGCCTCTAATACCTTGGGTAAATTGATGACAATAATATCATTCCAAGTGTTATTTATCAGCTACTTTAGCTGATTATTGGGTGGTCTACCTCAGTGACTTGATGGTGGGGGCGGTGGGGTAGCCTAGTGGTTAAAGTGTTCACTTGTCACGCTGAAGACCATGGTTCGATTCCCCACATGGGTACAATGTGTGAAGCCCATTTCTGGTGTCCCCTGACGTGATATTGCGGGAATGTTGCTTAAAGCGGCGTAAAACCATATTCATTCAGTGACTTGATCGGCATCAAGCACGGGATGGTCTGGACCAGGCGTCGTAGTAGAAAGTCGTAGAACTTTGCTGAATACGGCGTAAACATATTTCACAGTATTATATATTATGATGTCCGACAGTAGTATACCTTGAGGCCAATTTGTTTAATGGTAGCGAGGAAAGGGTGTTTACGTTAAAAGACGCTGCTGCTATTGTATTTTGATTCAGACACTGTGGGCGAGGACGACTGGGCTTTACGGAACGCTCGGCTCTTTGACAACCTTGAGATGCAGCTGAAGGCAACACTCCCTGCGTCCAGTATAGAGACGATTTCAGTGGACTGGTCAGATAATGGTAAGTGCTACTAGGGACACAACAACCTGCGTCCAGTATAGAGGGGATGCGGGTGGACAGGTCATATATAGGTGTAGGTGTCACAATTAGTGATGGTCCGACTAGCTGGAATAATCGAAGATTGGTTGCAGTGACTAAACGACCAAGCAATCGATCATGTTTTCTCACAATCAAACACAAACAATTTTCGGTCAGTTGTTTGCATTAACACTAGTTTTCACACGGTTAGCTTTGTCTGTTAAGCTCGTTCCAAGTCATGATTGAATTTATCTTAAAGACTCCAGGAAATTTATCTCCCTAACATACTAGTCTTCCTTTAAATATGTGAAATTTGCAAATGCATTTTGTGCAATTTGCACACAAAAAAACCCCGAAAGAATTACTTGTTTTTCCTTTATTTTTTGTGCATTAACAAACATAACCAGGAAAATTTGATAAACAACATTAACTGATTCTTTTCAATGATTGATCGGTCGTAATGAACCAATCATCAGTTATGAGAATTTAACCAATTCCTAACACTAGTTACAATACTTTTTCTTTCAGCAATGGTATATGTGTAGAATATATATGTTCACAATATGAATACGTAATTGACAGGTATCTTCACACATGTCCCTCACACGTTGGTAAAGTATATGAGTCACTACCAAAATTGGTAGGATTTTCAATTCTTTATTACAGTAAAATCAAACTCCTCAAATCTGATTTAATTTTTATTCAAATAAAATCTCAAACACTTTATTATTCAAAACTACAAACATGCAGACTCAAATCAGAATAAAGATTTTGAAATATAATTCATAAACATCTTTTAAAGATGGCAAACACAGCTTTTACACCAACTTAATCAAACTTGAAGGTAAAACCTGTTATCATGAATCTTGAAAGTGTTATTTTGTCTCTTTCGTTAATTTACCACAAAATAATAGCATTTTTCTAAACCATTATTATGTACATTGCTTTCAACTGGTGAAATTGACAAAAATAAACATGTGCTACTCAACTCAGAGCATCTTTTGATGACACCAACATAAAGAGGAGTGTTTCATGTATTATCATCAATTGACTAGAGCAGTCAATTAACACCAGTAACGGTTAGGACAATAGTGGTAACGGTTAAAGATTAAATTCTGAAAGGTACATCAACAACTATGATACTGTACACATGGTCATGCTACACAGGCAACTGCATGTATATATATAATTTTGCTGTTGGTATTTTGGTGCAATATAAATTTTCATGAAATATCTTTCTTTCGTTCAATTGGATAACCTTTAGTTTTTGTTAATATTGAGATGGTAATACATGTTTATCAAATTCAAAGATTTGGCCAACATATTAGCACCTAGCAATATCCTAAGTAAATGGTAGTCTTACATATCTCACAGTTAAACATTACACCAAAAAAATCTTTAAAGGTTGGAATACAATTAAGCCGATTACCGTTACTACATTTTGTCCAAACTGTTACCATAGATTTCCTAACTGTTACCTTTAATTCATAAAGACTATCGATCTTATAGAAAATAACAACTGAACATGATAAATTAGTTTTGGTATTTATCATTTAAAACAGAAAGATAAGAAAATAGAAAATATTCTTCAAAACTGAATGTCCAGACTGCTACTATTATTTGTCCAAACCGTTACTAGAGAATGTGTTTTCATCTCACCTCTCAGATGTTAATAGTTTTTGCTATTACCCTTACAACATACCGCCAACATGTTCTGTTGGCTGTCATATTACGCCTAGGCCTTAGGACCGTCACCTCCGGACGGAGTAAATCTGCCAATTTTTGACCCCAAAATGTGGTTAAGTACAAATTTCAAAATGACAATACTAATGATATACAACATTTACTGACTAGTAAACATCTAAATATGTTTTCTAGTGCAAAAAATCCTTTTAAACTAACAGAGTTTTTGTTTATTTGGAATGGACAGAAAATACTACCAATATTGAAAATGACCAATATAACTATCACATCCTCATGGCAAATGGTTTGAAGATTAAGTGTCTCAATGCCTCAACACTTGTCAATTTGCGATGTTTGTTTATTAAATTCATGCGATCTAAAATTGATTCCAGCCATTGACCCATATTCAAACCCTAAGCACAGAAAGTACACTGACGAACTGTGTGAGGCGTTTGAAACCCGAGTGGAGGACACGTTCAACAGGGCAGCAGAAGCCCTGAGTTCCGAGGGTCTGCATGACAGACTACTAGCGGAGCTGGCCCAGCATACAGCCTTAGCGCAGGCCAAGTGCAAGGACTTTTATGGAAGAGAAGACTTAATGAAGGTGGGTTTTCACAATCGTATACTCGATTTCATTGCCCATCTCCTCTTGCAGGAAAAGAAGTAGTCTTAAAACAGTAATTAACTGTCTGAATAAATCTAAAATAATTCACGGATGTTTGTGAGTATGGTTTTACGCCGCTTTTAGGGACCATTCAAAATGTATGGCTGGGGGTTGTGATGATGATTTGTATAGAGTAGCAATCACAATGAATCCCCCCCCCCCTAATATTTTATGTAGAAAGTAAGGGATCCCCCTTCATGTCATGTACAAAATCAGACACACACACACACACACACACACACACACACACACACACACACACACACACACACACACACACACACACACACCTTCCCATAATTTTTAAGCATGATTTTTTTGTATTTTATGTACAATATTGCTGCTCCCCACCCCAGTAAATGTGTACAAATTGATTGGTGACACACACACCCCTACCTTCCCAGAACAAAATGGGTGACCCCCTTAAAATCATATCTCACACACACACACACACACACACACACACACACACACACACACACACACACACACACACACACACACACACACCAACCTCCCAACCCACCCCACCCTCCAACCCCCAAGCCGGCCAACCAAAATTATACTACCCATCAAAAGTTTAGACTTACTTAAAGCACTCACTATATGTTATGTATATATACACGGTTACATCGAAGATGAATTTCTCCACTAACTTAGGGGAACCATCTGCAAACCTTATGCAGTTGAACTGCACGAGGATCATGCATCATTTTTCTGAAAAGCATGTGTATTTATTGTGCAAGTGAACAGCTGCGTTTTGGTGAAAAGTTTTGTTAAGAATTCGCCAATTTTCACTGAGTTTCATGATTTACTGAACTAATGAATTAAATATTTTTTCAACGTTACAAATTTGTTTATACGTCAGTTCATGTGTAAACAGTACCTTTAAACATTATGGAATATTTAGCAAAATCTGGTTTAAAACAGTTAACTGAAGTAAGTGGCTACATTTACACTAGTGAGTCTAAACTTTTGATGGGTAGTATATCAACGGTCCCTGAGCAATATTCAAGCAATATCACGGTGGTCTTCATACAACGACACCATAAATGAGCTTCATGCATCGTACCCATTTGGGGAATGGAACCCGGGTCTTCGGCGTGTCGAGCAAACACTTTACCCACCATTTCACAAGGGGGCTGATCTGGCGGACTGAAATGTTGTAGTGCTCCAAACGCTTTTCAGGAGCCCATCTTGGCTGCTTCCAAATAGAGCAGATTACCCAAGGTTTGATTAATGCTAAGTATATACAAGATTAAGCAAGGTCACCATGGTAATACAGAACTCTGAAGACGTATTATTGTAATATTGCAGAAAATCAAGTCGTATCTCCTTTCTGAGAAAGTACCGAAAAAGCCTTTGCTTATATCTGGAACTTCCGGAAGTGGCAAAACAACAGTCATTGCCAGGACAATGAAGGAGGCTTTAGAATGGAGAGATGGAAAGGTTGCTATAGTTACCAGGTAACTTTGAATAATTAATGGCCATATGTTTATGAATATAAACACAACTTTCTGTTATGTAAGCGCTCTAACGTACGTATGTATAAGTATGTTTGTCTAATATGTTTTTCATCATATAAACGCTATAAAAATCGATTTTTCAACCAGGGGAAGCGAATTGTGATGAAAATGTGAGATATTTCTCTATGAATTATATATCAACCATTAAGGATTCAGGTAGCAGACGTCTAATGCATATTTAGTTACGTGATTGTCATGATCCTGTCATGTGATTGTCAGGATCTGTTTCGCATGCGGGTCAGGGTCGAACAATTATTATCCAAGATCGTTCCACATCCATGTTCATCGGTTTTACCGAATTTCAGTCTGCTGTAAGCGTAGCCTTTCTCCAGTATTGATCAATCACGATGCTCTGCTGCTGCTGAAATACTGTTTAAAATTATATCGAAGGCCTTTAAATGGCATTGAGAATTGATACACATAAGAGAGAGAGAGTTTTTTATGTGTGTCAACTTCTTTATTTTGAGAAACACAACGTTTTCGGAATCATTCACCAGATGAAGGAGTAAGGATATACTCCGAAACGTTATGTTCCTCATAATAAAGAAGTTGACATCAATATTGAAGGCGACAATTCATGGATGTCAACATTTTTTTTAGGAACACGGCTTTTCGGAGTATATTCTTACTCCTTCATCAGGTGAATGGATAAACTAGGTAAACGGATACAACATAAGTACATTTAAAACAACAATGGTGATAAAATAACCACAACGGAAGTAAATAGTAAATTAACACTGAATATGGAGCGAATGGACAAATAGAAGGAATGGATTATTAATGACATCAATGATGAGACAATGGTGACATATATATTCTAATACGTCGTGTTCCTCAAAATAAAGAAGCTGAGATCCAAACATTCTCGCCTTTATGTATATCACTTCTCAATGCCGTTCAAAGACCGGAAAACTATATTTCCTTATTCACTTCCTCACCCATAGGGGACCGCCTCCGTGGTGTAGTGGTTAGAGCGTCCGCCCAGAGAGCGGAAGGTCGCGGGCTCGATCCCCGACCGCGTCATACCAAAAGACGTTAAAATATGGTACTTGTTGGTCCCTGTCTGGCGCTCGGCATTAATGGGTACAACAAGGACTGGTCGGCTCGGAGTCAGTATAATGTGTCTGAGTGGGGTATTCATGCTTCACTGCGGCATGGTATCTCAGTGGGCTAGCACTATAAAACCAGCTTCAGTCTGGGCTAGTACAAGCAGCCGCACATACACATACACACGCATGCAATTCGTCATATGAGCTAAATATTCTCAAGAACGACGTTAAACCCAATTTCACCTCACCTCACCTCACCTCACCTCACCCATAGGTTCATCGGTACGACTCGAGAGAGCTCACGCGTGGGTACAGTGCTGGCTAGTATGACACGTCAGATCCAGAAGATATATGGCCAGGAAGGTGCTACAGACGTGAGTAAAATATGCTTCCGTGTTTTCTTTGTCTGTTGATCGGCCAAGATGGAGTTCAGGAGGCCCAGTTTTTTAGGACGATGCATGCGCAAAGACATATCCCTTAGGCACACCTGTGACTGTTGGTTCCAATCTCAGACTCTAGTTATGCATCTTGCTTTGTCTGCATTATACCCGTGTTCGTGGCTGTCAACAAATTGGTTAAAGTTTAAGACCTACGTGACTGCAGACTTTCCCCAATCTTCAAGCTGGCGCGTCGCGATGTCAATGTGATACCGCAGGACGCGTTGATCTTCTTGAACACCAGAGTGAGTGGGTGAGTATGGTTTTACGCCACTTTTAACAACATTCAAGCAATATCACGGCGGAAGACACCAGAAATATTGTACCCAAGTGGGGAATCGAACCCAGGTCTTCAGCGCGAGGAGCAGACGCTTTTACCATTAGGCTACCCCACCACCCCACTGGACACCAGACCACGCTTTTCATCTGTTTCAATTTACGATATAAGTTCAGGTATATTTGTCCCTATGTTGTATAATCTTTACGGGATAAAGTTGTTTGGATACCCAGATATGGCAGATTACAGCAACGTGTACATCCATGAGTGAGTGAATGAGTGAGTGAGTGAGTTTAAAGGTGCTTTCAGTTGTATTATTGCGCGTCGGCATTAGGTAGATAGGAGGACTGAAGTGATACATCTCTGACAGGTCTACCGCGATCGTGGATAAGGCGCTTACAAGCCTAATCGGCACAAAACGGGATCCAAACCCACGATTATTGGTTTCTGGTACGAGTAATTAAGGGGCGCAACTCTTTACACGGCCACCTATATACCTACTACAGAGTAGTGTTGGGAATTGGTTGAAATGATGATTGGTTCATTACCAATGGGCAATCATCGAAAAAGAGTGGTTAGCGTAATTTTTCAGATTTTCCTATTCAGGTTGTTATTGCAGATACGTATAATGTGGTTCTCTGTTGTTTTTAGTTTTATTTAGAAACTGCCCATTCCGCATTGGCAAATTTCACATCCAATGTAAGCTGATGCTACTCGTTTTTTCAGAATGATGACTAATATTATCATGAACATAAACTTTCTGGAGTCTTCAAGATATATTCAGTCATGAGTGAGTGAGTTTAGTTTTACGCCGCACTCAGCAATATTCCAGCAATATGGCGGCGGTCTGTAAATAATCGAGTCTGGACCAGACAATCCAGTGATCAACAGCATGAGCATCGATCTACGCAATTGGGAAACGATGACATGTGTCAACCAAGTCAGCGATTCTGACCACCCGATGCCGTAGGTCGCCTCTTACGACAAGCACGGGCTACTGAAGATCAATATTCTAACCCGGACCTTGACATTTCAGTAAGCGGAGTGAGTTTTCTAAGAAGTTAACACGTTTCCAGGCCCTGACAGCTTCTAAGATATGTTTCATTGTCAAGTGTTTCAAACACTAAAACAGTAGTTCCAAAATCGTTTGTGTTCGATGATTAGAAAAGATGATCGATTGCGTGGTCGTTTGGTCACTGCGATTATTTCAATTAATTGGAACACCACTACTACAGAGTACAAAGGATATATATATAGATCGACTTGTTGGTGCCTGCCTGGCGCTCGGCATTAATGGGTACAACAAGGACTGGTCGGCTCGGAGTCAGTATAATGTGTCTGAGTGGGGTATTCATGCTTCCTGCGGCATGGTATCTCAGTGGGCTAGCACTATAAAACCAGCTTAAGTCTGAGCTAGTACAAGCAGCCGCACATACACATACACGCGCATTCACGTCGTCATATGAGCGAAATATTTTCAAGCACGACGTTAAACCCAATTTCACCTCACCTCACCTCACATATAGATCGAGACATTGCTACATCAGAAAAGGCAGGAGCAAATAAGACAGACAATGTACAAGTGTGAACATCTTAGTTTTGAATCCACTTCTAGGCCCTCGCGCGAAATATATGGTGGCGCAAGTACCACTCTGTTTTCTCAATGCTTCGTAGAAAAAAGAGAGGCGATAAGATGCAGCCTTGTCTTAAACCACCATACAGTCATTTCAGTTCTTACAGGACCTCATACATTAATATTCATGTTTTGTAAAAGGCGTTCACACTCCATTGCAATAGTACGCATGATAATTTGCACAACTCGACAGAAAAAATATTAGATGGATCTTTTACGCCACTGTTTGATTTGATGACATCTGTAAGACTCAAAGTTTGCTATTTATTAGATAATTCTTTTTGTTTCAAGAGTTACTGTTTAACAGTAAATGTGAAATATTCGCAATTTTACTTAGGCTTTTGATTCCTGTCTGTCGATTCGTGAACCGTAAAGTCGACATGGTCTTTACATACGTTTGAATTTATCTTTCAGGAGTTTCAAAGTTTCAATGAAACATGTATACGGTTCACGTCCAGCTTGAGCATGGCGACCGGAATCTGTCCACTTGTAGTGTTGCTGGACAGCTTCGAGCAGCTTGACCCCCTGGAGGAAGCCATGAACCTTGCTTGGATCCCAATACCTCTCCCACTTAACGTGAAGATTATCATCTCCTGCCTTGAAGAAGGGGACATCAAAAATAAGCTCACTGTAAATCTAGTTTTAATCTTTAGATACTATTTGAGATACCCTGAATAGTTGTATAAGGTTGAAAATGTAACTTAAAAGTATTTATTTATATTTTTAATGAGTGAGTGAGTAAGGCTTTACGCAGCTTTTAGCAGTATTCCGGCAATAAAGCGGCATTAAACCAAAACAACGTGTCAGTATGATAGACAATCGCTGTATTCCAGTTATATAACCGTAATATTATATAAACCTAATGTCAGAAGAAGCGAGTTTGTGAGTATGGTTTTACGCCGCTTTAAGCAATATTCCAGCAATATCACGGCGAGGGACACCAGAAATGGGCTTCACACATTGTACCCCATAGGCGGATCCAGAGGGGGTGTTTGCAGGGTGCAGGGTGCGCACCCCCCCTTTTGTCCTGAAAGTTTATTAAATGACCATTGAAACTCTGGTGAAAATGAAGTGTGCACCCTCCCTTTTCTCAATAGTGTGCATCCCCCCTTTCTCAAAAAGCTGTATCCGCCCCTGTACCCATGTGGGGAATCGAACCCGGGTCTTCGGCGTGACGAGCAAACGCTTTAACCACTTCGCTATCTGACCTCCCCTTGATAAGTGAGTAGGAGTTTAACGCCTCTTTAATGGTATTCCACTATATCACGGCAAGTCAGTAATATTCAGGACGAATATGAAATTCGATCCCACAAACATAACACCATTAAAAGGTAATTACCTTTATCATAAATAATATTCACCTCCATAACATAAAAGACCCATGCTTGCCACAAAAGGCGACTATGCTTGTCGTAAGAGGCGACTAACGGCATCGGGTGGTCAGGCTCGCTGACTTGGTTGACACATGTCATCGTTTCCCAATTGCGCAGATCGATACTCATGCAGTTGATCATTGGATTGTCTGGTTCAGACTCGATTATTTACAGACCTGCCGCCATATTGCTGGAATATTGCTGAGTGCGGCGTAAAACTAAACTTACTCACTCACTCCATAACATAAATATCGTTATGTTATTTAATTTTCATTCCAGGACGACGTTAAACCAATTGAGCACAAACTGGAAGGATTTTCCTCATCGGATGCAGTTAGCACCCTGAAGCAATTGCTGAAACAGGAAGGTCGATGTTTGACAAACTCTCAGCTGGAGGAGGTCGGGGCTGCCTTTGCTAGATGCAGTCTCCCTCTGTTTGTTCGTCTCACCCTTCAGGAGGCTCTCAGGTGGAAATCGTTCTCGCCTCCAGCAGACACGCGGTTGAAAGCAACAGTCCAGGAAGCTGTTCGTGCCTTCTTTCAACGCATTGAACAAAACCACGGGCGTATCTTCACAAGCCATGCTCTGGCATATATAACTCTTGGTAAGAATGATATTCTAGTTGTTTTACTGTCCTTCGTCGGACATAATATACATATATTTCATTTCAATATCATATGTTCTCGTCACGATATGGCTGAAATATTGCCGATGTGACGTTAAATATTAACTCACTCACTCACTCTTGGTAAGAAGAAAGTGGAATTCATACAGCAAAAGGGCTATAGTCGTGCATGGACAAATCCGTAAACCAAACTGTGATCATATGTGATTTTTAACAACTGAAAATGACTCATCATTTCGAATTCATTAAGTAAAATTATTTTTCCTCGTAACATGTTATATTTGGGATTACAAATATAACATGTTACTTTTGACTACTTTGTAAATGGCATTGTGTAGTCATATTGTTTCCACTTTGCTATTTGTAGGGGAGTTGGGAAGGGGGCGTGTCAACGGTCTCGATTATCCATAAACAAATTATTCGTGAAACGTTTGACCGACACCCAGGTGTTCGCGGGGTTAAGACACTGATATGTATGCCTCGGTCCTTTACGTCCTCTTGAAACTGGTGTCACGGTATTGCGGCATGACAGAGATTTCACCTCAGTGGTCTCGAACGGACAGGCTATTAAGGGACCGTTCATAATTTATGACTGGGGTGGTGGGGGGTGGGGTGGTGATGATGATTTTTAAGGAGAAATGTGTACAATGTGACTGCCCCCCTCCCTAAGATTTATGTACAAAGTAAGTGACCCCCTGCATGTCCTGTACAAAATCAATGACCCCCCCTCCCCTTCCCATATTGTGTAAGCCTACTTTTGAAAAAATGTTCAAAATTGATGAAACCCCACCCCCACCCCCACCCCCACATGTGTACAAAATTGATGACCCCCTACCTCCCCAGAACTGTACACCGACGCCGCTCAGAGAACGCCAGCCATACGACCACAGTCTGTGATCAAATTAGACAATCACCTAACCTTCCCAATCTCTACATCGGCGTCACTGTCCATCTGAAACTGGCCAGTTATAGTACAACCTTTTAACCATTGACATATCATGCTATTGATTTTGTATTTTATTTTATTTCTTAGCCCGTCGCGGTTTGAGTGAGAGCGAGTTGGAAGACATCCTGTCTTGTGATGATGAGGTTTTAAACGAAGTGTTCAGTTTCTGGGTCCCACCAATCCGGCGTTTACCTCCCTTGATCCTGGTTCGACTCAAGAATGACCTTGACCTGTACATAGGTAATGTCTGCAGTCTCTGCTCTGACCTCGGGTTTCAAAGGGAATTAATCCCCTTACGCCGACACCATCCATGGTCATGCATAATTTTTAATATATATGATACATTCTTGTAATAAATAAGATTGATTTCTCTTGATAATAGTGTACAAATTTTTACTTTCAACTCCCTGAATTTCTTCCTTGAATATTGTTGATTCTTGTCCCTATCCCTATGTTAAACCTCAAATTCTCTTCTGCATGGTGGGACGGTGGCCAAGTGGTTGAAGCGTTCGCTCGTCACATTCGATCCCCCACATGTGTATAATTTGTGAAGCCCATTTCTGGTGTTTCCGCCGAGAGTGTGTTTGAATATTGCTAAAAGCGGCGTAAAGCCAAACTCACTCACTCCTCTGCGTGGTAGAGACCTATGATGGCGGGTTCACATCATGTGTTTCTAGTTTTACCAACAGCTATATACACCCGTGTTCCTTTCTATCACCTAGCCTTCCTCCCGAATCGAGTTGACAGCAGTAACATATTGAAGTGAGTGAGTTTAGTTTTACCCCGCACTGAGAAATATTCCAGCTATACGACGGTGGTCTGTAAATAATCGAGTATGGACCAGACAGTCCAGTGATCAACAGCATGAGCATCGATCTACGCTATTGGGATACGATGACATGTGTCAACCAAGTCAGCGAGCCTGACCACCCGATCCCGTAGGTCGCCTCTTACGACAAGCATGGGTTACTGAAGATCAATTCTTACCCGGATCCTCACGGATCCACATAGCCCAAATATTGTTCAAAGTAGTGTTGCACTCAGTCACCCACTCACTTTATCACGTACAGCTCAGCGAGAGATTGACAACTCCCCTGTCTTATTATGGAATCACCAGCTGTTTAAAGACGTGGCACATGACATGTACTGCAGTGACGTCACGATCACGAAGACGCTACATGAGAATTTGGCGGACTTTTTCTCGGGAAAATGGTCAGGTAAAAATTTATGTTCTTATCTCAACAATTTGCATCTTTATTCAGTATCATTCACTCATATTTTTCTAAATGTCTACAAAGGTGCGACAGCAAACACATCAGTTCATCAGACAGCTGACAATGCCGGGTTGACCGCCGGCAGATAACTGGAATATTGATGATTGCGGCGTTATACAACAAACAATAATGGGTAGCCAGCTCCACCGGTGATCACACAGAAAGGACACTTTGAAAGACGCTTCGTCGTGAATGTCACAATCACATCTCGTTAAGCATACGAAATCTACATCCTCCAATCACAAGCTGGTTACGGGTGGCCCTATGCCTGTTGTAGAGTGGAGGCCATTTTGTTGGAGAGCATGCCCTATGTCACGTGATTAAAAATAGTTGGAATCATGGGAGATTCGCTCCCGGGAACACGAATAATTAAACAATTCTGAAAGTGTGGACGGTGTAAGGATCAAAATAACTCCCTTTATGTTCGGAGTACCAAACATCGAGATACATTGTATAGGTTCTATCCAAAAACAGAGAAGACTTTGAGTAGTCACTGAAAAGAAACATATTCACTACGTGTCTTCCTACAACGAAACTTTCTGCATTTAAACTCGTGTTTTCTTTGCAGATTGTGAAAAACCGTTCAAAGACAGAGATGGAAAGGACGGAAGTGCAGACAGGCGTGTTACCGCTCAACCAGTGATGCATGGGGAGGAGGCAAATTTGAGAAAGCTGAATTGTCTCCCTTGGCACTTTATGCAACTTCAGGATTTCTCAAGATTGAACGAAGAATGTTTATTCAACATCGATTTCCTCACAGTCAAGATGAAATTCACAAGTGTGAGGTATGTAATCAGGCAGTTGTACTACCTTCCTTTTCTCGAACGTGAGGCCAACATGTAGTTTCTCTTCAGTATGTTTATTTTCAAGGAACAGATCAAAATAAGCAAACCTCTCTTGTTGTGACAGGACAGTACCAAGAAGGACGTATTCCATATTCCACAATTTGTAATTTACAATCGAGTTTCATATTTATACGTACCCTATAGGTCTGTCATTGATGACTTCACCGATGCGATGACGTGTCTGGTGAATGAGAGCAAGTTGTACGGAACGATTAGGGACACCATTCAGATATCCCAGAAGGCACTTTTCAATGACGTCAATGAACTTCCGACACAGCTGCTCAACAGACTCGTGAAGAAAGATGATAGCTTTAGGCTTTTGTTGGACAACTGCCGCAAGGTGGCGTTCCCGATCTTGATATGTGACCAACAACTCCTCACGTCTCCTGGCGGCAACCTGCAACATTCCTTCCCGAGTCACCAAGGAAGAGTTGTCTCCCTTGATTTAACGCAGGATGGCTATACTGCTGTCACGTGTAAGTTTATTGCTCAAAAAATCATATATTTTTTTAGATTACGTTGTAATTCTTCATATATATAGACAATAGATCGTCTAGAATAAAGAGTCACGGGTTACTTCCCTTACATTCTTGAGATTTAAATATTGTTTCCGGTTAATCCAACATTATGACCTGATTCCGATGCTTGTCTTCCCAGGGCCATACCCGAGCGCGTTTTCTTTCATGACAGATCGAGTGAGTGAGTATGGGTTTACGCCGCTTTTAGCAATATTCCAGCAATATCACGGCAGGGGACTCCAGAGTTGGGCTTCAATCATTGTACACATGTGGGGAATCGAACCCGGATCTTCAGCGTGACGAGCGGACGCTTTAACCATTAGGCTACCTCACGGCCCCTTAATGAAAGAGTTAAACGTCCTCACCCTTACTTCGGATATCTACATCTTACTCATGCAAAGGTACAGCTCACAAACTGTTCCAACTTTCTTTACACTTCTCACACCTAACGTCAATCAGCATGTATGAGCAAAAACAAATTCAAGGTCTCTCAAAATGTTATTAAGCTTCGGGACAGGTTTTTTGTTTTAAAAATAAGAACTTGTTTCCGACAATATAGGAGAAAACATTTTCCCTCTGTTTATGTAATTTGATATGTTTGTTTGTCTAACATGCTGGCAGCCATGAGACAAATGTGTTATCACAGACAGAATTGTTCGCCTTCTTCTTTCAGAAGAAATAAAATATTTGTCTCAGAACCGTGATCGAAAAATTAGAATATATAGTAGTGGCATTCCAGAGCTGAATGTTGCCATTTTAATAAACATACACACTCTTTAAAACAAGGGTCTGTGGGTCTCTAAGCTGCGAACCGCTGTGCTTTGGTGTGTCCCTTGGTCATGCCAGAAACAAACAATGTGTGTTCTAATGCCCAACTCATTCACGCACGCACTCACGCACTCACGCACGCACTCCACTGGTAAAAGATGACAGCATTGCTATCCGGATCCATTGATCACATCTTCGAATTTCAATCCCAAATCATGACTCTTGATCATTCGGTACCCCTGGTGTACCATAGGCCCTACCCAATGCTACTTGCAACCTGAGTCCTTCTATTCTTTCCACCCATAAGTTGAATCTCTATTTCTTTCAGATGGAAAGGACAGGAAGGTGATGATATGGGACGTAAGGAATGGAAGCCTCGTGCAATCATTTGATACTGGAGACGAGGAGCCAATCAAAGCCCTTCTTGCATACGACGACCAGGATATCGTTGTCGTAACCAATCAGTCTTTTTCTACCTTCCACAGGACATCGGGAAAACGGTTTGGGAATGTTACTTTTCAAAGCCTTGGAATCAACGTCCCGGCTGTCTGTGTGGCTGGTAATGCAAGGGACAGCAAAACTAAGCTCCACGTGCATAATCCGTTCGTGTTGGCGGTGACAAACGACCAGATAATCAAGGCGGGTGCCAGGACGCTTGATGTCAAACACATGGAGAAACACAGGATTGATGAGCTGTCTGAAGGGAAGATTGGACAGGGTTCAATCTGTGTTGGTGAGATTGATATTTTTGTGATATAGGGCCTGTTAGTCTTGCGAGGTACTACTTCCGGTTCTAAGCTGGTCCCCGGCTCCCTTTGCGCGCGCTAACTTGCGATACGCAAGTCGGGACCCGGCCGGTACCAGATTTCCAGTTACAAGCATATATTCAAAAACGAGTTCTGGTTACAAATTGCGCGATCGCCAAATATGATTTTACTAGATCGTACCAAGTGTACAACCATGCTTGGCTGTCACAGCTGTTGACAATCGTAATAGTTGGCTAAATTGGTGAGTGTTAGATCGAAAATATTCCTGCAAGGAGTATCGGTTTCTTACTGTATTTGGTAACTGACTGATGAAGTTTTCACGTCGCTTTTAGCAATATTCCAGCATTGGCATGGCAAAGGATACCCAAACCACAGACCCTCGTGTCTTTGTTAAGATTCAAGATTAAAAAAAAAATTAAAATTGAGATGACCCCTGACTCGAAATGCTACACAGTATAATACACTATGATTATACTGTGAAGCATTTCGAGTCGGGGGTCATCTCAATTTTTATATATTTTTCTTAAAATCTTTAATTCTCACATAGACACGAGGGCCTGTGACCCAAACAGGTTCTCACACTGTTCCCACTCAATGTTGTAGATGTTATTTGCACAAATTGTTAAAAGAAATACATGGACGAGGAGGGTACTTCATGGTTTGCAACACTATAAGAAAATGTTTTGAAGATATTGTCAGATGTTTTCATATAAGATAAGATAAGACAATACTTTATTTTATTTACAGAGGTATATCACATGGTAAAACAGAAAGCACGATGCAAAGAGACATACAAACATAAACAATAATATTTAAGACATCCAAAGCAATACATGTAGAATCCCTAACAGTTAAAACATTAATTGTAAGCTTTGACAATGACTACGAGCCTAAAACAACAGATAACAGAATGTTTTACATTGGTTTAAAGGAGATATACTATCAGGAAAAAAAGATATAGGTAGCTTTGTCCATTTTAACTGCAGATGGTTTGGTCCTATCACAACAGGTGCGGTGGTGTAGCCTAGTGGTTAAAGCGTTCGCTCGTCACGCCGAAGACCCGGTTCGATTCCCCACATGTGTACAATATGTGAAGCCTATTTCTGGTGTCCCCCGCCGTGATATTGCTGGAATATTGCTACAAGCGACGTAAAACCATACTCACGCACTGTTTCATGTCAACAGAATGTCTGTTTTAATTGCTAACGGGATCGAGTGGTCAGGCGCACTGACACATGTCATCGTATCCCAATTGCGTAGTTCGATGATCACGCTGTTGATCACTGGATTGTCTGGTCCAGACTCGATTATTTACAGACCGCCGCCATATTGCTGGAATATTGCTGAGTGCGGCGTAAAACTAAACTCACTCACTCATGACTGAATATATCTTGAAGACTCCAGAAAGTTTATGTTCATGATAATATTAGTCATCATTCTGAAAAAACGAGTAGCATCAGCTTACATTGGATGTGAAATTTGCCAATGCGGAATGGGCAGTTTCTAAATAAAACTAAAAACAACAGAGAACCACATTATACGTATCTGCAATAACAACCTGAATAGGAAAATCTGAAAAATTACGCTAACCACTCTTTTTCGATGATTGCCCATTGGTAATGAACCAATCATCATTTCAACCAATTCCCAACACTACTCTGTAGTAGGTATATAGGTGGCCGTGTAAAGAGTTGCGCCCCTTAATTACTCGTACCAGAAACCAATAATCGTGGGTTTGGATCCCGTTTTGTGCCGATTAGGCTTGTAAGCGCCTTATCCACGATCGCGGTAGACCTGTCAGAGATGTATCACTTCAGTCCTCCTATCTACCTAATGCCGACGCGCAATAATACAACTGAAAGCACCTTTAAACTCACTCACTCACTCATTCACTCACTCATGGATGTACACGTTGCTGTAATCTGCCATATCTGGGTATCCAAACAACTTTATCCCGTGTCACATGTCATCGTATCCCAATTGCGTAGTTCGATGATCACGCTGTTGATCACTGGATTGTCTGGTCCAGACTCGATTATTTACAGACCGCCGCCATATTGCTGGAATATTGCTGAGTGAGGCATACAACTAAACTCACTCACTCACTATAAAACATGTGTTTTGTCTGTCAAGGATTTGTCGGCTACATTGCTGTGACGGATGAAGACCGATATCAACTGCAAGTCTTCTCACTGAAGGACTTCAAGCGTCTGGCTTTAACACGGGTCTATCCAGCATTTGAGCTTGGGGGTAACGTGGGACTGTCAATAGAAGCCATGTGTTTCTCTAAAGAGGGTGACTGTCTGTTCGTCTCCAACTGGAGGGATGGAAATATCCTGTGTCTGGACGTGAAGGATTTGAAGGAAACAAGCAGACTCTCAGGTGAGTGAGTTTGTTTTACGCCGTTGTTGGCAGTAATTCATGGTGAATTAGCATTGTGGAGACTAAAGAGTAAATGCCAACTATCAGTGAGTAGCTAGGTTACAAACGGCAACTGTCATTTCATGAGCCGATTAATAAATATCCGCTTATGCATAAACAGGGGATATGCGAGCTGGATATATTCCTTTACAATACATGTCATCCTGGATAATCTCCAGGGTATACGTTCAGATAAATCTCCACTAGTACGCTTAAACAATTGTGACCCATAATAACTAAAAGTTCATTAATGTGACTTTATAATAACACAATCATAACAATATTTACTCTTAAACGAGACGTAAGACCCCTTTTTATTATTTTTGACTCCGTCCGTCAGTGCAAATTCATCTTTTCCGGAACAGAACATAAAAACCGATTAATGTTTCTTCACCAAACGTAGATAGATAGATCTGCTGGTGAACTGATGCCTTTTGGTAGTTTTGGATTTCTGAAAAAAAAATTATTATTTATTTTGCGTTTCCATGGCAACAACTTTGACTTCAACTGAAATTGGTGTTAGTGCTCTTTTCCGGAACAGAACTGTAAAACCGTTCAATGTTTCTTCACCAAACTTGGAACATAAAAAGGCCTGGTGGTGAAGTGGTGACTTTTGTAGTTTTGGATTTCTGAATATAACATTTTTTTGTGTTTGCATGGCAACGACTTTGACTTAGACTGAAATTGGTGTTGGTGCTCTTTTCCGGAGCAGAACTTTAAAACCTTTCAATACACTCCTTCCACTTTGTGGGTATTCAAGAGCCAAATGACATATATTAACAGTGCCACTCTATTTCCACATCAAAACGTGGGAGCACTCTGTTGTCAGGGTTCGAAATACCCCATATATTATTGTGCCATGGCACGGTAAATATTGAAATGACACGGCTAAAAAATGTTCTCGGTGCCCTTTGACAATCCTGATTTTTCAGAGACATAACTCACATTTAGTCATTTAATCCCCAAAACAATTATTTTTTTCCAAATTGAATATTACCATACATATTTGAATGCTCATAAACCCATTTCTTTACTTAACGATAAATTTCAAATGATCATAATCATTGTCATTTATTCTAAAAACATGTGGGCATACTCAATTTCTGAAAGGCACACCTAAAATATTTGTCTGCAGGTGCCCTAAGGCACACTTAGAAAAAAAAGTATTTCTATCCCTTTATGTTAAGAGGTTGCATATACATGTTTTCGTTGGATCAGTGTGAAGAACAATGTAACATTTGACATAGTCATAAGTAGTTGACATATTCATGAAGAGTATTTTACCATTGCGGGAGATATTAATGACCTTGTCTTCTTGATTATTTGTGTTTGAAAACAACTCAAAATGCTGTAAGCATATTTATAAACAGAAAATTATGTTATGTTATTTTCAGTGTGTCATTAATAATAAATACCACCTTCCTGCCATGTGGGGAGGTGGGGTAGCCTAGTGGTTAAAGCGTTCGCTCGTCACGCAGAAGACCCGCGTTCGATTCCTCACATGGGTAAATGTGTGAAGCCAATTTCGGGTGTTCCCAGACTCGATATAATTGCTTGAATATTACTAAAGCTGCGTAAAACTACACTCACTCTCTTCCTGCCATGTGTTTGTACAGGGGATGTCGAACCCTACAACTTCCGGGTTACAAAGGACGAGGGCATCCTGTATTTCCCTTCAGGCAATAAGGTTGTACTACGAGATAAGAGAAACCACAACCACACAAGCTTAGCCGACCACCCGTGCCGTGTTCTGTTCTGCGCAACTAAGGACTTCAACCCACTGGTGACGGTTGGACAGGACAGCGTTATCCGACTATTTAACGCTGGTACCAAACTGGCGTGGCCTGCGACAAGATCTCTCTTTGAAGAACCCGAAAATATGATACAGTACGTCAAGCTTTCGTTCTATTCTCCGTCTCATGAGACGTCGGGATTTCCAGTCAGCGGCAGAGGATGTTGCACTAATAGCTTTTCTTCAAAAGCTCTGGCAACAAATCCGCTTGATCAACTTGGAAAGTCACGGCGAATGTCGAGTCAAAATGCAACGCCTTAACTGACTGACTGACTGACTGAGTTTGGTTTTACGCCGCTTTTAGCAATATTCCAGCAACATCACGGCGGGGGACACCAGAAATGGGCTTCACACATTGTACCCATGTGGGGATTCGAACCAGGGTCTTCGGCGTGACGAGCCAACGCTTCAACCACTAGGCTACCCCACCGCCCGCAACGCCTTAAAGGCTCTATATCACACCACACTTCTCTAAATATAAAGAATGCATCTCTCTCAATAACACTAACAATCAGCGCTCAAGGAAGCTACCATATAATTTATTCCCCAAAATATTACGTATTTAGATCACAATATTAAATTAAAAAGTTCGAATGAATTCATAAAACAATGCATTAAATCGACTCTCGCGCCCTCTACCGGCCGAACATTATTTCAAGCGAAGCCCATAGAGTTATTTCCCTTGGAGCGCTCTTTACGAATATCCTATAACGCAACTTGTGATTGAAACCAGCAAACATCGACAACACCGCGCGCTCGCGACAGTTTTGATGTGCGGAGCAATTGTTTACATTCCATATATGGCATGTGTTCCCTGTTTGAAAGCTCTTCACCTCGAAGTTTCAATTGTCGATTTCAGGCAAGTCGTAAGGAATAATAAGTCTTTTATTGCGTCAATAGAAAGCTAAAGTGAGTGCTTATGGCCCAATGTATACATTGGGTATACGCCAAAATATGTTCGAAAATGTGTGACATTGTGCCTTTAAATCTCTCACCGGGTAGCTAGAGCGATGATCGGGGAAAGCTTTTAGTTAAAGCGACCGCCCGTCACGCCGAAGACCCGGGTTCGATTCCCAACGTGAGTACAATGAGTGAAGCCCATTTCGTATGTCCCCCGCAGCGATTTTGCTGGAATTGCTAAAAGCGGCGTAAAACTAAACCCATTCACTCATTCATTACTTCGGTTGCTATTAATTTTATTGTTTGATCAGTTATTCGATAGGAGGAAGGGGGTGGGACCAACTACACAAAACATCCCCATTGGAGAGTGTGGCATGTCAAAATACCGTAACTAAGTCTTGGGTAAACGTATGAAATTATGTCTCACACCTAATCCGGTTTCCGGACTAGCCAGGAGTTATATATAATTATATATATGTATATATATGTCTAAAACACTCAGTGTACATGTGTGTATATTAATATACATTACAATAATTTTAAGAAGCCTGTGTCTGTTCCGGAATCCTCGCTATGCCCTGGCCCTGAAGGTAGCAACGGACAGGTCAAGACAGGTGCTTGTTCAGGATCTGCTGGAGGACAAACTCGTTAGATGCGCCACATGTGTAAGTTACAAACTTAAATCCATGGTAGGTGTTTCAGCTTTAAATAATCTTTACCCGGAACTGCTGAACAAAAGTAGTTTGTCAAAGACATCGTTTACGGACGATGATCCGGAAAATATTATGCTGTAAGTGAATGAGTGAGTGAAGATGTACAGTCATATCGGCAATATATCAGCCATATCGTGACTAAAACAAGTTTAAATTAAATGCCATAAATATATAATTTATACAAAGCATGTCATCGAAGGACAGTAAAAACACTTAGAATATCACAGATATGAATATAAAACCAGTATGTAAAAATATATACAGTTTCACTATAGAAGACGTTACAATATAAAAACAAGGTTATAGATTGCCAACAGCTGCAGGTAGATCACCATACTTGGGACCATGGGGACTTACAGTACATTTGCTTCTAGCATAGACCCTAGCTGGATTTCCAAAATGTATTTTTCAGGTTCGAGGGCGGACTTGATTGCTCCATAGTCTTTTAGAAAAGATGATGATGTTATCCTAGAATGCCAATTTTGAATTTCATTACCTTGACATCTTTGTCTAAATTCACTTATAAACGTTTCTTTATTCCCACATTCCTGTGTAATCCACACATAAGAAAATCCAGTTCGGAATAAAAGTAGACGCACATGCATAACCCAGTTGCAGCTGCTACTATCGTCTTGCAGCTTTAACATTTCATAACATGGTTTAGGATGTCGATTATTGTCCGTATGTAATATTCTACACCAACATTTGATACATCTGCCGTAATATGTAACGCATAATTGGGTCAGTACAGCATTGGAAGAAACATTTTTATTAACACACAGAAAACGTTTGAAAACGAAACATTGGATTTTCTCAATGTGAGGACGATATGAATGCCGCCAGATTTCACTACCGTACAATAATATTGGGGATTTCTTACTATCAAATATTGCTGAAGCATCTTTCAAAGATATATGTGGAAAATCTTTAAACATTTTAAATATATGGAACGAGGCTTTTTTGGCTTGAAGACTTAGTGTTTCACATGTCCTCGACCATATCAATCTTGTGGTAAAAACAACACCTAGATATTTATAGTGTGATACAACATTCATTTGGTGTCCATTATAGAACCATTTTTCTGATTTCTGAAGATATCCACCATGTCTAAATACTACTATACAAGATTTGTCAAGATTGACTTCTAAACCCCATTTTGAGCAAAAACTATACAGTGTATCAAGTTTTCTTTGTAAACCAATAACAGTGTCATCAAGTAAGGTAACATCATCTGCAAAAAGCAGTAATATAATATCATTTAAACCATCTTTGACAAATATTCCTCTTAATCCACAGTTATTCATTTCATCCACAAGCTCGTTGATAAAAAGTATAAACAGAGCTGGGCTAAGCATGCAACCTTGCTTTACCCCAGATGATGTGTTAAAGATTTCAGATCTCTTATTTCCAACTTTAACAGAAATTTGCATTTTTAGAAAACTCAGGTGGTATTCCGTCAGTGCCCGGGGATTTTCCGGTCTTAAGGGTTTTGATAGCCTGTTCTATTTCACTGCTAGTTATTGGGTCTGATAAGAAGTCTTCATTGTCACAGTCTGAACAGTCATGACTTGATATATATTCACGGGCGGTTTCATCAAAACCTTCGTCATTTACATTGGTTGCAGGATTAAGTAATTCCTTGAAATATGTAACCCATTTACCAATGGGAATACAGTTGTTCCCTCCCGAACCAGTTGTAAGCGATTTTACCTTAGACCAAAACTTCTTACAATCACCATCTACGGCTGCTACACATAGTTCATCAGCAATCATGTTATTAAATTGTCGAGATTTATCCCGGCATACACTTTTGATATTCCTCTTTGCATCAATATAGCAATTGAGACTTTATCTGGACCGGCACATCCGAAACGTGTTTAAGCGAAAGAAGTTTTTTATCTTAGCACGCTCACAGTGTTGATCCAACCGCTTATGTTGTACATGCTTTTGTTTAGCTACTTTATGCACGTCAATTAAACGTAAATGGCTTCCTACATGCTGCATTAGTTCTACCAGCTTGTCCGCTGCAGCATTGATATTTACGTTTACCAATTGTTGAAAGTCATCAACAATATTAGATGCTGCATCAGACGTTATGTTGACATCAAATTGATAGATTATATATTGTATATTTTAGGCTGTGGGTGCTCCAAGCTTGTGTAGTCTCGAACAAACATCCCAGCTGCCATTCCCTCAGTGAGTGAGAGAGTTGGATTTTACGCAGCTTTTAGCCATATTCCTGCAATATCACGGCGGGAGGCATCAAAACTTAGCTTAAAACATTCTTACCATGTGGGGTATCGAACCCGAACCTTTAGCGTGACGAGTAAACGTTTTAACCAACATTCCAAACCTCCGTTCCTTCATTGGGTGACTGAGTTGGGTTTTACGGCGCTTTGAGCAAAATTCCAGCAATATCACGGCTGGGGACACGACTTCGGCGTGACGAACAAATGCTTTAATCACAAGGCTACTCCACCCTCGATTCCCCCAAACCAGATAAACGGCACAGGTGATGTTGTGTGTAGAAGGCGTGTGTTTCATACCGCGGTGAAGACGAGATACCAGTACCTATGATGAGGGTTATGTTTTACTGTTATGTGTGCTGCAGAAGGGTAACTTGGAGATGGAGGTATACGAGGAGGAGCCTGGAAATGTCACAGCTATTGTACGAGGGCCGTCGGGTAAACTGTCCATCCTTGACCTTGAACATATGACCGCGACCCGCCTTGGCCTGTCGACCAAAGACCTTTCGCCCAGGTCATTCCGGATTCTCAAGAAACATGATGGTACTGTGTTAGTTTTGAGCAGTAAGTTAGTGAGTGAGTGAGTGAGTTTAGTTTTACGCCGCACTCAGGAATATCCCAGCTATATGGCGGCGGTCTGTAAATAATCGAGTCTGGACCAGACAATCCAGTGATCAACAGCATGAGCATCGATCTGCACAATTGGGAACCGATGACATGTGTCAACCAAGTCAACGAAACTGACCACCCGATCCCGTTAGTCGCCTCTTACGACAAGCATAGTCGCCTTTTATGGCAAGCACATTGGTTGCTGAAGACCTGTTCTACCCCGGATCTTCACGGGTCCGTTTTGAGCAGAAAAGTCTTGATGAATTCCAGTGTAAGAATTATGTATACCAATTTCAAACTTGAGATTTACTAATATCATTGTACCAAACCTTATCAGAACTGTATGTAATCTTGCTTCAGTTGCAACCGCACTATGGAAACTCACTTCCACTTAAATTACGTACAGCTCCATCCCTTCAAGTGTTCAAGCGTAACCTCAAAACACACCTTTTCAGTCGATATAAACAGTAACTCTCTCCAAGCTCATATTTACTACAATACTGATTCATATGACTTTTTGATGTGTTTGTTTTTAAACATTTGTGCGCGCTTTGAGCATGCCCCTTTGTGGTATGGAGTATTGCGCAATATAAGTACCCTTATTATTTTTATTATCAATATAATTATATCTAACTACGATAAGTTATAACCTGGTCGATTTGTGCATTTGTCGCTTTGAGTAGTATTATCCTGGAGCGCCATGTAATAACTCATTGCAAGATATCACGTTACAATTGTACCAACACGTCGCTTTAGCAACAACAACGACTATATAAATTTTGTTTACTTCATAACAGTAGAATCTTCAGCGAAACTGTATAACATGAGTGAGTGAGTCTGTTTTACGCCACATTTAGCAATATTCCAGCAATATCAAGGCGGGGGACACCAGAAATGGGCTTCACACATTGTACACATGTGGGTAATCTAACCCGGATCCTCGGCGCGACGAGCAAACGTTTTAACCACTCGGCTACCTCACCGCCCCTGTAGAACATGAGAAATGTCAATCCTACTATACCTAAAGATCCGGGTCTTCGGCAACTGATGCGTGTCGTAAAGGGCAACTAATGGAATCGGATGGTCAAATGGAATCGGATACGAAAATGTGTGTGTGTGTGTGTGTTGAATCGGATACGAAAATGTGTATGTGTGTGTGTGTTTGGGGAATTTTCCGTGGGTATGAAAATTCGAGGCGAAAGCACAGACCTGAGTATGAACAGCCATAGAGTGATAATTAACACATGACGGCTGCTGGTTTAGACGAGTGAGTGAGTGAAGTTAGTTTTACGCCGCTTTTAGCAATATACCAGCAATATCACGGCGGGGGACACCAGAAATGGGTTTCACAAATTTCCCATGTGGGGAATCGAACCCGGGTCTTCGGCGTGACGAGCGAACACTTTAACCACTAGGCTACCCCGCCACCCCTGGTTTAGATGAACCAGTTTCAGCGTTAGCAAAAGCTTTCTTACATTGCCTAAACCATAATTCTAAACAATGACTGTGGTTGTAAAGTATATAATGTTTCATTGGAGATTAAATCTAGTAACAGTACCCTGCAGAATTGTTGTAATGGAAGATAAGAAGAATATGTTACGTTGATGGATGCTGTCTCTCGTGCAGGTATTGTGGCCGTCAGCAGTGGCGGTGACAGCATCAACATCTACGATCTTAAGCACAACAAGAAGGAGAAACTTCCGTGTGAAAAAGAAAACATAGCAAACTTCCAGGTACGATGCATCTTAATGTGATTCCTCATGGTCTTACAGACTTACAACCTCATCGTTCGGTATGAGCAGGATACGCTCAACGTTTCACGAAAATCTAATTTTTTTCTCTATAATGATTATTGGGTACAACAAGGACTGGTTGGCTCGGACTCAGTATGATGTGTCTGAGTGGGGTGTTCATGCTTAACTGCGGTATGGTATCTCAGTGAGCTAGCACTATAAAAGTCGGGGCTAGTACAAGCAACCATACCCGCGCATGCACGTCGTTATATGAGCGAAATAATCTTAAGTGCGACGTTAAACCCAATTTCACCTCACCTTCACTATAGTGAATTATGTAGATGTTTAGGGTCATTTAGCGGTATTACACTAGTGTAATATTGTCGTAAAAAATTACACTGCAGTATTTTACACGGGCGAGTAATGCTATGTTTTACTGTTGTGTGTGGTGGAGAAGGCGTGAATTTCAAAGCACGCTGATGACACGATACCAGTATCTATGAGGATTATGATTTACTGTTGTGTGTGCTGCGGAAGGGTAATTTGGAGATGGAGGTATACTATAACACAGGGGCTTGTAACGCTAAAAACTGCCATCAAGGTATGTACTGTCACTGACGAGGTCTTGTCACTATATAAAAGGAATGGATGTAACGAGGTCAGGGTCGGGGCAGGTTAAGGCCAAGGTCGTCAATGGCGAACTAGCACGACACAATTCTGTTTGCGATGAATAACGGTACGTAAACTCATTATGACAGTGAGATGTAAGTGTCTCCGAAAGAATTGCAAGTAGCACATTGACAGGTGCCATCAGTTCAACATGTTTTGGTGCATGTCGTTTGTGTACACTGTGAAATAAACCAGAAAATGGGTGAGTTACCACTACATATTCTGAGCAGGGATTTTGGCTCGGAATACTCCCAAAATACTGATTCGATTTTTGTGCTGTATGTCTTATTGTCTAGGTAAATCTATTGGCTTGCAATGTGTACAACTTTAAATGGGATAAATACAGTGAGCTTTGTTGAATTCGCCTTGAAACGAACTTGGTGTGTTGACCTCGTTATATCCCTTTCCTTTTATATAGTGCTAAGACCCCGTCAGTGCCAGTACATACCTTGATGGCAGTTTTAGCGTTACAAGCCCCCGTGTACTATAATGATTTATATAGATATTTTGGTTCATATTTAAATAACAAATGTGTGCTTGTCTGTAGTAGTAATGAAAACATCTAATACCATGGACTACATTTTCTTACGGTAATGGAACGGATTGCTTTTGTGGGGGATTTTAAGTTCTGATAGTTTTTATGTAATGAACATCCAGCAGGATCCACTCACTTCAGCTTCCCAATGGTGCAATAAAAATACTTATTATCCCTTACGACTTGCCTGAAATCGATAATTGAAACTTCGAGGTGAAGAGCTTCCAAACAGGGAACACTTGCCATATATGGGATGTAAACCATTGCTCCGCACATCGGAAACTGCCGCACGCGGTGTTGTCGGTGTTTGCCGAACTGGTTTCAATTACCATTCGTAACTACTCGTCCTTTTCCGTAACCTGAAAGTAGACTCGTACCCCTCTCCTAGCCAGGTCCGCGAGAAATATTCCCCAAACGGCATTCCATGGGTCTGAAAACTTATTGCAACATCTACAAATCATTTCCTCGACAGTAAGCAGGAATTTTCTCCAAAACCATCGGCAATCATACTCACTTGTCGGCCATAGATGGCCTTGACATTCAAGTGACCTGTGCAGATCCGCAGAAACTGAATTGGGCCATCCGCTTGGTGGAAAATATAATATACTGTAAGATTTTGGCTGTTTGCTAATGGGCGCGAAATATGAACTTTGCAATATTCCTTCTATTTTGGATGATGTACGGAACAGTAAATTGTTAAGAATAATTTTAGAGGTTGTGAAAATGCATTCGATATTGATTCATTTTTAGGAAATTATATTTTATAAATATTTAACCTCTAAAATTATTCCTACCAATTTACTGCTCTGGTCACTTAAATGTCAATGGCGGAGGTAGCTGTTTTCGGTGAGTCGTGGCGTATAACTTTTGAAATAATGATCCGATTGTGACCATTTATAGCTCATTTTGTAGGGAAATCCTCTCGCTTTCGATCCGTAGGCCTCGACGGGGCCTTAAAATAGTTTACATCGTGAAATCTTACTTTGATTGAGGAGAGGGTGGTTAAGTCGTTACATCCCTTTCCTTTTATATAGTACTAGGGTAGGGTCTATATACCTATGTGTCTTTCTACCGCTGTTTCTAATCGTGACACGCCCCTGTGGCTTCCCTATTGCCCCAGTCGGTGCACACCGCACACATGTTCACAACGTTCGGTTCCAGGTTAATGAGACTGAGACAGTGTTGGCCGTGGCTACAGAGGATGGGTCGTGCATCGTCTACAATCTGGAGAAACAAGTCCGTCTGTTTTGTCTCAAGCCAGAGGATATCTGTCCCGAGAGTCCAGACATCTGCGATTTTCTGAGAGTGTCAGGCGTCACGAATGACGGGAAGTTGCTGGTTCTGGAAACTGCGGAATTGCCAAAAATATGGAATATTAAAAACGGTATCGTTGATTGAAGACGCATTTGTATCCTTCTCAACAAGGTTTTTGCATCCACAGTAGAGGTATACAATGCACATTTTCAGGCCTTGAGCTTTAGAGAATGAACTGTAGATCTAATAATAGGCAAATTGTTTAGACGTTGGTTGCATTGTAGGTTTATAAATACACATCTTGAGGTCGTATTGAGCTTTAAAATGCACTCTAGAGTTCATACATCTCGCTGAGCATTTATAATCATATTGGGTTTTCTGGTGTCACTGTTGTTTAACCCCACCCTAGGCAACATTCAAGCTAAATGGCTGATTTTAAGACTATGAGCAAGATAACATTCAAGGTGTTTGCCATGAAAATGCATGTCATCAGCTTTTTGTCTATTGTGTGGCTTTCTTAGTCTCATACAGGGTACCAACTGTGGGATCTCTCCTTATTTATAGTACCTGCATTGTTGCGCCCATGTATAGACCTCCGCGATATTTGGTTAAATATTGCTGATTACATTATCATTATTTCATAGACGTTGTAATACTTCATTCAGACTCCATTCACTGGCTAACTGACCGGTTTCCTTCCTCAGATCAAGCCTCCAGTGACCTAGAGATTTACTGGGATGCGGGAGAGGACATAGAGCTCTCACACACTACAGTACTTCCGGGGAACAAGCTCCTTGCAGCGACAAATGCCGGAGCTACATATGTGTTCGACATTCAGACAGGTACTCAGTAGGACATTTTCGGTAAAGAGCCACACGTTTTGAAAAACCGGTCCACACTGTAAGGGTTTGTGTATAAAGTGACGAATGAGTTTCATAATAGCTGCCCGGTTCCATTCCAGTGTGGGGTTCACTACGACTGTCCATACCATGGTAACCAAAATACTAAAATGTGTGTAATTGAATATTGGCGACCTTGCAATGTTAAATATTGCCCATCGAGCTGAGACCAAACACTTGTTCGCATCGAAAGAAAACTTTCATACGATATTGTTATCATCGCGAACGCTTTTGGACTCTGTCCGTCCGTCCGTCCGTACGTACAAATTCGTCTTTTCTGGAGCAGAACTCTAAAACTGTTCAGTGTTTCTTCACCGAACTTGGCACATAGATAGGTCTGGTGGTGAACTGGTGTCTTTTGGTAGTTTTGGATTTCTGAATAAGAAATGCCTGCTTCCAGAGCAGAACTTTAAAACCTTTCAATACTCTAATTCCACTTTGTGGGTTTTCAAGCACCTAATGACATACATGTTAATCAACAGTACCACTCTATTTCCAGTATGAACAATACTGAGGTACATTAAACCGTGGAACCACTCAAGTTTACATACAATGCCGTCCAGTAATTCCGCGCACCTAAGCACATCGACCACAACACGGCAACTAACGTCTCTTATTTTGTGTGGTTTACGTGACTAAACATGCTGGTATGCATCATATTACGACTATAAAATTCTAACGTTGCATTATGCCATACGGTTGACCTTATCGGCGTTCTGACGACATCGCTTGCTGTCCGGTAATTCTGCGCATTCATTAAGAGTATTTTACCATTGCGGGGGATATTGATGACTGTCTTCATGTTTGCTTTTCTGATGTAAACTTATTTTCAAAAGGCCAATACGTCATTTTTACATTCACTAGGGCATACTTTGGCTGAAAACTCCTTTCATCGTGGAGAGGTTCGTTTGTCGTCTAGTCAGGGCGACACCTACTTGACCTACGGTGAGGACTCCCAGGATCAGGTCATCGCTGTGTGGAGTAAAACAAAGATGGCGCCCATGGCTACATTTACTTCAGATCAGCAGGTACAGTCTCATTTGAACATTTCCATCATCTTGATAGTAGTGTATTGTGGCAAGATGCCCAATTTAACGTCCTTTGTCAATGTGAGGTGACGTGGAGTCCTACTGGCTCTGTGCGGCTGGTATCGCAGCTATAGGCTGCTTTAGTTCGTGTACAAACCATAACTCACACATATTTCTATATTCCTCATTTTCTTCACAACAAATACAGTTGACATATAAAGTCTCATGTGTATTCAACTACCCAGTAGCTGTAGGGGTGTGCTTTCTTAATATTCTAAATGCTAAGGCTGAATTAATATTTCTTCTTTCTATGCGTCGATTATGATTCATACCACAGATTTTTTATATTATATTATATTATATTATATTATATTATATCCATATATATTTGTATAGCGCCAATATCCAGATCATCTGCTCAAAGGCGCTTTGTTTTTCCCTCGATCATTGGATGTCAACCTCAAATGGCACATTGTATTATCAATCTCATCTCCTAGGCGCACCGAGTTAATGTGGCTTTTCCCATCCTTACGAGGTACCCATTCACAGCTGGGTGGGCTGGGACACATAGTCACAGTACTTTGTCCAAGTTTTATTGCACGTTGCTGTACCCGCAAGTAGGTGTTTGCACGTATTCATGTAGCCATCATCTGGTCATATACCAACCAACGGATTCGTGGGTTCTCTTAAGAACAGGGTGATGTTCTGTTAACTAGGGATTGTGACAACACTGAAGGATTCTGCACGCAAAGTTGACTCCGAGGTTTTTTACACCCGGTCACAGGTGGGCTCGATCCCGGCACCTCAAGCTCACTGGATCACTAGCCTGGCGCCTTAGCCAGCTCGCCCACCATGCCCCCATTTTTCCGAGAATTTCTGGAACTTATTGTGCCAAATAAGCAGGAATTAAGCAGCATGTAAAGCCCTGTATTCAGAAAATAAAACTCTTAAGTTACAAGTCCCGGTTACCCTTCCGATGGTGAAGTGACATTTGACATTGTTACTCAAAATGACACCTCAATACTGAGGGCACACCTAATCGTTAGGTTTGAACGTTCACAGTTTGTACGTCTAAAGGATATTACTCTTTTATATAAACAGCTGGATGAAGTGACGCTAAGTGAAGATGGGAAGTTCGTCGTAGGCTGTCTGAGCAACCCTGCCAAAATTGTCACCTGGCACGTTCAAGACCTTAGTAAAGCGCGGGAAAAGTGCATGGATGGCAGAGCCCTTTTCAGAAATGAAGGTAGGTCAGTCTTTCTTCTGTGTCAGGGCGGGTCCGACTGCTAAGGCAGGACATGCTAAAGCTTCTCACGGACAGTCGGACACCTGATGTCATCGTTGTTTTCAGTAATGCATTCACAAATTATGTCACCATTACAGATTTCATAAAATGAGCATGGTACATGGCATTTAAAATTGGTTAGCGTCATTTCTCAGATTTTCCTATTCAGGTTGTTATTGCAGATAAGTATAACATGATGCAGCTTGCTACTTTAAAGTGATGACTAATATATCATGAGCATAAACTTCCCAGAGTCTTCAACAAATATTCAGTCATGACTTTTCAGTTAGTGAAGTGAGTTTTCTAAGAATTTAACACATTTGTTAATTTGAATTTAACAGATATGTTCCATAGATAGTGTTTCAAAGACTAAAACAGTAGTTCCAAAATCGTTTGTGGTCACTGCGACCGATCTCCGATTATTTCAATTAATCGGAACACCACTAATGTCGTCTCATTGTTCTCTGGCATTCCCTGTAACGTTTATGTGACGGTATAACCTTGAGGTGTCATATAGTCCCTTTGGCTCAAAGGCGGACCGATGAATTGCAATCTAACTTGAAACCTGATAAACATATAACACTCAATGAAACGCTGATCATAATTAAAAAACAGACCAACACTGTGAGTTTTGGGCAGAATTTATGTCCTGAAAATAAAAAAAGTTGTTTAACAAACAATTAGTAGCCATCAATATGAGCATGCTATGCCTTGGTCCTGTGAACACCTTCTGCTCGTATGAAGGAGACCCTCAGTCAGCTATAGATCATATTCTGATGCCGGAATATATGGCAGAACTTGTGATCAGCTGTGAAGTAAAAGATGACAATCCTCTAAATGTATCGGATCATCACCCAGTCATGTGCTCAATTGAAATAGATCTTGCCTATGCAACAGATAATACAATACGTGCAAAACCATCGTGGGACAAAGCGAAGCTGAACGGTCTGATAACTGACTATACATACTGTGTTTCAACTATTCTGTGGCCTGTTAAGCCCCCAGATGATCGATGTAGTACAGAAGACATTGAATCCTTTTACCTGTGTATTATCAATTGCTTACAGTCATCAGCAGAACGGTTTACACCAAACACGTTTTTCGAAACATCTTAAACCTTTCTGGAAAGATGTAGTAAAACAACTACATGACAGAATGTCACATCTCCGACGTGAATGGATAGCACATGGGCGACCTAGAGGTATGGAATATGAATCTTTCAAGAAGTACAAACACGTTAAAGACAAATTCAGGAAAGAAATGAGACGAGCAGCAGCAGAATACGAATCAGACCAATACAACAAACTTGTGTGATATAGATCAAAAACTATTTTGGACTCTTATTCGTCGAGGGAGTAAGAGAAGACAAATATCAAGCCTCAAAACTGAAAACGGATTGATTCGCGACGCTAAAGAATAACAATGGCAGATCACCTGAGACATGTCTATAGTAATGTTACAGAAGACCACTATGACGAAAACTTTAAAGCCGAGATCGACAAACAAGTGGCCGACATTAGGGTCGAGTTGTCCAGACAACAACCTACAGCTGACGGTCTGCTTACAATGCCCCAAGAAGTATATGATTTGTGTCAAACTCTTAAAAACAACAAAGCTGCTGGTGAAGATGGTATCACATATGAACATCTGAAGTATGGAGGTAAAGTTTATCACGCTGTCTCTCTGTTCTGTTTAATCTCGTACTGAAATCGGGCTACATACCTCACTCCTGGAAGAGAGGCATTGTAATACCTATATTCAAAGGTGGAACAAGTCGAGATCTGCAGTCGACTCATACAGAGGTATAACACTTCAGCCAGTGGTGTTTAAACTATTTGGACTTGTTATAGGCAAACGAATGCCTCAGATAATGTGTGAAAGTTCATTTCCAAGTCCTGAACAGTTTGGTTTCCAGAAAGGCATGTCATCAATCCATACATCATGGTACAGGAGACTACAGTCCACTACACTGAGAGATCTGATGCTGTCCATGTAGCATTCCTCGACAGCTCTAAAGCGTTCGATACAGTCTACCATCCTGGCCTCCTTTTGAAGTTGAAAAAGCTGAAAATCAAGGACTCCCTGTGGAGACTAATAGATAACGCCCACATCGATATGACAAGTAGTGTCTTGATTAATCATGTGCAATCACAGTGGTTTCCTTTATATAGAGGGGTTCGTCAGGGCAGTATTTTATCTGCCAAGTTCTACTTAGTGTACATTGATGAACTGTTGAGAAATCTATCTGCAAGCAAGAAGGGAGCTGTCGCCTTCGATGTCAATGTAACTGCCCCAACACAGGCTGATGACATCACTTTAATCAGCCCTCTTATTGGTGGCCTCCAGGATCTCCTGTCCAATTGTGAGAGATACAGCTCTCAGTGGAGATTTACGTTTTCTCCTACTAAGAGTAAAATACTTACCTTCACCAAAACAAAGGCCCACGATTCTGAAGTGACGCTTTATGGAAATTCCCTGCCACGCTGTGCTGAAATTACACACGTGGGGATACAACTCGATGCTGGTTTCAACTCGTGGAACAGAACTCTCAAAGCATGTAGTAAATTAAGAGGTACGACAATGGCTCTTATAAAGTCTGGTGTACATCAAAACGGACTCAACAAACTGACAAGCCTCAAAGTAATAAGAACAATCTGCTTACCCAAAGCTTTGTATGGGGGTGAACTGTGGACGGAGCTTTCCAAAGCAGAAGTCTCTGCCCTCGAGCGTGCTCAAAGATTCTGTCTGAAAATTGTTCAGGGCTTCCCAAGAAACACACGGACTGATATCTGTAACGCACTTGCTGGTTGGAACTCCACTGAGGCATCAATTGATACTAGAAAGCTGTTCTTCTTAGTACAGTTATGTAATTCAAAAGCAGATTTCCTCCCAAGGAAGTTGTTCATAACCCGCCTATCGCTACTCAGACATACCCACACCAAGTTGAAGTTGGGGTATGTGCCCGACATATGCACTATCCTGGACAAATATAAATTAGCCAATTATCTGAACTCTTTCCTGAAAGCAAGGACATTCCCAAGTCAATCGAAGTGGAAAAATATCGTCAAAACTGCAGTGAAGAAGAAAGAAGAGAGCAGCTGGCGAGATCGAATCTCCTCTTACCCTGACCTTCATCATTTTATGTGGATAAAATCTGAGATCTCCACCCACATGGCATGACATGTGCCGAAGTCCGACCCATGGCTGAAGCTTGATGCAAACTTTGTTGTCAACATGTGTGCGATTTGGCGTCCAGGAGCTGTGTATGGTGATTGCCCAAACTGTGGACAGCATTATAATGATTTCCTGACTCATGTAATCTGTCACTATCCCAGCTACCTGTGCCAGAGAGTTAGTCTGTGGTGCTCCCTCATTGACGTCATCCCGTCAGAAGTAAGCTTAAGTGTAGCACTACACGTCAAACCAGACATAGAGATGGCGGCATGTCTGTTGTCCTGCAGACCTCCTGTCACCCCAGTAACATGCGATCTACACCTCTACGCTCAGACTGTCATTACAAACCTGTATTCATTCCTGAAAGATTACCATTAAACTTGCATTCTCATCTTAACTTGTAAATAACAGTTACTGTAAACACATTTTCCTTGTAACTCTCCTTTGGAGGAGTAAAGAATATATATCGGAGTAGTGACGCGGTTTATATTTCGACCAATCAGCTACGGCTATAGTGAAAAGTGCACATGTGCTCATATTGAAAATATTAACTCGGTTATTTTCAACCATGTGGATAAAAAACGCTTTTATGGGCGTTTGCCGCAGTGTTGATAATTCACTCTGTGACTCCATTCGTCACCACTCGCCCCTTTCCGTAACCTCCAAGAAGACTCGTCCCCCACTTGATACTTGTTATGTGCGAAAATACGACAAACCAATCAGAACGCGCGTACATGAGCGCGGTGCTCTGATAAAAATAATCCCGAGTACTTAAATCGTTTATGGCATTATGGCATTGTTTAAAGAATCATTTAAAGAATCATGAAAAATATATATCGTCAAATTTAAAGTGCAAAGAAGGTAGCTTAAAGGATTTTGATGCCTATTATGACGTTTTAATAAGAATCATGCGATTGATGGTGAGAGATTCAAATACTCGCACGTGCGTTTGTTGACATAACTGCTCTCATGGGTCCAACTGAGTGTATTTCTGACGATCTTGCGGGCTTGTTATGGAGATTGTACGTGCGCTTCGACCAATTTTAGGAAATGTAATTTATAATCGCTACGAGTTTCAAAACAATAATATCGTATTTGTATGTAACTAATCAACCTTAATCTTTGAAATTGGGCTTACATTTCATAGCATTCGGGATATTTTAGTCTGAGGTTTTTTTTTGTCATTTATATTTTTTTTCAGCGAATTCATTTGAAATCCCACCAGAGGTGTGACAGCAAGGTTGCACGAATGTTCAGTTTGAGAAATATTTTAAAGTCATTTTTGAGTATCTGCTTTGGGATTTAATGTAGCTGAAATTTTTTTGGTATATTCAATAAAACAATTCCCATTATTGATGACTAAACCCTAATAAAAAATATAACAAAATTGAAAAATATAAGGTGAACAGCTGGTAATAATTACATTAGAATATGTCTTTAACAAATGTATTTTTCTCCTTCTTTTATATTAGTTGTATCAAAGAGTTTTAATTCTTTAAAATAAATAAGTAAAAAAAATACCAAAACAACAACCTAGCAATATAATGTACATGTGCTTCGGTGATTTTTAGGAACATTGGAATGAAACAGGGATAGAGTTATCGTTCTTGTTTAAAGTAGTTCTTATGTTCATGCGCCAATATGAAATCCTTCCAGAGGGGCACGACATTCGTCACCACTCGCCCCTTTCCGTAACCTGCAAGAATTCGGCTTGTTCCGGAAGAACACGAGTTGGTCACGAATGTCTGTGACTCGTTAAAATATCTCAGCTGTGAGTGAAATGATCTTGACAACCATATGTTGTCATCGTGATTGTACCAATTTGTTCTGGAAACTGTATGAACCCTTCGAATTCTTGAAGTGTTTCCATTTCACTCTCTTCAATATGTAATTCTAAACAGACTTCCTCTTAGTCGTCGTTGTTTTTTCCTGCTGTTGTTTTGTCATCGTCGTCGACCTAATCCTCATCACTTCAATCATCATCATCATCGTCATCAGCATTATCATCATCATTTCGGGGGTGGATTAGGACTGACTGACTGACTGAGTTTTGGTTTTACGCCGCTTTTAGCAATATTCCAGCAACATCACGGCGGGGGACACCAGAAATGGGCTTCACACATTGTACCCATGTGGGGATTCGAACCCGGGTCCTTGGCGTGACGAGCCAACGCTTTAACCAGGGTGGATTAGGAATTCCACATTTGCAGATGTATGGTAGGTCAAGATCCCATGTTCCTCTGGACCTAGATTTTCGAAGCTCTCTTAGTGTTAAAATGGCCGTAAGTGCCATACATTAACATTAACATACAACTATCTTAGCTCTAAGAGAGCTTCGAAAATCTACGCCCAGTTTTGGAAACTGGCCAACTGCCCAGTAGCGTCATGTCTTGTTGTGCAAGATGCAATCGAGACATACATCCCTATATTTCTTCTTTTTCAGTATTGGACATGAATCTGAAACTAGACGAAGAGGAACCTACCGAGGACAGATACTCGACAGATGACAATCTCGAGTCGGAAGAAGAAGAGGGGGGAAACCTCGATGATTTTTTTTAATAATGAATGAAGTTTGACCCCGCACACCAGAGTCGCACAGTGAACAGCTCCCTGCACTGTCACCGATGTCTTGATACTGACACGACCTGGTCCACCTATACAGCATTAAATCACACTGTTTGGCAGTACCATTAACTCAACATTCGAGAAATTGTGATCAAATATAATTGTTTATCATCCAAAACTGTGTTCCACAGGAGATATCGCTTGTGTAACATGATATGATATCTCCTAGGAGATATCGTTTTGACAGTAGATTTTGTACAATGCCCTGACAATGTTATGACGTCATCAACTTGATGACGTCACAATGCTATGACATCGCTGCACTGCAAGTCTAATGGTAGTACAGTGTTGACAGATGTACATTTTTCATTGAAAACTAATGAAGAATGATTTTTGATGATAAATAGAATCTCACCCTCGTGTCTTCTGATATCAAATATATCAACACTCGTTGATAAAGGTAAAAATATCCTCGGCAAGTCTCGGATATTTGTAACTTTATCAACTCGTGTTGATATAATTGATATCAGTAGACACTTGGGTGAGATTCTCTATTTACAGTTAAGTGAGTTTAAAATATATTTACATTTATTTTTCGTGGATGCCTACACAGAATTCAGGACAGTTATGTTTACAATGACACTATGCTTGAATAATTGTACCAAAGAGATAGTGGGATTTCCTTCCGTACACTTCTTCTTAAAAATCCTGGAGGAAATAATGAATACCGTTAAGTGTTAAAGTTCCCTATAAACTGATGTGCAAAAGAAAGTACACAGGTTGTGTTTCTTCCAATAAGATAAAAATAACAAAACCTTTTGATGAAATGGAAAATTTATGTTGAAGCACACTGCAATACACGTGTTTTATCAGCAAAATGACATTGTAACAATAAACAGCGATGTAGTGATGACCACTGCAGACGGTTCCTACGATGCTGGAAGGTCAAGGCCATTCCACGCATCGGTCGGTAGGCCCATACATGCCAGCAGGACGAAGTCGTCTTGTCACTGTGAATCGGCTTACGCGATGACCCAAGGATGTGGCTGCTGATGACGTCACCGTCAACATCCAGTTGCGTAGGTGAATAACCCGCAGATAGCGATCCTCTTGGGGTGTTGTGACTCAGGAACGTCCACTTTTGAGTCGATCACATGTCTGGCCTGTCGTACTGAAACAGTTAAACAGACGAATTATGGTTTGTCTTGTGCAACCCAATGTCCTGCAATATCGCTGTTGAAAGCACCCATTTGTGTCATTCCTTTGGCCCGTTGCGCCGACGTCAATCTTGGCATTTCCTAGTGAGATTTCTGTCAAGTGATTGTTCAGTCTTCACGACCAACAGGTTTTATACTCTCTGTCAGAAAAGTGCTGGTGCATGGGACAATAACAATTTTGCAAAAATTCGTGCAAAACATGTACAAATGTTTTTGGTTGCATTTTGGTAAATGAAACATGATGGTTGCGTTCTATACAATCAATGTTTTTCAATAATTTTATTAGTTAGAACGCATATTTGGGATTGCAACAACAATTACACCTTTGTACTTTCTTTTGCTCGTCAGTTTATATATCTTTTAATGTTGTATTAATGGTGAGTACTATACATGAGTCCTTCTCCATCTTCATCAATATATATGTGTTGTCATCATCATCAATGATATTAGTAAACAGTATATTTAGGTTTTATATATGTGACATTGGTGTCAACAGTGGATGTGTATATATTATGAGAAGTTTTAGACCGATGACAGCAATGAAATAATCACTGTAAAATTTGCGTGTGTTTTCATATTGCTTTACGTTTTTATTTGAATACACTCGTTGACAACGTTTTTATTTGAATACACTCGCTGACGACGTTTTTATTTGAATACACTCGTTGACGACAGGTTTTTTTAATACACTCGTTTACAACGTTTTTATTTGAATACACTCGTTGACGACTTTTTTATTTGAAAACACTCGTTGACGACGTTTTTATTTGAATACACTCGTTTACGACGTTTATATTTGAATACACTCGTTGACGACGTTTTTATTTGAATACACTCGTTGACAACGTTTTTATTTTAATACACTTGACGTTTGAATACACTCGTTGACAACGTTTTTATTTGAATATTATCGTTAACCTTTCTATTTGAATACACTCGTTAACGATGTTTTTATTTGAATACACTCGTTGACGACGTTTTGGTTTGAATACACTCGTTGACGACGTTTTTATTTGAATACACTCGTTGACAACGTTTTTATTTGAATACACACGTTGACGACGTTTTTATTTGAATACACTCGTTGACGACGTTTTGGTTTGAATACGCTCGTTGACGACGGTTTTATTTAAATACACTCAATGACAACGTTTTTGTTTGAATACACTCGTTCACGACGGTTTTATTTGAATACACTCGTTAACAACGGTTTTATTTCAAATTGAATACACTCGTTAACGGCGTTTCTATTTGAATACACTCGTTGACGACGTTTTTATTTGAATACACTCGTTGACGACGTTTTTATTTGAATACACTCGTTAACGACGGTTTTATTTGAATACTCTCGTTAACGGCGTTTTGATTTGAATACACTCGTTCACGACGTCTTTATTTGAATACACTCGTTGGCATTTTTATTTAAATACTCTCGTTGACGACGTTTTTATTTGAATACACACGTTGACGACGTTTTTATTTGAATACACTCGTTACCGAAGATGTTTACCCCTCTTTAGCGTACACCCAGGATTTCAGTTAGAATCCTAACTTTGGGACGAAGACAAACATAAACTTACTCTTGCAAGCCCATAAAAAGCATAGGACAGTTTCTACTTTCTTCAGCTATATTTATAAAATAATGTCTCCGAACCAAAGCAACTCCATCTACATTAGAAATAAATTTTAAGACCATTACCAAATTTCATAAAATAAGTTACACAATTATTGCAAAAAACAGTTGATAACGTCCATACACCACATTCAGACACTTGCTGTGTCGTTCATTAATGTTCCAGTTAGCAGCTAATTAGGTATCTTCCTTAATTAACAGTCTTTCGGTCAAGCCATCAAAAGATATCGTGGAAGGTTATTTTAAATAAATGATATTTTCAACCAAAAAAAAGCTGGCTTTTCTGAAAAAAATGGACTATGGCTCCAACAGAAACTGCCTATTTCTTTCACTGATGTTCTTCCAACTGAAACGTATCATTTCTCAAACATAAAAGGCGAAAGACTGACTAAGTTTTCGTTTCTACGCCGCTTTTAGCAATATTCCAGCAACATCACGGCGGGGGACACCAGAAATGGGCTTCAAACAGTGTGCCCATGTGGGGAATCGAACCCGGGTCTTCGGCGTGACGAGCCAACGCTTTAACCACTAGGCTACCCCACCGCCCAAAAGGCGAAAGAAAGGTAATTATACCGCTTACCCTTGAAAAGTGGAATTAGCCTCAAATAACAATATGAAAACGTTACTAGGCTGAAGGGAGGCACGACTGGTCCATTCGTCTAAGCAGAGTTGTATCCCTTGGGTGCGCCAGGAATCACTAAATCCCGTTCAGTCGCGGGTTTCTTGGCTTGTCAGCGTCCTACCTGTATACATGTGTTTCAACGAAGTTGTTAATGTCTGAGACGTTAAACTCTTTGAGGTTCCTTCTGACAGGGCGGCGGGGTGGCCCAGTGGGTAAAGCGTTTGCCCGTCACGCCGAAGACCCGGGTCGATTCCTACATGGGTACAATGCGTGAAGCCCATTTCTGGTGAGCCCCGTCGTGATATTGCTGGAATATTGCTAAAAGTGGCGTAAAAGTAAACTCACTCACTTACTCTAACAGATTAAATGGAACACAAGTGATGATATGATGTAGACTAGCAGTATTTCATTGCCAAAGCTCAACAGCTTAAAAAACACCCCTGATTCATTCTGTTTTAACACCCACGTTAGATTTTACAATTTCTTAAAAAACATACTTCTCCATCAGTTTGAAATACATATATATGTATGACGCCTATACCATGTGATAACCGATTTCACTTATTACATAACATGCTAAGGGTTATATTGGTATTGAGTGAGTGAGTGAGTTTAGTTTTACGCAATATTCCAGCTATATGGCGGCGGTCTGTAAATAATCGAGTCTGAACCAGACAATCCAGTGATCAACAGCATGAGCATCGATCTGCGCAATTGGGAACTGATGACATGTGTCAACCAAGTCAGCGAGCCTGACCATCCGATCCCGTTAGTCGCCTTTCACGACAAGCATAGTCGCCTTTTGTGGCAAGCATGGGTTTATATTGGTGTTGTCAGTGTGGTAAACATTAGCGTCAAGAAGTGCTATCATGGCTGATATAACCTTAATGTCAGAAGAAATGAGTGAGTGAGTGTATAACTGGAATACAGCGATTGCCTATTATACTCACATGTTGTTTTGGTTGAATAATTTCAACTGACTTACATATCGTTTAGTGATTTTTGACAAACGTTACACAATGCCAAAGTGGAACCCCTTTATCTAAAATCGTGGAACCGCCCCTTTGTTCCATTTTTTCAACCGCTCATATCGGACTGGAACGTCCAGATCAGTCTGGTTGTTGGTAACAGTCGCGCTATCAGCTGATGACATAGATCACATGTTAGAGACACCTGTCAGTCACTCTTATCAACACATGTCTGAAATGAGCTAATATATGTAAACAACCTCCTCAACCAAGGCTACGATATGATCCCAGCTATGACGTTCGTAAATCTTCGTTGATGTACTGAATACGTTGTGATCGCCTGAGATCCGTGAAGATCACGGTTAGAATTGATCTTCAGTAACCCATGCTTGTCGACTAACGGGATCGGGTGGACAGGCTCGCTGACTTGGTTGACACATGTCATCGGTTCCCAATTGCTTAGATCGATGCTCATGCTGTTGATCACTGTATTGTCTGGTCCAGACTCGATTATTTACAGACCGCCGCCATATAGCTGGAATATTGCTGAGTGAGGCGTAAAACTAAAATCACTCACTCACTGTGACCGGCTGGCAGACGTTTATGTGATCACTGTCCGTCCAATTTGGATAAATAACTAATCATGAAACATACACTATGTGTTTCAAGTGAGTGGGTGAATTGGGTTTTACGCCGCTTTTAACACTATTCCAGCAATATCACGGCGGGGAACACTAGAAATGGGCTTCACACCCTTGTGGGGAATCGAACCCGGGTCTTCGGCGTGACGAGCGGACGCTTTAACCACGAGGGTACATATATGGCATCTGGAGATTTACCCCGCGGTAAAGATAATTGTTCTTACGTAGCGTGTGCGTGCGTGCGTGTGTGCGTATGTGCCGTGGTTATACTGCTAGCTTACTGAGACACCATGCTGTTTCGCAGTGCTCAACTATGAGATAAGTCATAGGTCTAAAAACCTATGGCCGACAAGTGAGTATGATTGCCGATGGTTTTGGAGAAAATGCCTGCTTACTGTCGAGGAAATGATTTACAGATGTTGCAATAAGTTTTTAGACCCGTGGAATGCCGCTGCCGATCGAATCTAGTCCTACATAGGTGCTGTCAACGTGGCTGGAATTAATAAACGAATTTAAAAGGTGAGTTTTCGCTGTCTTGGGTGATCCATGAGTTTGGCTTGGAATGGCGGAGGTAGCTGTTTTCGGTGAGTCGCGGCGTATAACTTTTGAAATAAAGATCCGATTGTGACCATTTATAGCTCATTTTGTAGGGAAATCATCTCGCTTTCGATCCGTAGGCTTCGACGGGGTCTTAAAATAGTTTACGTGGTGAAATCTAACTTTGATTGAGGAGGGGGTGGTTAAGTCGTTACATCCCTTTCCTTTTATATAGTACTAGGGTAGGGTCTATATACCTATATGTCTTTCTAACGCTGTTTCTAATCGTGACACGCCCCTGTGAGATAAGTTACAGTCACTTATATCTCCAGATCCTGAGTGTGGTTTGATATCAATTATACCATAACTATATCATCCCAGCCACGCCGAGACACGGGAGTGGGGATCTTATTCATCTTCCAACGTAATGACTCAGTTCTTTATCATGTAAGGTCTCATAAACCTACTGAATGTACAAGAGGTCACTGTCCAATAAATGACAGACGCAAAGCTACATGCATATATGGGCGTCTACTTACTCAATAAGATGTTGTCTAAGGTTACCAGTTTATTTCTTTTTATACAAATAAAACGACTGAAAAACAGTTGGCACTATATGATCAACGGGCGGTTTACTCTGTCGTTGTATTTACGCGTAGGTTCTAAGGTTACTTTAGTGAGTGAGTTTAGTTTTACGCCGCACTCAGCAATATTCCAGCTATATGGCGGCGGTCTGTAAATAATCGAGTCTGGACCAGACAATCCAGTGATCAACAGCATGAGCATCGATCTGCGCAATTGGGAACTGATGAAATGTGTCAACCAAGTCAGCGAGCCAGATCACCCGATCCCGTTAGTCGCCTCTTAGCATAGTCGCCTTTTGTTGCAAGCATGGGTTGCTGAAGACCTATTCTACCCCGGATCTTCACGGGTCTCTTCAGTGAGTGGTATTGATTCCAAAAAGTGGTAAGTTTAAGGTACATTGTTTATTCTCCTTCTATATTATATTGTATGCTCACCAACTATCGTATTATAAGAAAACAATGCTTCAGTATGATACTCACTATGTGTAAATCTGAGAGGTCAATGATCTCTGATTATATGTCCAGAATATATCCTGCTGCAAGTATGTCGATCTCCATATCTATATACATCGAATCTCCAATAATAACCTGCTGTGAAGTTAATAATCTCTGTTTATATCTGCTACAAGTGGGGCGGTGGGGTAGCCTAGTGGTTCAAGCGTTGGCTCGTCACGCCAAAGACCCGGGTTCGATTCCCCACATGGGTACAATGTGTGAAGCCCGTTTGTCGTGTCCCCCCGCCGAGATATTGCTGGAATATTGCTAAAAGCGGCGTAAAACTAAACTCAGTCAGTCAGTCAGTTTGCTACAAGTGTAATAATCACTATATGTATATATCCAGTTTATTTCCAAGGAATATCCTGCTCCGGGTTCGATTCTCCACATGGGCACAATGTGTGAAGCCTGTTTGTGGTGTCCCCCGCCGTGATATTGCTGGAATATTGCTAAAAGCGGCGTAAAACCCCACTCACTCACTCACTCTAACATGTCTATAAATAAATTATCTTTGTTATGTGGCAACAAATACTGGGTGATAATTTACAAAACTCATATCTCGGATATATTTTAATTATTGAAACTTAGTCTACGCCATAGATTAGATCTGGCTATAGTATATCAAATCTCATGGATAATTTTCGCCAAGAAAAAAAATATGTCAACACTTAATGTTCACAGTACTTCACAATATCGAAGCAAAAAATCATTTTAAAATTTTATTATATATCATGTAGACTGTCGTGACCAGTATTCTGGTATTTCGATGTATCAGTTCAGACCATCGGTTCGTTGTCTTCATATTCACTCAGTGGCACCGTGGGTCTGCTTCTTTGTCGCTAGAGCCGCGTGAAGCACCGTATACACACCACTTCGCGCGCGTAAATAGTCTGAAAGTAAAAACAAGAATCAAAAATAGTTTCTTAAAGGTAAATTCTAACAGTCCACCCACTCATCCTCTTGTTTTGACGCTAAACCAAACAATATTCAAGGAGTATGTCGAATCCAGTGGCTGATATCATGAGCATTGGTGTACGCAACTTCGATACGATGCCATCAAATAATCGGCGAGCCGGACCACCCGATCCCCTTTGTCGCTTCATTCGACAAACATGTCTTGCAGAAGGCCGATTTCAATCGGGAATTTCACGGGTGGTATTTTTGGTCGAACCGACTTTTGACATTCTCGAGGGTAGAACGGTGGGTTGGGAATACTGCAATAATTAACATCCTTCCTCATAATCAGCCCAAATAGATATATCGAGAAAAGTGAGAATAATTTACGTCAATTTTAACACCTCACCCCGACGAACACGAGAAAACGGCTTCACGCACTGCACCCATTTGGGAATCGAACCTGCTGCTATAATACGACGAGCCACCCGTTTAACGACTAGACTACTCTACACTGTCGAGTTTGGCCTTACGCCGCTTTCAGCAATATTAAGCCATAACGGAAAGGACTGACAATAGATACGGGGTGTGGTCAAATGGGAATCCAACCCGCTGATGAACCAGCGCTTTACCCGATCTTCCCCTGAGAAAAGACGAGTGAGTATGAATTTACGCCGCATGTAGCTGTATTACTACAGAGGTGATGCCAGACTGACTGACTGACTGAGTTTAGTTTTACGCCGCTTTTAGCAATATTCCAGCAATATCACGGCGGGGGACACCAGAAATGGGTTTCACACATTGTACCCATGTGGGGAGTCTAACCCGGGTCTTCGGCGTGACGAGCCAACGCTTTAACCACTAGGCTACCCCACCGCCCCCAGGTGATGCCAGAAATGGACTTAATGTACAGGTAGGGAATCGAACTCGGACATGTGCATGACGAGCTGAACGCTTTAACCACTAGGCTACCAGGAGCGGGATACCTACCATGACCATTTCTCCATCAACGACATCGCGGACAGTCCTCTGTGACGGCAGTTCAGAGTCGATCGGCGTCGCTATCGTCTCCAGCTTCCCGTCGCTATAGGAAGCAATAACCTGTAAATACAGAGTGATTTTAGCCAGCGCAGCATACCGAGGAAACCAAACTGTCATCTTAACAATTCTTACAAATAAGGCCCGTGAAGATCCGGGTTAGAATTGGTCTTTAGTAACCCATGCTTGTCGTAAGAGGCGACTAACGGGATCGGGTGGTCAGGCTCGCTGACTTGCTTGACACGTGTCATCGTATCCCAACTAAGTAGATCGATGCTCATGCTGTTGATGTTAATAATATAAAGACAGATTTTGAAAGAAGAATGCAACAAAGAGGGTTCACGGGATCATGCCACAATACTTAGTGAGTGAGTATATAAACTTTACACCTGTTTGACGATCGCCAGGTAGAACATATGAGCAAAGGATGCATTGACTAAGGTATAATTTAATTCTGAGCACCGTGATGATGAAGTTCCCTAGATATCAGGTCTATAGTGTGACCACTCCGACCAGAACAGTCATTTAAAAGTCAAAGAGTGAAAATGGTAATTCACAACCTGGATATTGTTCCCAAAGCAGGATGTCAACAACGCGTATGCCCCCCACGTGCGTTCACAACTGCAATGCATCGTCTCCTCATGGAATGACTGATGCGTGTTCGATCCATATTCCACGGGTCTAAAAACTTATTGCAACATCTACAAATCATTTCCTCGGCAGTAAGCACGAATTTTCTCCAAAACCATCGGCAATCATACTCACTTGTCGGCCATAGATGGCCTTGACATTCAAGTGATCTGAGCAGATCCGCAGAAACTGAATTGGGCCATCCGATTGGTGGAAAATATAATATACTGTAAGATTTTGCCTGTTTGCTAAGGGCCGCGAAATATGAACTTTGCAATATTCCTTCTATTTTGGATCATATACGGAACAGTAAATTGTTAAGAATAATTTTAGGGGTTGTAAAAATGCATTCGATATTGTTTCATTTTCATGAAATTATATTTATAAATATTTAACCTCTAACATTATTCTTACCAATTTACTGCTAAGGTCACTTAAATGTCAAGGCCATCTATGGTGCCTTTGCTTCGTGACTTTGCACAGGTTCTAGTGATGTGAACGAGGCCCAGGCTGTTGCCTGGTTACGACAAGCATTTTAGGGATCATCTAACCCAGAATCACCACAGATACAAATAAAAGTAAGTGAAGGATAAACCAAAGGATTTATACGGATCTTCTGTCTAATGGTTCAGCAGCAGCATGGTTACCTTGTGTTTGACACCGCTCGTCTCGTTCTCGAACTCATTGTCCAGTATGAAGTTGTCCTCTCTGTCCCAGAACCCAGTCTTGTACAAGATGCGGATTTTACCGTCTTTCACTTCAACTTCCTGTTCCGGTTTTCCGGTAGCTGCCAGTTTCCTAGCAACTACATTCACCCCTGCAATAACAAGGGACAAGTTAGTCGCAATACGATAACCCTATCAATGTAAGACCGCCTCCGTGGTGTAGTGGTTAAAGCGTTTGTCGGACAGCGGAAGGTCGCGGGTTCGATTCCCGACCTCGTCATACCAGACGTTCAAATATGGTACTTGTTGGACCCTGCCTGGCGTTCGGCATTAATGGGTACAACAAGGACTGGTCGGCTCGGAGTCAGTATAATGTGTCTGAGGGGTATTCATGCTTAACTGCAGCATTGTATCTCAGTGAGCTAGCACTATAAAACCAGCTTAAGTCTGGGCTAGTACAAGCAGCCGCACATACACACGCATGCACGTCGTCATATGAGCGAAATATTCCATAGTACGACGTTAAACCTCATTTCACGTCACCAATGTAAACAGGTGCAAAAGCATGAACAAATATTGATAATTCTGTTGGGCACAATTCTACACATTATATTCGTTCTGGATAAGAACACATGGTTATTGGAAAACGTTTCTGTGACCTACCCCGCCCCGTATTCTTCACGGGACTCAGTCTGATATACTGGTGACATATCCCGCCCCCTATTCCTCACGGGACACGACCTGGTATACTGGTGACATATCCCGCCCCTTATTCCTCACGGGACTCAGTCTGGTATACATACTGGTGACATATCCCGCCCCCTATTCCTCACGGGACTAAACCTATTATACTGGTGACATATCCCGCCCCCAATTCCTCACGGGGCACAACCCGGTATACTGGTGACATACCCCGACCCTATTCCTCACAGGACACAACCTGGTATACTGGTGACATATCCCGCCCCCTATTCCTCATGATCACGGGACACAACCTGGTATACTGGTGACATATCCCGACCCTATTCCTCACAGGACACAACCTGGTATACTGGTGACATATCCCGCCCCCTATTCCTCATGATCACGGGACACAACCCGGTATACTGGTGACATACCCCGACTCTATTCCTCACAGGACACAACCTGGTATACTGGTGACATATCCCGCCCCCTATTCCTCATGATCACGGGACACAACCTGGTATACTGGTGACATATCCCGCCCCCAATTTCTCACAGGGCACAACCTGGTATACTGGTGACATATCCTGCCCCCTATTCCTCACGGAACTCAGTCTGGTATACTGGTGACATATCCCGCCCCCTATTCCTCACGGGACACAACCTGGTATACTGGTGACCTCCCGCCCCCTATTCCTCACTGGGCACAACCTGGTATACTGGTGACATATCCCCCCCTTATTCCTCACGGGACACAACCTCGTATGCTGGTGACATCCCGCCCCCTATTCCTCACGGGGCACAACCTGGTATACTGGTGACATATCCCCCCCTTATTCCTCACGGGACACAACCTGGTATACTGTTGACATATCCCGCCCCCAATTCCTCACGGGACTCAGTCTGGTATACTGGTGACATACCCCGCCCCCTATTCCTCACGGGTCACAACCTGGTATACTGGTGACATATCCCGCCCCCTATTCCTCACGGGACACAACCTGGTATACTGGTGACATATCCCGCCCCCTATTCCTCACAGGACACAACCTGGTATACTGGTGATATATCCCGCCACCCTATTCCTCACGGGACACAACCTGGTATACTGGTGACATATCCCGCCCCCTATTCCTCACAGGACACAACCTGGTATACTGGTGACATATCCCGCCCCCAATTTCTCACGGAACTCAGTCTGGTATGCTGGTGATATATCCTGCCCCCTATTCCTCACGGGACACAACCTGGTATACTGGTGACCTCCCGCCCCCTATTCCTCACTGGGCACAACCTGGTATACTGCTGACATATCCCCCCCTTATTCCTCACGGGACACAACCTGGTATGCTGGTGACATCCCGCCCCCTATTCCTCACGGGGCACAACCTGGTATACTGGTGACATATCCCCCCCTTATTCCTCACGGGACACAACCTGGTATACTGGTGACATATCCCGCACCCTATTCCTCACGGGACTCAGTCTGGTATACTGGTGACATACCCCGCCCCCTATTCCTCAAGGGACACAACCTGGTATACTGGTGACATATCCCGCCCCCTATTCCTCACGGGTCACAACCTGGTATACTGGTGACATATCCCGCCCCCTATTCCTCACGGGACACAACCTGGTATACTGGTGGCATATCCCGCCCCTATTCCTCACAGGACACAACCAGGTATACTGGTGACATATCCCGCCCCCTATTCCTCACGGGACACAACCTGGTATACTGGTGACATATCCGCCCCCTATTCCTCACAGGGCACAACCTGGTATACTGGTGACATATCCTGCCCCCTATTCCTCACGGGTCACAACCTGGTATACTGGTGACATATCCTCACCCCCTATTCCTCACGGGACTCACACACCTGGTATACTGGTGACATATCCTGCCCCTATTCCTCACAGGACACAACTTGGTATACTGCTGACATATCCCGCCCCCCTATTCCCTCAAGGGACACAACCTGGTATACTGGTGACATATCCCGCCCCTATTCCTTACGGGACACAACCTGGTATACTGGTGACATATCCCGCCCCCTATTCCTCAAGGGACACAACCTGGTATACTGGTGACATATCCCGCCCCCTATTCCTCACGGGTCACAACCTGGTATACTGGTGACATATCCCGCCCCCTATTCCTCACGGGACACAACCTGGTATACTGGTGACATATCCTGCCCCTATTCCTCACAGGGGACACAACCTGGTATACTGGTATCTCGCCCCTATTCCTCACATATTCCTTTACGGGACACAACCTGGTATACTGGTGACATATCCCGCCCCCAATTTCTCACAGGGCACAACCTGGTATACTGGTGACATATCCCGCCCCCTATTCCTCACGGGACAAAACCTGGTATACTGGTGACCTCCCGCCCCCTATTCCTCACTGGGCACAACCTGGTATACTGGTGACATATCCCCCCCTTATTCCTCACGGGACACAACCTGGTATGCTGGTGACATATCCCGCCCCCTATTCCTCACGGTACACAACCTGGTATACTGGTGACATATCCCGCCCCCTATTCCACACGGGACACAACCTGGTATACTGGTGACATATCCCGACCCCTATTCCACACGGGACACAACCTTGTATATTGGTGACATATCCCGCCCCTATTCCTCACGGGACACAACCAGGAATACTGGTGACATATCCCGCCCCCTATTCCACACGGGACACAACCATGTATACTGGTGACATATCCCGCCCCCTATTCCACACGGGACACAACCAGTTATACTGGTGACATATCCCGCCCCCTATTCTACACGGGACACAACCTGGTATACTGGTGACATATCCCGCCCCCTATTCCACACGGGACACAACCTGGTATACTGGTGACATATCCCGGCCCCTATTCCACACGGGACACAACCTGGTATACTGGTGACATATCCCGCCCCCTATTCCACACGGGACACAACCTGGTATATTGGTGACATATCCCGCCCCCTATTCCACACTGGACACAACCTGGTATACTGGTGACATATCCCGCCCCCTATTCCTCACGGGACACAACCTGGTATACTGGTGACATATCCCGCCCCTATTCCACACGGGACACAACCAGGTATACTGGTGACATATCCTGCCCCCTATCCCTCACGGGACACAACCAGGTATACTGGTGACATATCCCGCCCCCTATTCCTCACGGGACACAACCTGGTATACTGGTGACATATCCCGCCCCTATTCCTTACGGGACACAACCAGGTATACTGGTGACATATCCCGCCCCTATTCCTCACGGGACACAACCAGGTATACTGGTGACATATCCCGCCCTATTCCACACGGGACATAACCAGGTATACTGGTGACATATCCTGCCCTATTCCTCACGGGACACAACCAGGTATACTGGTGACATATCCCGCCCCTATTCCTCACGGGACACAACCAGGTATACTGGTGACATATCCCGCCCTATTCCTCACGGGACACAACCAGGTATACTGGTGACATATCCCGCCCCTATTCTACACGGGACACAACCAGGTATACTGGTGACATATCCCTCCCCTATTCCACACGGACACAACCTTGTATACTGGTGACATGTCCTGCCCCTATTCCACACGGGACACAACCAGGTATACTGGTGACATATCCCGCCCCTATTCCACACGGGACACAACCAGGTATACTGGTGACATATCCCGCCCCCTATTCCACACGGGACACAACCAGGTATACTGGTGACATATCCCGGCCCCTATTCCACACGGGACACAACCTGGTATACTGGTGACATATCCCGCCCCCTATTCCACACGGGACACAACCTGGTATATTGGTGACATATCCCGCCCCTATTCCACACTGGACACAACCTGGTATACTGGTGACATATCCCGCCCCTATTCCTCACGGGACACAACCTGGTATACTGGTGACATATCCCGCCCTATTCCACACGGGACACAACCAGGTATACTGGTGACATATCCTGCCCCTATCCCTCACGGGACACAACCAGGTGTACTGGTGACATATCCCGCCCCCTATTCCTCACGGGACACAACCTGGTATACTGGTGACATATCCCGCCCCTATTCCTTACGGGACACAACCAGGTATACTGGTGACATATCCCGCCCCTATTCCTCACGGGACACAACCAGGTATACTGGTGACATATCCCGCCCCCTATTCCACACGGGACACAACCAGGTATACTGGTGACATATCCCGCCCCCTATTCCTCACGGGACACAACCAGGTATACTGGTGACATATCCCGCCCCTATTCCTCACGGGACACAACCAGGTATACTGGTGACATATCCCGCCCCTATTCCTCACGGGACACAACCAGGTATACTGGTGACATATCCCGCCCCCTATTCCACACGGGACACAACCAGGTATACTGGTGACATATCCCTCCCCCTATTCCACACGGGACACAACCTTGTATACTGGTGACATGTCCCGCCCCCTATTCCACACGGGACACAACCAGGTATACTGGTGACATATCCCGCCCCCTATTCCACACGGGACACAACCAGGTATACTGGTGACATATCCCGCCCCCTATTCCACACGGGACACAACCAGGTATACTGGTGACATATCCCGCCCCCTATTCCTCACGGGACACAACCAGGTATACTGGTGACATATCCCGCCCCCTATTCCACACGGGACACAACCTGGTATATTGGTGACATATCCCGCCCCCTATTCCACACTCCCGTGACACAACCTGGTATACTGGTGACATATCCCGCCCCCTATTCCACGCTCTCGTGAAGATACGGACTAGAATTAATCTTCAGTAACCCATCTTTGTCTTACGACACATGTATCCAAACTGCGTAGAGCGATGCTCATGATGTTTCTCATTGGATTGCCTGGTACCAGACTCGATTATTTACAGACCTGTCTTATAGCCCTAAAACTGGTTGTGGAGGTAAATAACAAACAGACACAGAGAGACTCTATTCCTCACGGTACATAATAAGGTACGCTGGGAACATATTCTATCTAGGCTCACAGCCTTCCAGCTATATATCACTTGACACAAACATATGTATGGTATGAACCTTTACTTCTGCAATGAACCGACTCACCCATTTCTTTCAGTAAATCATCGAAATTTTCGCTCCGACACAGTTTCCATTTCCCACCAAATTTCTGCTGAATTTCGTCCAGGGCCATGTCTTGTGTGGAGTTGTTTGTGCGGTAGGAGGAGAGGCGAGAGGGCTTCTGTAACAGTGTTACATCTGCAGGTCGGTCAAGGTCTGGTTACTCATCACGAGATAACACGATCAGCTGCTGTATCAGACAGACCATATCACCGCTGTCACTCTATCAGTACACATATTCACATACACTGACGAACAAAAGGCGATGGAAAAAAATGAGGCAAGCATGAACAATTCTTTTTCGATTTTCATGAATTTGATACGAAATTTTAATTTACAAAATTATTTTCCCGTATCTCGTACGTTACGCTCAAATAGTTGTATTTTTTAATTAATTTTTCTATAACATCATTCTGAGGTCGCCGCACTGGATCTCTGTTTTATTGTTTGTGATCACCCTATGTACAAAATGAACAAACATGATGTTATGATTTAAATTAGATGTGAATTGTACAAAATAGAATAAAAAATAGTGAATATGTTCTCCTTCATAATTATCATCCTCGACCTTATATCCCTCACATTTTATCAAACACGTATTTTTTCCAAAAATGTATGGCTGAATTAATCAATTATGTTTTTCAAATTACTAAATCGATCTATGATTAATTTCGTACTATTATGAAGAAAATCCAGAGGCCAAATATCGGAAATAATGGCCGGTCCTTCCACTGAACATCATCATCTTGGACCAAAGTGTAATTTCTACTTAATAACCCAGGCGTTGCAATTCCTGCATCAATGGGAGAAAAATGATCATAATTGTCGAAGTTTGCGTCATCCAAATTTGTTTAACTAAAGATGTGACCAATATATTATGTTCTAAGATGCTTTGCTAAAAGATGCTAAAAGATCAAAGGCGCCGACAATACTTATCAGGCGATAAATAGAGAATCTCACCCGAGTGTCTTTTGATATCAAATATATCACCACGAGTTGATAAAATAACAAATACCCGAGGCTTGCCGAGGATATTTTTAATTTTATCAACTAGTGTTGATATATTTGATTTCAGAAGACATGAGGGTGAGATTCTATTTATCATCAAAAATCACTCTTAATTAGTTTTCAATGAAAAATGTACATCTCTGAACACAGTACTGCCATTAGATTTGCAGTACAGCGATGTCATAACATTGTGACGTCAACAAGTTCATGACGTCATAGCATTGTCAGGGCATTGTACAAAATCTACTGTCAAAACGATATCTCCTAGGAGATATCGTCTGATCTCAAACAAGCGATATCTACTGTGGAACACAGTTTTGGATGATAAATAGAGAATACTACACGAGGTCTCGTTACATACGAATTATACGAAACGAGTGTTCTTCCTATGGTATCTGACCGAGCGAAAGCGAGGTCAGAAACCATAGGAAGGTCACGAGTTTCGTATAATTCGTATGTAATGAGACCGAGTGTGGTATTTTATTTATTACCCACGTCCTTCATGCATTAAATTGACAAAATAGCGTATTTTTGTTATTGTTATGGTTTCAAACCGAAACCGGTTTCATAAAGAGGTTGCGGAAGAGTTTTGTACTGTCGTACAATGTTTGCATGACGTCACACTGTAATGACGTCACTGCCTTGGTAACCGACGTCACGATGCATGTCAGTTGTCATCGCCTCGTACAGCCTCCTACATCAAACTACTCTATAGCACCCCGTCCCTTAGTTTGCAGTTGCTTCATTCGGCTAACATCACTGGTGGAAACATTGCGTTTATGTTTTTCGACGAATATTATGCCTCAGTTCGACTCACAATTAAACAGCGACACGGCAAACGTTCGCAATGTTTACATGAATGAATTCACGTGTTTGTTATGAATGAAAAAATAGTTACGTCACAACGTGACCTAATTGAGAGGTCATCGGTTATCCAATCAAATCGTTAGAATCTCAGGTCAAGTCGTTACGACACAGGTCAACACGACACGACACTTGTGTGACGTACGGGATTAGTATGCACCTACCCATACGTTGACCACGTGGGTAATAAATAGAGAATACTACACTTGGTCTCATTACATACGAATTATACGAAACGAGTGTCCTTCCTATGGTATTTGACCATAGGAAGGTCACGAGTTTCGTATAATTCGTATGTCATGAGACCGATTGTGGTATTTTATTTATTACCCACGTCTTACATGCATTAAATTGACAAAATAGCGTATTTGTGTTAGTTATCGTTTCAAACCGAAACCGGTTTCATAAAGGGGTTGCGGAAGAATGTTGTTCAGGGGCCCGATCCACAAAGCGTTCGTAGCGCTAAGAACATCGTAAAACCTATCGTAACTTTAAGACACAAATCTTAAGCGATCCACAAAGCTATCTTAGTGAAAACATCTCGTAAAATTAAGAGAAAAGTTAAGAACGACCAGCGCCTATCGTAAATCAAACATTTCTGTCGTAACTTGATAATTAAGATAGCTGCATATTTTCTGCTCACAGCATAGTCCGGCGATATCGTCTACCACGTCATGCCATTTTTGAGCTTGTAAACTGACTATCACCATATCTTGCTTACCAAACCGAGCGTTCTCATGCATTGTCGCCGGAAACACAGGTTTTAATTGCCCTCAGATATTATGGTAAGGGGTCATTTTTCTCTGAGCTAGCGGACTTGCATGGGGTATCCCAGTCCACTGTGTCACGGGTATTTACCCGCACAAACGATGCTATTGTCAAACATATGAAAACAATATCATTTCCAAAGGCAGCATCCGACCAACGAGCCACCAAGGAATCTTTCTATAACCTTGCTAGATTTCCAAAGGTGCTTGGGTGTATCGATGGAACTCTTAGCCCTATTATGCGACCCAGCGATGACGAAGAAGCTGTTTACGTGTGCAGAAAGGGTTTCCATGCCGTAAACGTTCAAGCTGTCTGTGACGCAGAAATAAGGTACGTGACACTACTTAGAAACTAACTACTATAGACCAAAACGTCCACATTTAATGCGTTATGCTTTCAGCATATGTATACTACCCGTATTCAAACATGATGGGAAATCATAATGTAACACTTCGAAGGATACACACCTTGTTTACTCCATTAATGACCTTGACAGTGACCAGAGGTGCCACCTATTCGTTTTCATAACCAATCATTACGCAAGGCCCAATATGGGTTATGCCATGAGGTCCAAAAAAGGTTGCTATTGCCGTTTTGGAAAGTAATTACATAACTTTTGTCAATAATGAATGCATGGTTGATGGAATAATTATAATTTTAATCCATAGGTTCACAAGTGTGGTGTCAAAGTGGCCTGGGTCAGTTCATGACTCGTTTATGCTTCAAAACAGCAGCATTGGGCAGTACATGGAGACAGCTGGGATTGACGGATGGCTGCTAGGTGATTCAGGGTAAATAAATAAATTAAATAAATTAAAATAAATAAATAAAAAAATTAAAAAATAAAATTAAAATAATAATAAATAAATAAATAAATACATAAATAACATTAAAAGTAGATTAAAAATTTAAAGTTAAATTGAAGACAGCAATGTTTAAATCAATCAAGAAATGAATTTTTTTTTCACCCTTTAGTTGATATGTATTATTGTAGTATTCATGTTGACTTTATGTTATTAATGGTATGGCTTATTTATACTTTTTTATTACTTTTCCATCAGATATGCCTGTCGCCCATGGCTGCTTACACCAAAAGTCAATCCAACCACACCTTCTGAGGAGCTGTACAACACTGCTCACTGCAGAACACGCAATACTGTGGAGAGGGCTTTTGGACTCCTCAAATCCAGGTTTAGGCATGTGCAAGTTCATACATTATTCTTCTAAAACTATTATAACACTATTTGAGATCATATATTGGAAAGCTTACTTTTTGGCTAGTGACAGATTGAGATGTAATAATATAATACAAGCATAATGTGATAATCTTGATACTCAAACTTCTTAGTAAATGAAAGACATGATCCGTCAAGAATACTTCAATTTATAGGAATAATTTGACTAGTAAAATTTGTCTTTATGCTGAACAAATAACAATGTTTTGTTTATAGGTGCCTACATAAATCCGGTGGCTGCCTCCCATTCAACCCAAAGAAATGCCATCAAGTTGTGTATGCAACCTGTCAGTTACACAATTTCTGCATCAACCTCAGATTGCCAGCTCCTCCAACACTGGAAGACCTTACCCATGAAGATGGGATATCTTACCAGGGACCTCTAAATGATGGTTCCAAAGTTCGACAAGCTGTCATTAACAACTGCTTTTCTTAATCATGGTGTCATTGGGCACAATTATAATAAATAATAACAATAGGTACAAGAACAGTCTGATTTTTTAATAGCTGTGCAAATGCATATTTGTCAAAGAAACTGAATGATTGGGGACACATTGAGTTCAGATTGGCCAGTTTGGTGCAGAGAGGTGATATAGGCAAACTTCTGCTCCTCAATGTGTAGTCTCTTCTTTTGAACTTCAAGCAGGTCCTTAAGGACGTTCAGTTTCTCCCTCTCTATCATAACAATAGTATCCTTATCTGAAATATAGTTTCATATTATATAGCACAAGTTTTACACCAGTAGATATTTCCCATCCATTAGTATAGCAAATACACACAAACAAGTTCTTTAGCAAAATACAATTTCCATCTATGTATGTTTTGAAACTTCATGAATAACAGTACATACCACTGAGAGTCTTTGAGGCCATCAAGTGTGCAACTGCATCAACTGTATCAACTGCATGAACTGTATCAACTGCATCAACTGCAATAAAGATACACATCATTGATTTTGAAATGTGGACATAGACATGAAAACATAATCACACATGAATCTGAAATTCTGAGTTAAGACATTTTACTATTAAATGTATACCACCCATCTTCTCTCTCAATGTGAAACATGAACACATAGAGAGAGTGGACTATCAAGTCATTGAGCCATTCCAGTAAAACCTGTGATACTATGATATTGTAGATATGATGTCATATTATGTTGTGATAGATTACTTGCTTAAAACTGTCATAATTCTCTCTCCACACAGAACCCTATAAATGTCTTGTCCTAAACTTAATGAGCATTATATCCATGATGTACATGTTAACAACCTTGGGGAACATCATCTGCTGACAACAAACTCTCTGAGTAGGTAGGCAGACTGTAGGCCCCATCACGTGGTAAATCCGGCAGTACACGGAGAGTCTCAGGGGTGGCCAGAGTAGTGTCTGTAAGTAAAACATGAATTGTAATAACAATTGAAAAATTTCATACAATCAAAAAGGAAAAATCTACCAAAAGTATGGTAACTCAACTGCATTATTATTCAAATTTTTAAATTAATTTTAATTACATCGGTTTCCTTACATTTTCAAATTCACCTTTATTTGTGATACAATCTACACTATGTGTCAAATATATTAATTAACATTTCATTTGAGATTGTTTCAGCTGTAAGCAATTCCACATATAACATTTCATGAACTTACATTCAAATTCCTCACTTTCAAGGCCACCATCACAACCTTGAATAGTGCATGAAGGCAGGAATGATACAACCTGAAATGAAATTGTTAAATTACAATTCAACAGCAACTGTATACACTGTAAACAATATGCCCAGATGTATTTCATATATCTTAATAAAGACACACGTGAAATTCATGATTCAGAAACGACTGTAGGCTCACCCGCTGTTCCATTTCTGTCAGGCTTGATGGTGGAGGCCCCCCACCAGTTTTGGTTGCCTCCCTCCTCCTTTCTGCCTCCTTTTTCCTTGTTTGACTCCTAATGAAACAAAAAAGTATAAATGTATATATACTGTCAGGACAAACGTGATATATCCCATGCAGGTAGAATTTATTTAATACAGAATATTATGTTAAAAATATTGATGTATTTTAGCACTTACTTGTAGTCCATCCACTTCTTTTTGACATCTTTGGTAAGTCTCTTGACCCCACTGTTTGCACTAATTCTGTAACAAATGTCAATGAACATTTATTAACAAATTAGAACGACAAGCATTAATCTTGGTGTTTTGATATATCCACAGTAAGAGAGAGGGTGGGGTTGAACTCCGAATCAGAAATAATACATCCAGGAATTACATCGTCTAAAAGACGGATAGAGTGCTGTCCCTTTCTGCGAGTCAAAAATGGCTTCCAGTGTGACTGCAGCGTTAGCTCCTGACTATAATATCCTTTCCATGAACCTAATTCCTACAGACTAGTTTCTGAATTACCACCGTGCGGTGACAGGTTGGTGAGACAGGCCATAGATACATACATATAGTCACCGCCTCTAATGCTTTCAACCTAGTTCGGTACTCAAAGCAAAACATCGATGTTTTACGTGATCAGTATTTACTTACTTCAACTCAAGTTGATACACCAGATATGACTCACGCAAATTCATAGATTCACTCACCTCTGTGAAATGTCTTCCCATGCCTTTTTCTTCATGATGTTTGTTACATTGTTCCTGAATGACGAAAATAGTAAGGTAGGTCCAGTTTTTGTTTCTCTGGCGCTTGATGGTGGCTGACGATTGACTGGAATTCATGTCGGTGTGTTGGCGACACGGAATGTGTCGTCTGCTAACCGAGTGCAGGGATTCCCTTGAAGTAATGACGTCATTGGGAAACCCCCCTATATTCGTCGCCTCCTCAGCAGGAGAGCGACGATCTTTATTTACGACAATGCTCGTAAGATAATGAATTTACGAATGGATTAAGAACGCTTTGTGGATCGGTCGTAAAAATTAGTAAAACTTTCTTATTTTCGATCGTAAACTCTTACGAATAACGTAGGCTACGAACGCTTTGTGGATCGGGCCCCTGTAGTAGACTCTTTGCATCACGTCACACTGTAATGACGTCACTACGCCTAGCTCGTCTGCCCCCTTGGTAACCGACGTCACGATGCATGTCAGTTGACATCGCCTCGTACACCCTCGTACATTAACTACTCCGTAGCACCCCGTTTCTTAGTTTGCAGTTGCTTCACTCGGCTAACCTCACTGGTGGATACTTTGCGTTTATGTTTTTCGACGCAGATAATGTCTCAGTTCGAGTCACAATTAAACAGCGATACGGCAATGCATATAACTTGTAGAATGAATGAATTCACGTGTTCGTTATGAATGAAAAAGTAGTTCCGTCACAACGTGACCTAAATGAGAGGTCACCGGTTATCCAATCAAATCGCTAGAATCTCAGGTCATAGAGAATACTACACTCGGTCTCATTACATACGAATTATACGAAACTCGTGACCTTCCTGTGGTATCTGACCTCGCTTTCGCGAGTGTGGTATTTTATTTAGTACCCACGTCTTACATGCATTATATTGACAAAATAGCGTATTTTTGTTATTTTTATGGTTTCAAACCGAAACCGGTTTCATAAAGAGGTTGCGGAAGAGTTTTGTACTGTAGTACAATATTTGCATGACGTCACACTGTAATGACGTCACTGCCTTGGTAACCGACGTCACGATGCATACCAGTTGTCATCGCCTCGTACAGCCTCCTACAGTAAACTACTCCGTAGCACCCCGTTTCTTGGTTTGCAGTTGCTTCATTCGGCTAACATCACTGGTGGAAACATTGCGTTTATGTGTTTCGACGGATATAATGTCTAAGTTCGACTCACAATTAAACAGCGACACGGCAACGATCGCAATATTTACATTCCCACAATGCATTTAAGTTGTAGAATGAATGAATTCACGTGTTTATTATGAATGAAAAAATAGTTACGTTAGAATGTGACCTTATTGAGAGGTCATCGGTTTTCCAATTAAATCGTTAGAATCTCAGGTCAAGTCTTTACGACACAGGTCAACGCGATACGACCCTCGTGTGACGTACGAGATTAGTATGCACCTACCCATACGTTGACCACGTGGGTAATAAAAGTCGTTACGACACAGGTCAACGCGATACGACACTCGTGTGACGTACGAGATTAGTATGCAGCTACCCCCATACGTTGACCACATGGGTAATAAAGACTTTTTTGCATTACGTCACACTGTATTGGCGTCACTATGCCATTCTCGCCTACCCCCTCGTTACGTACCCTTGGTAACCGACGTCACGGTGCATGTCAGTTGCCATCGCCTCGTACAGCCTCCTACAGTAAACTACTCCGTAGCACCCCGTTGTTGTTGTTTTTTTGGTCTGCTTTTTGGGGGGGGTGGGGGGTGCAATAGCTTCAACTCGGCTAACATCACTGGTGGAAACATTACGTTTATATTTTTCGACGGATAAAATATCTGAGGTCGACTCTGTGATGTGGAGTACTCGACTTTCTTTGGGTTTGCCATGGTTAGCAAAGAAGACTTTGGTTACAAGCATTTTAAAGCAATACATTTCCTTCTGAATAAGAATAATCAATAGATGAAACATGTCCTTCTCACTTTGTTTTATCCCTCAATATGTTTTTTTATCCTTTAATCTTATCGTGTGAGATGGGGCATAGCCTCTGCTAATTGCCCTCTACTCCCCTAATCCCATTGTAGGCATTAGTGCAACAGTGGAACAGTCCACTTGTGCGCAGGTAATCGTATCGCTGTCTCAACAACTTTGTAGCTATTTTTCCCTGTCGGCATTAGAAGATCTAACCAATTAAACAGCGACACGACAACGTTCGCAATGTTTACATTACCACACGGCACCGTATCCCCGTAACGATCATAGGCGGATCCAGAGGGGGGGTGCAGGGGTGCGCACCCCCCTTTTTGTCCTGAAAGTTTATTAAATGACCATTGAAACTCGGGTGAATATGAAATGTGCACCCTCCCTTTTCTCAATAGTGTGCACCCCCCTTTTTTCAAAAAGCTGTATCCGCCCCTGACGATGCTCATGATCACTTGACTGCCTAATCCAACACAAATACTCAACTCAGCTGACTGTAAATTCATATAGACTCAGCTGTGTTAAAGTCAAGGAAGCTCTCTCTATAATCTTCAGCTGAAATGGGAAACCAAACTTAATATTACTCTAGCAGATGACTATCTTCGTGACTGTTTTGCATTGATAAATTAAACTACCATAGAAAATATAGCCAGAATTTTCAGTATAAATTTGATTCATGGAATGGTTACAACTAACTCATTTCTGTTTAAGATAGGTACCCATGATAATAATGCCTGTACCCTCTGCGGAGACTTTAGAACATTTATTCTATTTCTGTGAAAAAACAAAACACCTTCTCTCTACATTTGTTGAGTGGTATCGATACAAAACCAGCTGTAATCTAAGTATAAATGTTGAAAGTTTCCTGCTGGGAGGACCAGAGGCACCTGTCCTGATTAACCATCTTTTTATCATTATCAAGAAATATACAAGATATGACTTTACGGAATTAAATATCAACCAACTAATATATTTCATAAAATACAATTTCAAACTAGAAAAACATATTTTCGGCGAAAATGGTGAAACATTTCGTTTAAAATGGACTTCTCTATTCCCCTGTGTGTAAAACGTGTCCTGATTAACCATCTTTTTATCATTATCAAGAAATATATTAACAAAACAAGATATTTCTTTACGGAATTAAATATCAACCAACTTATATATTTCATAAAATACAATTTCAAACTAGGAAAACATATTTTCGGCGAAAATGATGAAACATTTCATATAAAATGGACTTCTCTATTCCCCTGTGTGTAAAACCCTTCTGCTCCCTGTGTCTATACCGCTATCTTCTCTTTTCAAACTCCTTTCGTCTGCACGTTCAGTTCTAAGTGAATCAAACCTTATCTGTATCTCTTCTTCTAATCTAAGGGGCGCCAGGCAGGAAATAACAAGTACCATATTTTAACGTATTTTGGTATGACACGCCCGGGGATCGAACAAGTGACCTTCCGCTCTCCGGGCGGACGCTCTAACCACTACACCACGGAGGCGGTCATTTCAACAATTGAGTTTATGAGGATAAATGCATGTATTGATGTTGTATTTTTACATCCCATGTTTTCGTTAATAGAATAAATATGTCAGTATACTTCCCACCTTCCAAAATATCACTTAAAAAAGATTTTTGTGAAGACTTGAGTTATGCCCCTTTGGTCCACTAGGATCCGTTTCTGGTATGTTCGATTTCCAGATCGGTCCTTCCTATGATTCTTGTTTTATCAGCATTATATCCATCCTAGTAGGTTTAACCAAGGTGGTAGACGTCTAATGTAAGAAGGAGCAATTGGGTAGCCTAGTGGTTAAGGCGTTCGCTCGTCACGTCGAAAACCCGGGTTCGATTCTCCACATGGGTACAATGTGTTAAGCCCATTTCTGGTGTCCCCCGCCGTGATATTGCTGGAATATTGTTAAAAGCGGCGTAAAACTAAACTCACTCACTCACTCTAATGTAAGAGGTGCTTCACCTAGCTCATGCTTTCCTTCGACATTCTGTTCAAAAAGGCTTAAACCCTTTCCGCTCTCATATCTTATGTCTGTACCTTGTTACAATCTTATTTCGTCACTCTACGCTGCCGGGCAAATGACGTGTGCACTAGAAAAATTGGTTTTGAACATACAATTACAAACGCTATGAAAATGCTACAAGGCCACAATCGACAAAATACTACAGTGAAATGTCAAGGTCACCGTAGATAAACTGTTTCTTGGCTGTTTTTGTTGTTGGTGGGGGTGGTTGTTTTGGGGGGTTTTACGGGGGCGGAGGGTTGTTTTGTGCTTGTTTTTTGTTTTGATTTATGATTTTTTTTTGGTGTGTTTTTGTTTTTGTTTTGTTTGGGGCTTTTGGGGAGGTGTTTTATTTGTTTTTGTTTTTGGGGGTTGTTTTTTTATTAGCGTTTATTTTTAAATTTTAAGCCACAGACATACATGTTGTTGGTGGTGTGTGTTTGTTTGTTTGTTTGTTTTGTTTTTGTTTTGTTTTGTTGTTTGTTTGTTGTTGTTGTTTTTTTTGGGGGGGGTCGGTGTTTGTTTTTTTTGTTTTTGTTTGGGTTTTTTGGGGGGGGATTTGTGTGTGTGTGTGTGTGTTGTTGTTTTTTATTCATCTTTATTTAGGTACAAAACTATGACATCAAATAGCAGTCAAATATAACCATGCGTCTGTATACAGAGTTTGGTAAGCATATTATAGCAAATGACATTGTAGGAAAAAATGGGTCGGTTGTACGTTAGCATCAATCAAACAATTGATGAAAATCTGACCAAAATCCAACAAATTTGGTGAAATTGCAAGAAGAGATGGCATGTGTTTTCTCGATATTGTAAACTTTACATATTTCATTTCTGATCATATCGAAACTTATTGTACAAGTATATGTTCTTATTTTAAAGAGAGTAAATTTGACAACTGTTATCAGGAGATTAAGGACATCGTTCCTTTTTTCAGAGAATCCAAATATGATTTTCTTCTTATCGATATTCAATGTGATATCCGTTTTTATTTTTATCCAATTAGAAACTTGATTCCATATGTTTTTAGACTTTGGACAGTCGTAAAAGAGATGAATTCCGCTTTCTGGTGCATTTTACAAAATGAGCATAACTTACTCTCTACATACCCCATCTTAAACAAAAGTAGGTTTATTGAACCATCTAAAGTCTGAGTTTGTGTAAGCTCGAAATATAATCTTTTGATATGATTTCCGTTCTTTTTCACTTATATCTGTTTCAAGTTCATGTTCCCATTTCTTTTTATAGCTATACATAGAAGAGTCTGAAAATGTACTTATCTATACAGTGTCAGTGATGTCAAAACAGCGCAGCGCTATGAAGTAATCAACTTCCGGTTTCCCGCCTATAACCGATAGTACACGCACGCCACCTGATGCGAAAAAATCGCCGGCGAACCCCATTGGAATAAGTACATCATAATATGTCCTACAGCCTTTTTTAGTTTTAAAGATGTCTTGTATGTAATAAGGAATAAATGGTAGTTCAAGTTTTTCTCCAATGTTGTATGTTTTTAGTTTAGCTTTTGCCTTTTTCTTTCATTTTAAGCAACTGTCATACATGGATATATAGATTCTTTTGCCCCGCAGAGCATGATACGAAAATGAAATGACAAATCTTTCCCAATCCTAATACATAACGTTTATTCAATTACAGTTTGTTCCAATGAAATACGACCAACAGATAGGCGTCCTATCTACTTGAACAGTTTTTTTCAAAATGAAACAATCAGCGACATCTCTAGTACTCTTTTTTCATGTGCTGTCTCAAAACCTTCAAGAACCTCTTGTAGTGTAATGACATTGCTATGACGTCATAGCATTCATAATTCAGGCCATGTCGGTCTCAGCTGTTTCAATATAGATAAAAGAGTTGTGCGGAAACTTCCCGATTGGTCTTGTATTACCGATAAGTCGATAAACATGCGTAGCCGTTGGTGAGAGGCCATGTTAACATTTATATCACCATCACATGGCAAACGACGGCTGTTCCAACTGACATGGGTAACTGAATTCTGAACACCAATTGAAATGATCCGTAAGAATATTTAACCGCAATTCTTCCAAGTGGTCACTGTTCAGTTGCTGTTCTAAGAAATACACACTGCTAAATGGTCAAATGACACCGGAACATGTCAAGTGATCACGTGTTCAAATGGTCACCTGCACTCTTCGACTCCTGGTGACCAGACACTGTGACCCTACGGCAACTGATGATGTCTAGAGAGTATATCCATCAATACTACACCAGTCAGACTGTATCTGACGCTTAATCCCTCACAATTGAGGGTCTCCAGAATGCCTTGGTAAAGACCCGCAGGCTATACACGCCGGAATATCCTCTTGCAGATGATGTCGCCGACGTGTACTGTCTGAAACAACGACACCATAAGAGAGTGAGTGAGTGAGTTTAGTTTTACGCCGCACTCAGCAATATTCCAGCCATAATGCGGCGGTCTGTAAATAATCGAGTCTGGACCAGACATCAACAACATGAGCATCGATCTATGCAATTGGGAACCGACAACATGTGTCAACCAAGTCAGCGATCCTGGCCACCCGATCCCGTTAGTCTCCTCTTACGACAAGCATGGGTTACTGAAGATCAATTCTAACCCGCATCTTCACGGGTCACACCATACGAGAAACAGCTCACCATTTTGCTAAAGCGAATACAAAGAATTCTATTTTGAAGCCAACTAATTTGTTTATTTAATCGTGTGACCTGACATTGGTATTTTCCCAAATGAGTGACTCAGAAGAAATGTCCACTTTGAGATGACGATGCACGTTGATAAGTGAGTGAGTGAGTTTAGTTTTACGCCGCTTTTAGCAAAATATTCTTTTATGCTTTCGAAATATTGATTTTTATCATTTCAAATAACTCCAATTTTTCATTCCTGGTTTTATTGGAAATATTTGGCAAATACAAGCATTTACATTAATTAATCAACAGCTGCTTGGTTGACAGACATGAGCTGGAGTTGGACATCAATAGAGTCCCGCCATGGGTTTCACCAGGGAAACGACCTCGTTCTCTACCATATCGGCGATCCTTCACGTAAATGGCCATCGCGTAAATGGCATACTGACAAAGAACCCCTTGAGATTTGAACTCACCACTCACCATGATCATTTCATTATCGATGAGCTCCCGACAGATCCGCTGTGGCTTCAGGTCGGACGCCATGGGCCGAGAATTGACCACCATCCGTCCGTCGCTGTACGCGACCTTCACCTTAACGGGATAGACAAGCACATCATACCGTTTAAAGTTGGCCGAAGTATATATTATGCTATACTGTACGGGGCATTCTCGCGATCTCGACCTTTGGAAAAGAGCTGAATATGCCACAGGTGAGAAAGTGCGAGAACGCGAGATTTGACCAATATTTCACGATGTCGTGATTCGCTCTGGCATATTTAGCTGTTTTCTAAAGTTCGCGATCGAGAACGCGATATCGCGAGAATGTCCCTTACAGTATTCCATAATATATATGCAGTTGTGCTCCCAGTCTTGACAATGTAGAAATTCAAATATTCAAGATCCACCCTTTTCGTTCAGTATAGTCAAATATTTTCAACGAGCCTTAGAGGATTGCATTACGCTTCATCTACCTCATATTCAACAACGTTTATCGTTTCGGAGCTGATTGCCTATGGTCGTTTTCTGAATACATTGTCGACTTGTACTCAACCCAGAGGAGAGGCTGAGACTCCAAAATCTACTGATATTTTGCTCGTCGATTTGTTTGTGAGACAGAAAAACAGCATACACATTTCTATGGGGTTTTTTTAGCACACGTTGCTATTGTTATTTTCTAGGTTTGATCATTCATTGTGTTACATGCGCATGGGCACAGGGGTCATGTGACCGGTGAATGTATCCGTCTTTATTTTTTGTATCTTCGGTTTTCATTACCTTATGTTTAACTTTGTTCGTCTCTATTTCACATTCCTTTCCCAGTTCAAACACATCGTCCTGCGTCGAGAGTCCGGTTTTTGTCGATATCCTGATCTGACCGTCCTTGACCTCGATTACTTGTTCCGGTCTGCTGGACTCCGCCATTTTGCGGAGCAACACGTTAACCCCTGAAAGGTTCAAACAAGAATTATGTTTGTAGAAAGAACATGTGCGAAAAATGGCAGCATATCACACACAAAAGAGGTCCGACATGGTATATATTAAAGAGGGGCTATCCTTCACAGTTTCGTACCATTTTGTACCTTGGCCTATACAATATAATATTCCCGTAAAAATGAGATTGTGTGAACCAGTAAGTCAGTATATATTTCCGCCATATCCCAGCATCACGGTGGAGGTCGAACCCAGACTTCCTCGTGGGCCGAAGACCCGGGTCCGATTCCCCACATGGGTACAATGTGTGAAGCCCATGTCTGGTGTTCCCCGCCGTGATATTGCTGGAATATTGCTGAAAGCCGCATAAAACCATACTCACTCACTCACCCTCCTCGAGACGAACGAAAGCTTTCACAACTGGGCTACCTCTTAACCAATTTTAGTGTACAAAAAGGCGGTTTGGTAGTCTATTGGTTTAAGCGTTCACGCGTCACACCAACGACGCGGGTTTGATTCCCCATGTGGGTATAATGTGTGGTGCAATTTCTGGTGTCCTCCGCCGTGATATTGCTGGAACATTGCTAAAATTGGCGTAAAACCTAACTCACTCACTCACTAACACAGTGTACAAAGGGAAGACATCATCAGACAGATCGATATGCATTATAAAAGTTAGCAGACAAATAAAGAGTGGTTTAGGGCGGAATCAATCAAACTCTCTGGGCCTGTCAAGTAGTCAGAGCTAGTTCCCTTTAAACACTCGCGGCTACGAGAGAGCCAAGACTGTAACTATATAGTTCAGCGGAATAGAAGTTATATGGCTGCTTCAATCACGATGAATGCTCCCTACCATGGCGTGACTGCAAGACGTAAACGCTTGGCCCTACAGACTCTGTCACTGCATCTTATTAGTTCCACAAGAGATAATCAAACTTAACCTTAAATCGAGATTCAGTGCCTGGAGATTTCCGTGTGGACATGAATGGTGCCAATAGAGGTTAGTTCTCTTGTAACTGTTTTCTGTCTTCTACTGTTTGCGCCATTTCTGGTCGCCATCTTTGTTTTGTCTCGAGCTGGTTGGTTTGTTGTTTAACGCCGCACTCAACAATATTCCACCGATATGGCGGCGGTCTGTAAATAATTTAGTCTGGACTAGACAATACGGTGATCAACAGCACGAGCATCGATCTACACAACTGGAATACGATGATATGTGTCAACCAAGTCAGAGAGCCTGACCAACCGAACCCGTTAATCGTCTTTTACGGCAATCATGGCTTGCAGAAGACCAATTCTAACCCGGGTCTTCACGGGTTGTCGCGTGTTGGAATTACAAGTGTGTTTACATTTTAACAATAAACAGGTTGATACCGGTTTGTGTCCCGCCATGGCGTGGTGGTGTTCATCTCACTCGTTTGTGCATGAGGATTAACTTCTGGACAATTTACTATTTTCAGTTTTGAAGTGATTGGTTGAGTGAGTGAGTAAAAGTATTTCAGTTTGATCTGTATATTACCTCGTGTCAGCTTGATGGGAGACGAAGGTCGGAAGCGCAGGTTTTAGTGAATGCGTGAGTTAGGTTGACTCCGCTTTTAGCAATATTCAAGCAATATCACGGCAGTGGACACCAGAAATGGGCTTCACACATTGTACCCATGTGGGGAATCGAACCCGGGTCTTCGGCGTGACGAGCGAACGCTTTAACCACAAGGCTACCCAACTGCCATCGATGCAGGTTTTTAGAAGTTTGCGACTAAGTAAAAAACCCGACCACATAACCATCGCTAATACTGAATTCGGACCCACACTTATAGGTTTCTAATTCACCAAAGGCACCGCACACAGAGTATGGCACCGTCTTAGTAACGTTTGTCAGACACAGGCTCTGTATAACGAGGGGAGTCATTAGCCGCTGAATTGCTATACAATCAAATTCAGTTTTCAAAACAGCTAAAACATTTCATGTTGATCCCTTGAATCAACTATCGGGTGCTATTCCCAGGTTCGATCGGTTTATGTCTAACAGTTGAAAATGTGGGTCATTAACAAGTCGTTAAATGTGTTATCACTGTCAGGTTTAACGCGGAAGGGATGTGTAAATTGTAGTGATTTGGTCTGTCTGAATATGGAATCAGGTAAATGCGCTATACTTATACACATCTGTCACCATGGAGACCAGCATATATTCTGAAACGTATCAGAGACACAACATTTTGTGTTGAATCATGTTTTAAAGAATAACGATAACCCGTCAACAATTTAAATGTTGTCAGCATTCGGGAAACCCCACGTGTTTTAATAATTGGACATTTTAATATAGTTTCGTTATAAGTTCCATTCAGACGCTATTTCGCCGAAAACTGTCTATTAGTGGGTATGGTCTGAAATATCAAAGTAATAATATTATGAGAAGTGCACATGGAAACATGGGGTATTAATGTGCATAGTCATGAAAAAAATGACAACAAGGACTGAGTACATCTGCACCTAACTGACTTATGTTTACCGCCAAAACGCAGGATATTATTCGTCCCGTTGAGAGGGACAAATGATATAAATATATCTTTAGAAACAAGACGTTTACAGACCCAGATATTTACAACATTTCACAACGGTTTAAGGTTGCCGAGATTACTGTTATGCCAGCGATTAACTGAGAATATTTGTTCGGATGAGTTGATCATTACTTGACGCTTTAATACAGAGAATACTATGATCGCGATTAAAATTTTGTACTTACCCATTTCTTTCAGGAATACGTCAAAGTTTTCGCTTCTATCAAGCTTCCATTTCCCAGCAAACATCGTCTTAATCTCCTCCAGTGCCATGTCACACTGTGGTCAGCGACGTGCAGCAGACGACAGACTCGGCAGACGACAGTACAGCAGACGATACTGATACTGATATTGGATAGAATGGGGACCTGGTTCCCTGAACATATGATTAGTCACGTGACCGATAGATCGATATGTCTTCTTCAGTATAATTTTAGATTCGCAGGTTAACTTTCTTGTCAGAATAGAATATTGCGTTTTGTGTGTGTTTTGTTTTACGTCGTTTGGTGAGGTGAGACGGGTTTATTGGAACTTACATAGCAACGCGCAGATTGGTGTTGCTGTTTGTATTGGTCCAGATACCATACCTGGCTATTCGTAACTACTCGTGTCATTCCGGCAATCCGGATGGCGTCTCGTACCCCTCTCGTGGCCATGTTTACGACTGGGCCCTGTCTAAGCGCAACGGGCATGGAGATGAAAATAGTCTTGTACTATTGCCAAGGAAAGATAACTCTGAATTTCCAAATATGGCTCCTAGAATATCCTATGTCCCGTGGGCAAAACAGCAATACAGTCATACCCTTTGTGAATATGTTTAAGTGTTTACAGTTTCTGATCCTTTAGCTCAAAGTTTATGTTTAAATTGTGCTTTGCATAGTTTAGCGAAGTTTCAAACTTCAACGGTGCCGCCATTTTCATGCTTCGAAATGCGTTTTACTACGCGTGATTTGATTGGTTTGCCACGATTCTTGGCAATAATGGCGTACGACAGCGGTACGAGTCTTCTTGTAGGTCACGGGAAGAGACGAGTAGTTACGAATGCATACCTGGCATCATTCTACGCAATTGGGATGCGATAACATGTGTCAACCAAGTCAGCGAGCGTGATCACCCGATCCTGTTAGTCGCCTCTTACGACAAGCATGGGTTGTTGAAGACCAGTTATTACCCGGATATTCACGGGTATCGTCAGATGGGAGGTGATGGGGATTGGAATATTAAATGGAGGCATGGTATTTTATCTACTGTAGATATAACTGGAAAAAAAAACATGTATATTTTTTCAAAAAGGACACTTTGGATTCTCTGTTGTTTTTGTGGCAATTCCATTCTTTCACAACAGTTTGTCAATATTGTTTCACGGGTTTTTTTCTGGGACAATTTATACTTTTCGATGAAATACAGCCCTCAGCCCCAAGCCCTAACTATATAGGTGGATGGTCTTATTGCTTGCTCTCGTCTCCCGTCAGCGTTTGATGGTTGTTTATGCTTCTTTAAGAGGCAATCAGTAGTTTGAGTACTAAGGAAGGATAAATATACTCATGCCAATAATGGTTGTCAACCCCCTACACCCTACCCCTACGCACACACACACACCACACACACCCTCTCCAATTAAAAAAATTGAAGAGGTGACAACCATTATTGGCATGAGTATATGTGGATGAACAACATGATGACCTCACAAGTTCACAACATCTGTTCCACCAAGCAACACCTCACCACCGAACTCCATCACCTCAAGTCTCCAAATAGTACAACCACTACCCTCAACAGTGAGTGAGTGAGTGAGTTTAGTTTTACGCCGCACTCGGCAATATTCTAGCTATATGGCGGCGGTCTGTAAATAATAGAGTCTGGACCAGACAATCCAGTGATCAACGGCATGAACATCGATCTGCGCAATGGGGAACCGATGGCATGTGTAAACCAAGCCAGCGAACCTGACGACCCGATCCCGTTAGTCGCCTCTTACGACAAGCATGGGTTACTGAAGGTTCATTCTAACCCGGATCTTCACGGGTACCCTCAACAGATTGTGCAACAAACAATATGGAGCATCTCAATAAACCAAGAAACCCACCCGTCAAAAAACTGCACCCTCTGACCAGCCGTCCCTACTATTGAACCGTCAGCCACAAACCCCAGAAACACTTAAAACAGGTCAATGTAGATGTAATGTTAAAAAGGAATAACAGCATATTAAACACTATTAAAGCTACAGGGAAACCACCAGCCAGCCAGAAACAACGACGGGGAACAGTATATCACGTTCGTGTAATAGTGTACATTTTGGTGAAATATCCAGGCTTATCAGAACCCGAAACAAAGGATATCACAGCCAAGGATCAAACATGATTCCAAGTCAGCCTTCTTAGACAACCCCGACAACAGTATTCGGTAGTGTTGGGAATTGGTTGAAATCTCACAATTGATGATTGCTTCATTACCAACGAACAATCATCGACAAAAATTGGTTAGCGTCATTTTTCAGATTTTCCTATCCAGGTTGTTATTGCAGATATGTATAACATGATGCAATTTGCTACTTTAAAGTGATGACTAATATATCATGAACATAAACTTCCCGGAGTCTTCAAGAAATATTCAGTCATGGTTTTTTAGTTAGTGAAGTGAGTTTTCTAAGAATTAAACACGTTTTCAGGCCCTGACAACTTCAACGATATGTTCCATTGTCAAGTATTTCAAAGACTAAAACAGTAGTACCAAAATCGTTTATGTTCGATTATGAGAAATGTGATCGATTGCTTGGTCGTTTGGTCACTGCGACCAATCTTCGATTATTTAAATTAATCGGAACACCTCTAGTACTCAGTAGGACAAAGTCAAAGCCCTGACGGCTAACATTAAAGACTTCAAAATCTGAAAACTCTAGGAGTGAGTTAATATTTAACGTCACATCGGCAATATCTCAGCCATATCGTGACGAAAACTCTAGGAAGCTATCTAAATCAAATCAATAGGCTCCACCCATCAACAAAGGCTATTACACACCCCCAGCTTACCATTGAACACTCTGATCTCACCACCGTGTAGTTAACTGGTTTCTCCTCTTATTGGAGGGGCGGTGGGGTAGCCTAGTGGTTAAAGCATTATTATCTGATAGTTAAAGTGAAACAGACCTTCAAATAAGCAAACAAATCTTTTTCAAGCTGCATGTTTTAATTATTAATTATGGGTGGTGGGGTAGCCTTGTGGTTAAAGCGTTTGCTCGTCACGCCGAAGACCCGTGTTCGATTCCCCACGTTTGCACAATGTGTGAAGCCCATTGCTGGTGTCCCCCACTTGAATATTGCTAAAAGCGGCGTAAAATTAAACTTACTCACTCACTCTCCATTGAAGCCCTACTCGAATCAACAGTAAAAACACCTCCTATTTATATACATGCCTCTCAGTTCATACTCTCGTGTTTGATAATGATGTTAGAACCTACACCGAAACGTCACTCCTGATGTAATAAAGAAGTTGTTAATCCATATATTCTTTACCCATCCTTGGTTATTTATGGGGACGTTGGGGTAGCCTAGTGGTTAAAGCGTTCGCTCGTCACGCCGTGATATTGCTGGAATATTGTTAAAAGCGGCGTAAAACCACTCACTGACTCACTCACTTGTCAATGCTTTCATTGAATGATTGTCTGGTCCAGACAGGCTCCTGTACATGCTTACTGCTGTGTTAAACAACAGTTACGGACGAGTTCGTGTCAGTGATTTAATTCAGACCAGAACAATCGAATTCCTGATATGGTGCCTCAAGTTTGAACGTGATGATTTATGTCGATATTGTTATTTTGATTACTATATTGTGTACTGCTATAGTCAGAACTTGGCTGTATCTGGCAGTGGAAGTTTAAATTTTAGAATACAGATGATAATTACATTACCTTCCTTTGTTATTTGTTGGTGTCACCTCTGATTCATATAGGGTGGTGGGGTAACCTAGTGGTTAAAGCGTTGGCTCGTCACGCCGAAGACCCTGGTTCGAATCCCCTACTATGTGTGAAGCCCATTTCTGGTGTCCCCCGCCGTGATGTTGCTGGAATATTGCTAAAAGCTGCGTAAAACCAAACTCAGTCAGTCAGTCAGTCTGATTCATATACGGGCTAACATTTTGTTTCAACTTGGGAAAAAAACTAGTGACAATATTGATTAACAGACATACTACAAATATAGAATTTATGACACTTGGTTTCTTTAGCAGTGGACATTCTCGATGAACAACCAAAATGGCTCATCTGACACAAGACATTGTAGTTATTTTCCTTCTGAAATCAATTTGCTTGCCAATTGTCATTGTCGGCGTTTGAGCTTGTCTTGACATATAACCTCATTACGACCAGAGACAAATATTGATTTCCCAAGTCAGTTCAAGAACTCGCACCGTGTAGACTCTGGCTAACATTTCTGGTTCTCTTAAAAAAGAACCTTGAATCTTGACTGACAAAACATACTTTGTCTTTTACCGTAGGCGAATTCTGTCCAAGGGAAAAATATCATTTAAGGAGAAACCATTGTAAACGGATTCTTTCTTGAAATGTATATTTTTGTCGATGTTTTTCGGGGCCCTGTGCAATGGCTGTCGCAGTTATAGCAAAATATGGAATCTGAACTAACACACTACTTCCTCTTGTGATCTTCGAATAATTTAGATATAATATGCTCAGAGGTAATCTATTGTGACATTGAAATTTTTCAAAGGCATTGAGAAGTTGGTGTAGTTATTATTGTGACATTTTCCGTGGTATTCTTGTGATACTCCTCCGAGGGATATAATATGAATAATATACGCCAGGTACGTCCTCATTAGATAGACGTGACTGCAAATATATTGGTCTTTTTTTTTTAAAATAACAATTTCCGCAGAGTGTACAGCGTGATGGTACACTGCTCTAAGCCCTTTACATGTGCAGATCAGGGTCAGCGCCTGATGCTTCTTGGCGACTAACGGGATCGGGTAGTGGATTTTCTGACGCATGTCAGCGTGTCTGAATAGCGTAGAAAGCACAAGGGCGTGTCACGCTTTGAAACAGCGGCAGAAAGACATATACGTATATAGACCCAACCCTAGTACTATATAAAGGGAAAGGGATGTAACGACGGAACCACCCCCTCCTCAATCCAAGTTAGATTTCACTTCGTAAACTATTTTTATGACCCCGTCGATGACTACGGATTGAAAGCGAGATGATTTTCCTACAAAATGAGCTATAAATGGTCACAATCGGATCATTATTTCAAAAGTTATACGTCACGACTCACCAAAAACATCTACCTCCGCCATTCCAAGCCAAAATCATGGATCACCCAAGACAGCGAAAACTCACCTTTTAAATTCGTTTATTAATTCCAGCCACGTTGACAGCACATATGTAGAGCTAGATTCGATCGGCAGCGGCATTCCACGGGTCTAACAACTTATTGCAACATCTGTAAATCATTTCCTCGACAGTAAGCAGGCATTTTCTCCAAAACGATCGGCAATCATACTCACTTGTCGGCCATAGGTGGCCTTGACATTTAAGTGAAATGAGCAGCAAATTAGTAAGAATAATTTTTTAGGTTAAATATTTATAAATATAATTTCCAAAAAATGAATCAATATCGAATGCATTTTTACAACCTCTAAAATTATTCTTATCAATTTACTGTTCCGCACATCATCCAAAATAGAAGGAATATTGCAAAGTTCATATTTCGCGCCCATTAGCAAACAGGCAAAATCTTACAGTATATTATATTTTCCACCAATCGGATGGCCCAATTCAGTTTCTGCGGATCAGCTCAGATCACTTGAATGTCAAGGCCGTCTATGGCCGACAAGTGAGTATGGTTGCCGATGGTTTTGGAGAAAATGCCTGCATCCCTTTCCTTTTATATAGTACTAGGGTTGGGTCTATATACGTATATGTCTTTCTACCGCTGTTTCTAAGCTTGACACGCCCCTGTGGTAGAAAGATTATCATCATGTTTTCCGAAACTAGCCAAGTCCAGTTTATATGCTACACATTCGCTGCATGGTGGTTGGTGAATTGTCGTACCATCGCACAAGTTTGACACATTTGGCTTGGGATGAAAACGCGTCAGTGTTCTTCCTAGAATTACTCATACTTGTATAATATGTGAAACACATTTCTGGTTTCCTAGAAACAGAATAAATCACTGGCTGGAGATTTATAACACAGAAGAATTGAGTCAGTTTAAGGTATTTTAGGGGTCTTAGCTGTCAAAGCAAGAACGAATCTTGATTAGATCCCTCCAGGACGCTTGTCTGACCTACAGATTGTACTTGCAAGGTTGGATGTATAATCGGCCAGCCCCAGCTATTCGGCGGTGGGGTAGCCTGGTGGTTTAAGCGTTCGCTCGTCACGCCGAAGACCCGGGTTCGATTCTCCACAAGCCCATTTCTGGTGACCCCCGCCGTCATATTGCTGGAATATTGCTAAAAGCGGCGTAATACTAAACTCACTCACTCACTCGTTCAGTGCTCCGAACAGAAGAAATGGGCCATTATGCTAGAGCAGATGTGTGTGTGTGTGTGTGTGTGTGTGTGTGTGTGTGTGTGTGTGTGTGTGTGTGTGTGTGTGTGTGTGTGTGTTTTTGGCACACATGAGTACAATGTGTCAAGCCCATTTCAGGTGTCCGACGCCGCGATATTGCTGTAATGTTGCTATAAACGGCGTAAAACTAAACTCACTGACCGACTCAGGAAGATTTTGTTTACATTCGGAACTGATCGTTAGGTTTAGAATTAGAAATTCTGGTCTGAATGCTTCCCTAACTTGTACCGACAAGAACGGAGACCCAACTCTAATTGGATCATTAAACTTACTCCAGATTCCTAGCGGAGGGCGCTCAGATCACCTTGAATGGATATATTTATAAGAACAGATGCTTATGTTTATATTTAGATTAATTTATTAGTTTTGTAATATCATGCAGCAATGCATGAGGTGATACTTTCGTAAGTTCAGTCGTTTAACATATCTCTGAAGCCATCCATCAGCACTTCATAACGAAAAGCTTTGTACATAGTGACGTTGGAGTTTTTGGAACCCCATTCCAGTTTCAAAAGAGACCGTGATTTGCCAGAGAGCTCTATTACAGCGCGTGCCTCGCTCGTTGTGACAGCTTCCGGATGCGCAATAGCAACCATGAGAGCAAAGTCGCATATTCGTACCCCGGAGAAGTGCGGGCTTGCAATCCTGTCTTGGAGGATTCGCTTCGTGAAGTGAGCCTTCTTCGTGTTGACGTTAAGTTGCTCTGTCACCCATTCCTGCAACATGAAAACACCTTTGATGCCAGGGATCGGTCTTTTGGCATTCGTGAGGGGAAGGGATCCTCAGGTGAGGTGAAATTGGGTTTATCGTCCTACTTAAGAATATTTCGCTCATATGACGACGTCATGCGTGTGTATGTGTGGCTGCTTGTACTAGCCCAGACTTAAGCTGCTTTTATAATGCTAGCCCACTGAGATACCATGCCGCAGTTAAGCATAAATACCCCACTCAGACTCATTATACTGACTCCGAGCCGACCAGTCCTTGTTGTACCCATTAATACCGAGCGCCAGGCTGGGCCAACCAGTAGCATATTTTAACGTCTTTTGGTATGACGCGGCCGGAGATCGAACCAGGGGCCTTCCGCTCTCCGGGCGGACGCTCTAACCACTGCACCAGAAGGCGGTCCTCGGGGATAAGATTGGTTTGTTGTTTCTTTTAAAAATGATTATGTTCCAAAATAAAATGGGGAAAATATTGGAATGTTTCTGCAAGGACTGACTGACTGACTGAGTTTGGTTTTACGCCGCTTTTAGCAATATTCCAGCAACATCACGGCGGGGGACACCAGAAATGGGCTTCACACATTGTGCCCATGTGGGGATTCGAACCCGGGTCTTCGGCGTGACGAGCCAACGCTTTAACCATTAGGCTACCCCACCGCCCCTTCTGCAAGGACAAGGAGAAATAAGGAAAAGCTCTTTTTGTGAAATGCTGTCGCCGTGGGGTGTTTGCGACCCTTTGTGCCACCATTAATCCACCAGCAACACCATAGTAGTGAGTTAGTGAGTGATTAAAAATATTTCAGTATTAAAGTACTTCAACAATATCGTGACTATGAAAACTTTATATTAATTAAAACAAGCTTAAACTGTATATACCTGTCAACAAAAGACAGTAAAATAGCTTGAATATCACGGAATTAACCATAAAAAGATATTTCTAAACACGGCACATTATACAGCCTGGCTATAGATCGCCAGCAACTGACCATGGTAGTAGTAGTAGTAGTAGTAGTAGTAGTAGTAGTAGTAGTAGTAGTAGTAGTAGTAGTAATGGTAGTAGCAGTAGTAGCAGTAGTAGGAGTAGTATAAGAAGTAGTAGTAGCAGTAGTAGTAGTAGTAGTAGCAGCAGTAGTAGTAGTAGTAGTAGTAGTAGTAGTAGTAGTAGTAGTAGTAGTAGTAGTAGTAGCAGTAGTAGTAGGAGTAGTGATGCCAGCAGGAGAGGTAGTAGAAGTAATAGAATAAGGTGCATATAAGAATAAAGAGTTGCTGTGTACCTTTGGAAATTCCGTCAAATCGGCCGTGTCACGTGACAGAATGTGGATGTTCTTCATGTTGCTGAGGCAAATGTCAACTGCTTCCGGGTCGAGACTGAAGTTGAACTCTTTCAAAACATAATCGCCAAGTCCTTGAATTGGAAAAAGGAAAATTCAAATTGCACCAATTAATTTTAACTTTCTAAACTACCACTACCATAAATATAACGATGATAATGGAGATACTACAATGAACTTAACAAGACTGCCCAAAACCTTGTCAATGGATCTCCAGCGATGGCCATACCTAAACATGAGTCTCATTAACTAATTCAGACAATGACCTACTTTTTAGCCGATCCGAATTTTCTCGTGTGAAAGTGAAAAGAGACACTACAAACAACAATGGTTACACTAAATTCCAATTCCTTGTTCCATAAGAAAATGAGAATTTAATTTCAATCGTATTTCTATATTTTGTGGCGAGGTTTCGGCAGCATGACTTTAACTAAGACGTCACGGACTGCCCGTTTGGTGAGGTCGTAAAATGATTCACAATTCATCTGGCTCACTGGTTACACCTGTTATGTGTTCTGTGAGCTTATACAATGCATATGTGTAACGTACAATGTGATTTATATAATATCAAATCCGTACCAGACCGCCAAACTTTTCTAGCGGCCGAGCCTCGTTTTGAGATTTCCACGATTTCCGTTTGTCAGAACACGCTGTACGACAGAGGACGCTGCACGGCGTGTTTTCAAGGATTAGAAGGAGGGTAGTGTTGCAATATAAAAGTGATTAGATGTATCAAATAATACGGATTAATATTTGGATATCCAGTTGAATGAGTTAGTGTCAAAATTCTGGACTGGTTATTGTACTAAGTTGCACAATAGGACGGAACCCAGTCGGCTGGACACGAGACTTTTGTGTAATCAATGTTTTGACTTGCTGACAACAGTATTATGATGGCGTTGCTCGGTCCTTACCCGCAGAGGTACAGATAAGCTGCGTATCTGCGTAAATTACGCAATATATGTATGTGAAAACTCAATTCCTATTAAGTCTGTTGCGTACATGTACGCTTGAATTTTTGTAAATACTCAATATGTTTGATCTTACATGCTTACACACAAAAATGTTAAGGTATATTGAAAGGTTCTATTACAGCACATGAACTTGGCAACTTGCAGTCTTTCTTATCGTTTCTCACATTACTAATCAAATATAAACAACAAACACCTAAACCCAAATGAGATGAACACAAGCGAGTACATAACTCAATGACCCAAAAAGTTATCTGTAGCTCCGTGTTCTCCATGCTTGTAGTTTTGACTCCAAGTCCATCCATGATACGACCCAGAATATGTCCATGGCACCACGGAAAATGATAATTAAAAATTCTTTCGATTAGGCCCGTATACAGCCACAGGGGTAAACAAACCAACAAACCCGAATTTTATAAAACTAATGAAATTGTATCATTACATCACTGAATTTTCTGTCCCTTTTGACACGGATGTGATTGACATGATTCAGGGAAAACATGGCAAATTTGCGAGCATCCTAAAGATGTTGCTCTTGCATCCCAAGTACCCAACCCGTGAAGATCCTGGTTAGAATTGGTCTTCAGCAACGAATGCTTGTCGAAGGAAGCGACTAACGGGATCGGGTGGTCAGGCTTGGTTGACACATGTCATCGGTTCCAAATTGCGTAAATCGATGCTCATGATGTTGATCACTGGATTGCCTTGTCCAGACTCGATTATATACAGACCGCCGCCATATATCTGGAATATTGCTGGGTGCGGCGTAAAACTAAACTCACTCACTCGTTTTATATGGGTCATTCCATTTACCTATGTGTTTCTTTAACACCTGTGAATAATGGGTCGTATGACTAATGGGGTGACACCGAGTAGGTTAGAGTTACCTCCCCTTTGTTTGTTTCTGGTGTTTTCGGTAGGATGCCGTAAGCTATGAAGGGTTTTCCGCAATGTCTAAGTGATTGTGGTGTGGCATGGCTGTTGCGAGAATTCTCTAGAACTGTATACAGCAAACCAACCAACCAACCCAAATTCCAAACTATGCCGCATTGTATTTCGAGCTGTAAAAGATAATAATTATAAAATGTGTTCTTGTGTCAGTTCTTTCGAAGAAAATGGTGGATGTTTTTTGTACCGTAATCTTCATGGACCTTTATCATTAAAAAGTTATGTTTACTGTCTGTGTGTGGAACGTTGAAGATGTGCAACTCTGCGTGTAGTCCCTGATGCCCAACCTAATCTCAAATCTGCCTTTCTCCAACAAACACTTAACCCTCAGCTCTTTGTCCCAGCCACACACAATTACATGGCGTCACTTTCAATGATGGTTCATCTCATTCGTCACCACTCGCCTCTTTCCGTAACCTCCAAGAAGCTATTCGGTTTGTCCCGGAATAACACGAGTTGGTCACGAATGGGTCCACCAGTGAGGATCCGGGTTAGAACTGATCTTCAGTAACCCATGTTTGTTGTAAGAGGCGACTAACGGGATTGGGTGGTCAGACTCGCTGACTTGGTTGACACATGTCATCGTATCCCATTTAAGTAGATCGATGCTCATGCTGCTGATCACTGGATTGTCTGGTCCAGACTCGATTATTTACAGACCGCCTCCATATAGCTGGAATATTGCAGAGTAAAACTATTCACTGTAGAATGATGGTTCACTGGTTTACATATTTACATTTTGAACATACCCAAATAGAACTTTGGGAGTTTTTTTAAAAAAGACAACAAGAGCGCTATTGTGTCTTATTATACTCATTTTTAAGAAATGAAAATCAAAATAGTGGTCGTTTTTATAGCACGGTTGCACAACACCGGATTGGACTGAAAAAAAACAATGTCGACGTCTGACCCTAGTCCACCTTTCGCTGTAAACCCATATTCAGATGATATTGTTCTCGAAAGAAACGCATACTAAGATGATTGCATACTTACCGTCTATATTCCCACCCATCATATACACGTCCTTTATATTGGTAGCAAATTCGTGGTCTGAGTTGATCGCCAGCGCAACATTTGTCAGGGAGCCCAACGTCACCAGTGATATTTCACCTGCAAATGGATGAAGACATTGGATACCAAGGAGGGACTCCGAACACTCAAACAGAAGCAGGGGGTGGGAGATCAAATAACGGCATGGCCAAAGAAATGGTAGCGCCTCGGTTGGAGATTTTCTGTAAATGTGAAGTTACCGTGAACAATAGGGAACCTCTGTGTACAAATGTGGGAGAGTGAGTATGGTTTTAGGCCGCTTTTCACAATATTCCAGCAATATCACGGCGGAGGACACCAGAAATTGGCTTCACACATTGTACCCATGTGGGGAATCGAACCTGGGTCTTCGGTGTGACGAGCGAACGCTTTAACCACTAGGCTACCCAACCGCCCCGACGATCCAGCACTCGGGGAAACGATAGTCGAGGATTCGAAAAAGGGACCATCAAGCCCCAAATATAAGCCACAATGAACTTTGAAAAGAGTATTCGATACAATAGTTTAGTGTTGGAACGAGATTGTTATTTCAGCTAGTTCGGTGAGTGATTTCACACTTGATACACACACTGCATGTTTTTAAACATATCTTAAATGTTTCACTTGTAGGTCTGAATAAAGATATGGTACGAATTCAAACGTGTGTTTGAAACCGCTATTTCTTTCCCCATATTTGTGCAAAATTCCCCCAAAGAATGATGATGATGATGATGATGAAAGGGCCCATCTGGGAGTGTGAGGAATATTGTATAAAGTGGGGCGGGTTGGGGGTGGGGGTGGCGCGTGTGTTAGGTGGGGTTGAGGAGGGGTAGGGGATTCCAGGTTAAAAGACATGTGGTGCCACGTTTGATTTAAAATTCTTTAATCTTTACTGACATCTACGCATGATCAGACGCAGAGTGTCATTCGGTCCAAGAAATGCAGTATGGATGTACCATACTACATCTGTTTACCAGTTAATCTTCACACACTGTTCAAAGACTCTCACACCAACCTCACTCACCCACTCACTCAACTCACTCACTCACTCACTTAACTCACTCACTCACTCACTTAACTCACTCACTCACTTAACTTAACTCACTCACTTAACTCACTCGCTCACTCACCTAACTCACTCACTCACTTAACTCACTCACTCACTGAACTCACTTAACTCACTCACTCACTCACTCACTTAGCTCACTCACTTAACTCACTTACTCACTTAACTCACTCACTCACTCAACTCACTCACTTAACTCACTCACTCACTCACTTAACTCACTCACTTAACTCACTCACTCACTCACTCAACTTACCAGGATGTTGTCTGGCCATATTTGTCAACGCTGTAACGGCGTTTTCACGTTGAATAACGCTAGTGTCGACGGTATTCTTCCAATCAACGTCGCCCATACCATCGGCGCCATGGATGGTGTAACGATCAGGTCCCAAATCTGGAGCCAGTCCCATAAGGGCTTTGCTGCTTCCGCTGTAGATAGGTACCTCGATGAATAAACAGCACTTGTTCACTATAACGTTTTTTCCATATTACTTTGTTTACGGATACTTGTTTTTGAAACTGGAATCCCTCAGATTGAAATACATGTACTACAAATACTGATGGACAGTATGTCTAACATCATCCGTGACATACAAGGCACAGAACCTTACCACTATTCTGCCACCATCCAGCGATCAACATCATGAGCATCGATCTGTGATCCTTGGTTTTCGAGATCTCAATTTCCACACGTCATTAGCCGACCCGTGAAGATTTGGGATAGACTTAAGCAACCCATGACATCAGACATGGGTGACGTCATCGTATCCCAATTGCGTAGATCGATGCTCATGTTGTTGATCACCGCACTCATCAATATTCCAGCAACATGACATTAGTCAGACAATCCAGTGATCAACAGCATGAACATCCATTTACGCTATTGGGATACGATGACAATTATGTGTCAACCAAGTCAGCGAGCCTAACCACCCGATCTCGTTCTTCCGACAAGCGGGGCGGTGGGGTAGCCTAGTGGTTAAAGCGTTGGCTCGTCACGCCGAAGACCCGGGTTCGAATCCCCACATGGGTACAATGTGTGAAGCCCATTTCTGGTGTCCCCCGCCGTGATGTTGCTGGAATATTGCTAAAAGCGGCGTAAAACCAAACTCAGTCAGTCAGTCTTACGACAAGCATGGGTTACTGAAAACCAATTCTATCCCGGATCTTCACGGGTATATTTTAACAATGACATACAGGAGCTCCCGTAAAAAGCAATTGTTATCCATTCAGTCCCACATCTCCACGTGATACTCACAAGGGATCCACTGCAACGCACCTGTTTTTCACAAAGGTCGACAACTCGCACGGCGTTCCGACAACTGTTTTCCAGACTCGTGTTCCCCCACGTACATGTTATAGCGAGGACCTCAATATATGGAGACGACAAGGAATACATGATGGCCAAAGCATCATCCACTCCAGTGTCGGCGTCTATGATGACCTTGGGCATGATCACGTTACTACGTCACTGAAACAAGAGAAGAATATGTTATTGATTCAGCACGATTAAGTCCCGCGTGATGAATATATGTGATGCTTTTAATCGTTAAAAATACAAATGGCATGCAGTTAAAAATGGAAACATGGAAATTGAATTTCTGCAAACGTTTCCGTGAATTAGCATTATTGCCCTTCTGAATAAATGCAACTCCACAAATTAATAAAAGTATACAAGTACATGTATACGAGTGAGGATCCGGGTTAGAATTGGTCTTCAGTAACCCATGCTTGTCGTAAGAACGGGATCGGGTGGTCAGGCTCGCTGACTTGGTTGACACATGATTGTTATCGTATCCTAATAGCGTAGATCATGCTTGTTGATAAAGGCGACTAACGGGATCAGGTGATCAGACGTGGTTAACAGCAACTTTACACATGTCATTATCCCGACTCGATTATTTACAGACGGCCGCCATTTAGCTGTAATATTGCTGAATATGGCGTTAAACAGCTGACAAACAATACTGGTAATGTTTGATGGTTCTGGGATGCATTGACGTAACTTGAATATTCCTGTTCACATCCAGTCACATGAAAATCATCGTCGACGATGTTGCTGATAACCTGTGTGGCTGACCATGCCAACTTGCTAAACGAAATGCAGACCCGTAAAGATCCCGCTTAGTATTGGTTTCCAGCAAACCGTTCTTGATGTAAGAGGCGACTTACGGGGTCGGGTGGTCAGACTCGCTGACTTGAAGGATGTTAGTCGTTGTATCCTATTTACGAATATTTAATGACATTTCTGCCAGCTTCAGTGTGACTAGGTATCCACGGTTGATACAAATTAACAAAATTGGGCACTGCGGAGTCATCGTCTTTCATCAGCTGTAAAGGCTCACTTAAGGCAGTATGGCTTTCTTGTCCCGCCCTATCGCTTTCTTGTCCCGCCCTATCACTTTTTCGTCCCGATCTATCGTTTTCTCGTCCCGACCTATCGCTTTTTGTCTCGTGTTCTCGCTTCCACAACTGAAGGTGAGAACCCGACCACCACACTCACCCCAGCTACCATGCATGCGGACATGACACCAACACCGCGGAATGAAACACCTTCCGTTGCCACTGACGACATGCACGACGAGAAATTGGAACCTTAAGGATGACCCAAGACAAGGAAGACTTTCAACCGCAACTACTTAGTCAAAATATTCATAACATACATTAAATTATGGACGCTCAACGACTCCCCGCACGTCACATCGTCTATACAATAGCCATATCTCAAGCGAGATCTGAGAACGCTCTGAAGAATGAACTTGGTAGGACAATGCTTTCAGCACGCAACCAAGATCCACCACTCCAGGTATATCATCCCTTGAGAATGTACGTCGTTTCGAGGACACCTAGAAGCGTGTGGACGTCTAAAGGGGGAAGTTTATAAATGATTAGCAACGAACTCCATCAGCGTAGTCCATCATGGGTTGAGACCTGTTCAGTCATCCCTCGTTGAGCAACCTCAACGTTACTTATGCCGTTGGTCTACAGATCAAGTCCAACTATAAGACATGTCCATCTCATTATTTTTGTAAAGTATGCAGTGTATGGAAATATTTTTAAGATATTTTTCCTAATATGCTATACTTTACGAAGGCCCAATGCTGCCAATTTTGTTGCATAAAATACTTGAAATTTAAAACTTTTGAAGAAGTTTGAAGCAACGAGAAAATAATGGAAATAACAAGGAAATAATCCCAACAAATAATCGAAACGACAAAATTAATTTCGCTGAAGAACATATTTTATGCTATAAAAGTGCCAGCGTTAGTCTTTCGTAATAACTGCACTTCGTGAAAATGAACTAATATAAAAACAAAATAAAATATCACGATAATTAATTTTTTTTTTTTAAACCAAGGACCATGGTACAATCCCGCGGACGCGTAATCCTATACGACGTTCAAATGGGATTGGGGCGGTGGGGTAGTCTAGTGGTCAAAGCGTTAGCTCGTCACGGTGAAGGCCCAGGTTCCATTCCCCACATGGATACATTGTGTGACGCCCATTTCTGATGTCCCCCGCCGTGATATTGCTGAAATTTTGCTAAAAGCGGCGTAAAACCTAACTCACTCGGTCAGTCACTCACTCAAATGTGATGCTTCATTCCCTGCCTACAGCACGGGATTAGTGGAACTAGACAAGGACTGTCCAGTTCGGATAGGGGAATGTCGGATGGGGGTATCCCCAGGGTAGTATATAGTATCTCTGTGAGCTGGCACTATTAAAGGGGGCGGGTCCTTTATCAGTGGACATGTGGGATTGGTAGGGCTGACCACTTCCTTCGCTTTGTCATTTTTGTCACGGATGATATTCATTTTTGCAACAAAACCCTTTGTTTTCGCGGCCGGTATGTCTATGGTCCTTTTGTTTTACAATGTAGAATGTATTTATATATTATAATGACACATGATGTAGAGCAGGGGACTAGCGAGTCTTGTCACGAGTGCGTCGCTTATTTCAATCTGCCACAAACGTCAGACACGTGAAACATTAGCAGGACTACAGACAGTTTATAATGTGATGACGTCAGTCGTGAGTCATGTACATGTAGTTGAGTCGTGTTTAACGCCATATTTACCTATATTCCCGCTTTATCGCGATACGAAAATGAAAGAAGAAACATAGTGATGCATTTGAGTGAGTGAGTGAGTTGGGTTTTTACTCCGCTTTTAGCAATATTTCAGCAATATCACGGCGGGGTGGGTGGTGTTTATAGTCCCAAAGTTTGGATATCCTTTAGCCTGTAAATAGTAATATTTGGTCCATTTCTTAGGGTCGTCCAGATAGGGTCTCCAGCATCTACTGTTCATTTTCTTGTTCAGAATGAATACTGACTCTCACACAGAGGTTTCAGATGAAGTGTCACTATCACTGGTCCACGGCTAAATGAAGCTAAATCACCGTTTCTGTCCTTTATATAGATATCCACAGTCTGTACATTTTTCAGTTTGATGGGTACATAGACATCTCTTAAGGAGGAGGACCACGTTAACTATAAGTAACACATAATGAAGACACATATCTATACACTAGCATATCGTTTAACCTTGGGTTGAAAGTAAAACGATCAATAATATCATTCAGTGAATGTCCAATGGCTTTCATCATCAATAAAACAAAGCATACAGTCCACAAGTTTTACTGTTTTTACTTTGAAGTATCCGTGTATTGTGTTGGAAAGAAGCACCATTCCTTTGTAGAAATATGTGGAATGTCCTTTGATAATACTCAGGCTTTCTTCCCAAACTGTCAAAAAATTCTGTGCGTTTTGAATCTTGCATCCAAATAGCTATCCAGTGTTGTCCAGGTTGATGAGAGGCTTGGTTATTCAGAATGTATCCTTTGGGATATGTGGATATGGTCCGTGGTAACTGATCGGCAGCAAGCACTTTGATTTTCATCACTTTAGTAACACTGTCTTTGTTCAAGAGGCATTGTAGTTCTCGTGTATTCATGGTGTTGCTAATGTTACGTGCTTCGTCCACTTAAACATCAACTGATCCTCGCTGTAAATGAGACAGTTGATACCTTCCGGAAGCGCTGACTTAAATGTAACTCCAAATGAAGGTTGCCTTGTTTTAAGGTATCCAAACAGTTCCCTTCTATGCGTTTGGGTTCCAGCATAAATTGATAAATAGCATATCCCTTATTGAAATCTTTTCTGTTACTGGGGAAGTTCCGTTAACATTAATAACATTATTTTTTCCCACGGTCAGCTCAGTACAAGGTCATTGATCCCTGTGAAATGAGGTCAGCCAGGTGTTCAATTAGGTCACCAAACTTTGGGACTATAAACCCTGATTATAAAACTGATTTGCTGTTGTTGTTGGTAACGCCGCACTCAGCAATATTCCAACTATAGGGCGGCGGTCTGTAAATAATCGAATCTGGACCAGACAATCCAGTGATCCAATATAAGCTTTGATCTGCGCAAGACGTGTCAACCAAACCAGCGAGCCTGACAACCCGATCCAGTTAGTCGCCTCTTACGATAATCATGAGTTACTGAAAAACAATTCTAACCCGGATCTTCAAATCACAGAAAAGTAATGTATAACAGTTAAACTGAAAATAAACGAAGGGAGGAAATATTGTCAAAGGCAACGCTGCCTACCTACCTCCACCAGTTGAACACAACCTCGCCTGATGATGCACACAGTCCAACTTTGCGAACTGACTACAACACCGCGTTGGAATACCAATGGCTTGTACGGACGTGCTTGTAATACTATGTATTCTATTAATCAGGGACCTAAATCGAATATAGTATAATCCATTACAAAATACAGTGTACCGCAGGTATAGACAATTATCTTTATATAATTGTATTAAATTTCTTGTCATTGCTGACCTGGTTATTTTGGATAATACCAAACTGCTAGACATGTTCGCACGTTTCAGATCATTTTAATTCACCTTTTGTTGTGTGTGACCTGATGAAGTAATAACAGTGTTGTACACACGTAAAACCTGTCGTACAGGTGCCTAGGTATCCCCCCAAAACTTCCACATCCCAAAACATCCACAGCTTACAGCAACATCATTTCTGGTTGACTGCACACACTTTAGCATACTGATTACCTCAGTCTGTAATGGTTTAACCCATTAATCAGTAATGTTGAGTTGAGTTGAGTTGGGCTTTACGTCACATTGGCATTATTCCAGCCACATAGTGACGAGAACAAGTCTGCATTAATAAACATTGTAAGTACATACTCGGAATGAGTTTTATTTCAAAAACATATAATCAGTAATGAATACAAACAATCACTTAGTAATAAATTATATATTTTATTAAGGCAGGGTTATTAACAAAAATACATAGATTTTTTAGTTACATAACAGTCTATGTAGAACATTTATATAGAACTTATGTCCTATAGTGTCCAAGATTTCAAGCGCAACCGCCAACCGTCACAGTGTCACAGCCGTAACATGTTATATTTTATATCAAGTGTCTTAAGGTATCTATGTTTGTGTCATATATAACATGTGACACACAAATAATAACTCTTTCTTCTCCGTAACCATACGCAAACGCACTTTGTAGTCATGTAATTAAATAAATATACCACACTCCATTGTTGCTTACAAAGCTGTGATATCTTATTTACTACTATCGGTTTTAGATATAATATAGTGCCTTGTGTCTCATAGGCCATATGGCCGGATGTTACATTTTATTGAATGTTTTAAAGTCTAAGTATGTTTTATATATAACATGTGACACACAAATAAAAATATTTTCTTCTTCTTCTTCTTCTTCTTCGTAACATGCAGTCTTTACCTGTTTTTTACATGGCAGGGACATCCATAAGTAAATCTTTTGCCTATTGCATATCATCATCATCATCATCATATGATCATCTAATTACATCATATATTCCTGTCAACTATTATGCATATCCTTCATTATGCAATTTTAAGAGAGTGGTGCGTACATTTAACAAATTCACTGGTAATCAATTAGTAATCAATTAGTCAGAATTCGCTGAAAACTTACCATTGTGAGACATTCTAGAACTTGTAAGTAGTATGAATGAAAAGTGTTTGTTATGGAATCCTGGAAGGGACATTGTCGCATTGTCGCGCTCTCAAATACAAGCAAAATGAGGCAAAATTAACCAAAGCGCGACAATGCGACAACGCGACATTTCGCCCATTTGTCGCATTGTCGCGATGTCGCGTTTTGAATAATATTTTTCTATTCCTCCAAAGGGCGACAATGCGACATAGCGACAATTTTCAAGGTAAAAATATGTCGCGTTGTCGCATTGTCGCCCTATCTAAGATGAGTAAAAAAAAGCCTAAAAGTGACTAAAACGCGACAATGCGACAACGCGACATTTCATCAAAGCGTGTCGCGCATTGTTAAAATATTGAGTATAGTTTGTTTTATAACACATAGACTAAAACGCAACACGCGACAATGCGACAACGCGACATATTGAATATGTCGCATTGTCACGTTGTCGCCCTTTTCGATTTCCTGTGCGCATGTGTAGAAAGTCAATTACACTACGCATGCGCAGAAAATGTTATACTCTATTTCAGACTTCAGTGGTCTTTTGTTACCTCCAATGGTTTTTAAAATGAAGTAGTACTCGTAATGGGGGCTGCTTTTCTTAACCTAATGCAAATCTTTCATTGTTGTTTTGAAAATTATTTTATATATTGTAAATGCATCTAGCCAATCAAGTGTTTTAGCAGCAAGACAAATTATTAGCGCTACCATTCATTGTAATCAAGGCACAGCGTGGCCCGGTCATTCAAGGCGGGGCAATTTGCTGTGCAGAGTTGTGTCTCTTAGTCACACCAGATAACTATGATCATAGGTTCGAATCCCAGCACCATACACATTCATCACTTTAAACATTTCACCGATATCAAGCTGACAGGTTGTGAAAAAACTGAAATATTGTTAAAATTCAGGCCACGTCGGCTTAAACATCAGGTGAAGTCCTCGAATGGGTCACTATGTTCGACAGTTTGGCTCCTGACAAGTTCTTGGTACAGTCCTCTCCGACGCTGATGAATTTGTCCGACATCTGCCTCTGTTCAGCCAGCAGTGGATGGATACCAGGTAGAATGAGATGGTAATATCACTTAACCATCCAGCACCTCACAGACAGTTTAGGTCGGCTTTGAGATTGATATTCTTCTTGGGACAACGCCATACAAATGGACTGTTGTCATTACGATATTAAAAACGATGAAATCGCTTGGCAGAGTTGCGTACCCTTGGAGTGCCAGAAACCAACCCTCCCTCACTGACTCCTCTCACTCTACTCCACTCCACTCCGCTCCGCTCCAATGTGCTCTGCTCCGCTCTACTCCACTCCACTCTACTCCCGGTTTAGGGAGCTTGGTAAATTAGCAAGGTATTTCATTACAATAATGTGTTGTGATATCTGTTTTTCAGTTCTATTTGAATCCTATATAATTAATCCTGGACATGCCATGATTCACAATATATCGATAATTTTCTCAGACGATACTATACCAAGCGATACACATGTACTTGTATCGTTTCAAACATACACCAACTCAATCATAATAATTTTCAGCAAAATGGCCAGTTTGAATACATCCATTCCATTAACCAAGGACTCTTAACCCAGACTTCAAGGCCACATGTACGTTAATTTATTGATGTTTTGAGTTCGATCCCTGGTATCTCAGCCCTTTAAAAACATCGAAAAATAATCATGCTTGTGATAGTTTTTAAATTTCGCAGTAACTAATAAAACGCGACAATGCGACATTTCATCGCGCTGTGTTAAAATATTGAGTATAGTATGTGTTATAACGTATTGACTAAAACGCGACATTTTGCTTGTATTTGAGAGGGCGACAATGTCCCTTCTCGGATTCCATAGTTTATAGTTGATCAACTTCTTCCTAGTACAAATACCGATTTCAAATTCAAGTTAACATGCTTAACGTAACTGGTCGCTTTTACAGTAAAAGGGTGGCCGCGAGGGGAGGTGTTGACTCAATGACTGGAGTTGGTTATGAATAAACAAAGATACAATATCCAACACCATAGACATGATAGAGAACGAGTCCGCTGCCTGCTTCACACTGCATAGCATTAATGAATACAATTAGAAATGGTGGAAATTTATGAAATTGACAAATTGCAGGTAACACTTGGTTGGGCGGTTGATAAAGGATTACATCAGTCCAAGGCTCGCATATGTCTATTGGACATGTCCAGATTTGGCCCAGTGCCAAAGTTAGTCTCGAGCAGAACTTCGGTTATCACCATGTCAGCTTGTTCTGGTAGGTAAGCACAAAGTTACAATCTTAAGACCTTTGCCACTTCAGTGAAACCCAGAATATGCTATCACTCTGAAGAGTATATCAGGCATGTCATAACATGTCACTGTGTGTGTGCGTATTTTTCACCACTTCCACGAAACCCACGAACACAGGTACTGGGCTGACAAATCCAGCAACAGGTGTAAATTACTAAGGTTCAAACTCACAATCACAGGCTGGCATGCCTCCAAATGACTTACTGACTGAGTTTTGGTTTTACGCCGCTTTTAGCAATATTCCAGCAACATCACGGCGGGGGACACCAGAAATGGGCTTCACGAATGTACCCATGTGGGGATTCGAACCCGGGTCTTCGGCGTGACGAGCCAACGCTTTAACCACTAGGCTACCCCACCGCCCACCTCCAAATGAAATTGCAGTGCCCCAAGATGACTTTCCTCTAGCCATAAACCCAAGATACTATCTTGTTCAAGTAATCACAAAGAAAATATTTGGTTTCAAGGATTTTATTGGTATTTTGAGACCACAACTACTTAAAGCTTTAGGTCTGATGTCAAGTGATCCATACAACTATCATGCTTTATATAACTTGCTCAAAAAGTGCACAGGGCAATTTCCATAACCGTTTGTACAGCTAAACCTTATCAAAATGTCAAAATAAACAAACATTAACACTGTCTTTCACCTTTTGTGTACTTATTATCAGATTCTTTGATTCTCTTTATATCCTTTTTATAACTTCGAACTGCAATGCCAGATCAAAATAGCATTCGTTAGTGACTATCTTATACTACTGTTTAGAATGTAAAGAGCATGACATATCCATATTCAGGTCTTAATACATGCATATAACAGCTCTTCCCATAAACAAAAGAATGTAAACAAAGTAAGTGTCTATCAAACATTTGCCAAGATTTTTAGATCATATTTTGGAATCCAGTTTTGATTTCTACAGTGTAACGGATCATAATACAGTAAATAAGTCAGCCATCACATATAAAAACTAAATAAATATAAGGTTCATACAAAATGTCATCTTGACTTAATTTACAACTCAAATTTACAAATATAGTGAGTAAATCATTGAAAACTGAAGCAATTTTCCCTTTTGCCTCTTTGACATACACTTTTAAGAAAACAAAATAAACACTTTCAAATCCATCTGCATTCCAACAAGCTTATGTACTGACACAAAGTCCATCTCAATTCATATCACCAATTAAACATGTATCAGCGTGAAACATTAGACTGCAATAGGCTTAACATGTTCTAGATATATTAAATACACTAACTATTGCTGCACTGAATAGACTCGGAATGAAATGATTTCCATTTTAACCATTATCCCATTCATTTACATCCATATTGTGGAATTCAAACTGAAAAATGATAACTATACAAATAAATCAGTCATAATTTTAATTCAATTCATTTATTGAAGATTATTTCATTTTCAAAAATCCCTGGTTAGCCAGAGAGGCGTTTATATATGAGAAGTTATTTAGATTGCACCACAGAATGATCACAGAAAGGGCTGGTAGGCGCTACAAGGTAAGGTTACACTGTGGGTGGACAGGAGCAGATAACTACTGGGGACTATTTCCCCCTTGTCATGGACGTGGTGAACAGCTTTGTAAACTTGGGCTTCTTCTGTTTCTTCCTTCCTGCATTCCCAGGACGAGCTTCTGTGAAAAGTGGAAATGTAATCATATACTTTTTCCCCTTTGAAACCATGACTACATACCATGACAACCATGATCTTGTATACAGCATAAGGCTTCACTCTACTGTGCAATCGAGTTATATTTTACTCCACTTTCAACAGCATTTCAGCTAGGCTGTGGTCAGTCAGCGTAAGTGATGCAGGCTTGTGATGTTTACCACTTCCGCCAAATACACAAGCACGGGTACGGTGCTGACAAATCAAGAGACATTTAAAGGGCTCAATGGGATTCAAACCCAGAACTATTTGTTCCTAGAATGATATAGTAAAGAACAGACTCAGCAAGTTAGACAAGTGTACCTCTTGAGTCACCCACGACATCAAAGAAGAATAAAAAAACTGATTTATGTACTGTTAGTACCACACTTTTATGATCCCCAAGGAGTTGAACAAAGACAGAATTCTCAAACAGCTTTTGAACATCAGTACATATATATTGTATTTTGCTATCTCCTGATCATACTTGTCTACTGCCAGCCTATTGACATTTATCCATCACAAGACCATGGCTATATCCAACAGCAGACTACTAACTCCACCAACCTTTAGGCTTGTCTATAGTGTCCAGAGCAGCTTGTATGGCACATGAGAAGGAGTCCTGGTACATGGGTACAGGGACTCGGTCTTCGTTATCACTGTCATCTGTGTCAGCAGATCGGGGGACTACTGGCACTGTCTGTGCTAGTGGTTGTGATTCCACAGGGCGTGGCCACACCGTCTTGGCCTTAGCTTTACCAGCCTTCAACATCTGAAATTCCAACATGTGTATATCTCCAGTTCCTTCCACTTAAATGTACAAGATACACACATTTCAAGCATGGTGCTTTTTTCATGTGATTATTAGTGAAGTACAACTACAACAGTCAAGTACAACTTATACCATCCTTTATAACAAAATGTATTCTGTGCTGTCTCCATTCTTTTGTTTTAAAAATCATAAACCCATGCCACCACAAATTTCTCTCATTATGATGAGCTTTTTCCAATATCATTATAGCTGCAAATGGATGCAGGATATTTATCCTGATAGAATGGAGATATGACACACTGGATTATCAAGGGTGGAACAGTAACACGGAACATGTTCAAGAATCTAAAACCTATCATGCAACAACTAAAAGTCAACTTCCTTCAAACAATATTCCTTCCATCAGCACCTGTAGTTAACTTACAAATAACAATAAGAAGTTGAAGAATTACTTCATGTAAGAGTATTATGTATAGAGTACAAGGGTCTACCTGAGCAAATGACATGGATGTCTGCTCGCCGTCACTGACGTCTTCAATACTTGGACTTGCTCCCGGCACAAACTCTGCTGCACTCGCATTTAAACCTGCACAATGGAACACAGGTGTCGCAAGTGTTACAGTTTTCTTTGTTCAATACATTTCACACATTCGTAAACACTTATCATCAAACAGGATTTGAAATCACATGGAAGGAAATTATTACGAAGACATTAACATTCACTGCCAAGTGACTGAGTGAGTAGGGTATGCTTTTACGCATCAGTTAGTAATATTCCAGCAAAATAACGGCGGGCGACACCTGAAATGGGCTTGACACATTGTACCCATGTGGGGAATCGAACCCAGCTCATTGGCGTGATGACTGAACGCTTCAACCATTAGGCTACCCAACCACCCCTTCGCTGCCAAACGGTGAAGGGGCAAGGCTTGGATTCTCCAGAACATTTCATTATGTATTAGTAGCATGGATAGGACATGTACTCCTGCGAGGGAATTTAACCCAGGCCTTTGACACACCAATGTTTCAGTCACTAATGCTATCCCACCAAGTGAAGATGAAGCAAGCTGTTTACCTGATGGTGATACAGGTGGTGAGCTGGCAAGGCTGGAGACTGAGGGTGACTCAGACCTGATTTCAGGTGACACAGACATATGGACATGTTCGTCGCCTGCAGCTGGAAACTGGGCAATGCTGCTTAATGATAGCCTCATGCCAGGAACTGAAAGTAAATCTAGATTAACTCTATCGAAAACAGGAACATTTCAAATACTGGCGTAATGATTGCATCCATAAATCAAAAGATTTCAAAACATTCAATCAGATGCTGCGATAACAAACAATAACTTAGGTCTTCTTAAGTGGTAAATCAATGGCATATCATAAACTCACTAATCCCATTAACCCCTTACCATACATGCAAACAAGAAGTTGATTGCATGTAAACAAGATAGCTTTCAGGTGCGTAGCAAGCCAATTTCTTCGTATAAGCCCAATAGGTTGCAAGCTTTATATTAGATAGTATTGAGGGTTTGGCCAACCATTTTTGCAACAATCATGTGTAAGCCCTGGCTTTTTTTTTTGTAATGGTAGCTTCGCCCCTGGCTTTAGGAGAAAACTTATTCAAAGTTCTCTGGATTTGTTTCTTTCTCAACACGCCACTAAGCAGTATTCCAGCTATTCTAGGCAGCAGATAATTCTGTGATACATTTTGTGAGCAATGTTCCAAGTCATCTAGGATATAATGAGATGCAATAAACAAGTCAATGAGCTCAAACACCATATCCATTCTAAACCAGAATTCCTTCAGGGGCCTAAATATATTTGGAGTACAATGACTCCCTGCTGATATTTGATAAATGTATAGTAGTTCTTACATTTTCCCATCTTTTCATTCTCTTCCATCTCAATTTTCCTTGACCTCCTCTTGTCATCACGCATCTTTTTTTGACGCATACGTCTACGCTTCTCAATGTCACCTAAAATATAAACAAAAAGAAAAGTCTAAAAACAACTAAAAAACAATGTTGATCCATACAGAGAGGTAACTTACAGACCTGTAAAGAAAGTGGCAGAAAAAAGCCCATCTGAGAGCATTTTAACTTTCTATCTTCTTCCAAACTCACATACACAAAAGCATGAACAGTATATAACCGTAAACAAACTAAATTAGTCTACAAAAAGAAATGCCTGGGATGGTAACCTACCAGCAAAGTGCCGCAGTGTGTCTTTCGACAGTAGGGGTGGTTTTAGTGCAAGCTCTGCCACCTGGAATTCACATGTCAGTGGCAGGTGGTTCAGATACCGGAGTCGCTTCCGCAGTTCCTGAATCAAAGACAACGCAACAAATGAAAGAATGTTAAGTGCAAAAATAGTCTGCAGAAATGGCCTTTCCTTCAAAGAGCTTAAACAGGTCATTACGAAACCTTCAATGCTGATCTGAAAGTTTTTTACACTTTGACTGTTTGAAAGATAGTGGTCGCAGCCGCAAAGGTTTGTTCGCAGTGCGACTCAGATTTTTGGGGAAATCATACAAATTGACAGGTCTCAAACCTTAAAAAAATATATGCAAGAACCCTTCTATAGTAGCTCTGCAACAATTGTGTTGCCAAGTTTAATCGGTTAGGTAAAAGAAGTGAAAGTGAGTTGTGATTGGTACGGTCAACTTCCCAGCGTAGACACCTGATTGGATAAAAAGCCAGCCAAGGTAGGTAATAAAATCATGGGTCCGAGCTGTAGATACGTCCAGGGTACAGTGGAGATTTATCGCAACGTATACCCTGCAGATTATCGAGGATACTTTCATCAACATTTCTGACAAATATAGGGCACAATAACCCATCTTACACTGGATCGACTCAGGAAAATGAAAGACTAAGTTTACTGTAGCTTCTATTTACATTTTTAGCAAATGATATACCTCAGTCATAAAGATGATCTCTGTGTCAACGATGTTAGCAGTGATGGTGTCAGGGCAGTCCTCAAGCTTGCCATATTCCTTCACTAGACACCGAGCATTCAAGGCATGCAGGTAGATGTGCTGGCCGTCACTCGCTGCAGACAAACATGTGAGGAGCTGACATGAGGAGCTGACGTGATGATGTGACAAAGACTTATACAGGTAATAGTGAGTGTACATGTAAGCCGCTTTTAGCAATATTCCAGCAATATCACGGCGGGGGACACCAGAAATGGGTTTCACACATTTACCCATGTGGAGAATCGAACCCGGGTTGTCGGCATGACGAGTGAACACTTAACCGCTTTGCTAACCCACCGCCCCTATGCATATAAAAAATTATAACCACAGAACAAGGTGCTTCAGAAACACAGGTTAAAACTCACTAGCTTCTAAAAAGCTAACTGGACAGTGACATGAATTATTTTCACATACTGCATGCTACAGTGTTCCAAATTAAGCATGAAAGTCAAGGTGTCACAACTCTATGCTGAAAGTCATGTGAGTCCCCAGATATACAAATACACACACAGAAACATACAATTCCGAAACAGCATACCTTGATAGTAGAAGAATGCACTTTTTGTCTGGTTGCCTCTTTGGCTACTGTTCCCATGTTCACTCTCCGTGGGTAGTTCCAGGTGTTCCGCCGCCTCCTCCACAGGCATAGCAACCTCCTGTTGTTCCTGGATCTCAGGGAGGCTAAGATCCTCAGGTGATCCAACAGAGCTTTCAGACAAGGATGACCGCCCCCGGGCTCCATCAGCAGTGGTGTCCAACTCAGACAGACTAGTGTCCATGTCGGAGTGTGTAGTGGCTTCCGAGAGGGACAAGGTGGGGGATTCAGGGTGGATTACGGAATCAGGGATTGGGGACTTTGGAAGACTCGCATCTCCAGATGCTTCTGCAGATTCAGCAGTCAGATTTTTGCTATCCTCATCTGAATCTTCTTTATCAGAAAAGGCAGATGCATAATGTTTGATTGGCTGTAACAGAAAACATTTTTAATGATTGGCAGAGTTCTTAATGCATGATGCATTCATCGAACAATATATGTTTAACATCTCTCCCAAACACTAATTTCTAGAATTCCTAAAAGCAAAAAGGCAACTATTTTTGGTAACATTCCTCTAATACTGCCAAAGTATTTGTGTAAATACTTACTGAATTATCACTGTTTGCCAGCACAGACTTTGGAGATTTCACTTTGTCAACTTCAGCTTTATGGGCATGTCTTGCTCTACGGTGCTTCTTGTGTGCCGTACTGATGCGCAGGCTTTCCTCCCTCTCCTACAAAACATACACATACATATACCATACTGCATTAAAAAGTCTTTTACAACAGTACAAATCTTAGCTTTGTCAACACATAAATATCACTAAGGCAGACTTAACCCCTGATTATCTTCAAAGTATACAATTTTATAGCAGACTTGACCATCATACAAACTGTGCACAAGAGAAAACATGTAAAACTGAAATCCTAGGCAGAGAAACACAAGTTATCGGTTGAGAGGCTGCAAGTATCTTGTACACTTCTAAGTTACACAGTTTTAATATACATAATTATTGACACAGTTTTCACTGAGCTGAGTGAGTGAACAGACAATTCTTACCTTCAGGTGGACCAGTGCTGACTCAATGAAGCACACTTCTGAACTCTGAAAGTCACAAAGCAAAGGCAAAAATGAGACTTTTGTTTTACCTGTTCTACAATAACACAAACACAACACCACTTAATGCAATAAGAAGCATCTCCATTCTGAACTTCACACACAGTACCAAAATTTGTGAGGATTCATTTACAGTCAAATCATTACTCCAACACTACATCATGGAGTCTGCAAATAGGTTACGGTAACAGACAAACCAGTGGCTAATATAATGAGCATTGTGCAATGACAAACACTCATCCAGCTCACACATCCAACCTCATACAAAGACTTGGGAACCAGCATGCTGTTAATTACCTCAGCATTCAGCATATGCTTGTTCAGTGCTGCCTTCTCTGGTTCAATAATAGTTTCCTGAATTTGACTGGGGGATGCCACCAGCAGCTTGACATGCTCTGTGTTCACAGTATCTACAACACCATTCATATAATCTCACTGACAACTGACATTTGTGACTACAGGACAAAATCACATTTACACTGACTACAACAATAGCTATAAAGCATCAAATAAATACTGCATAAAAAGGCAATTACCTGCCCAGGTTATGTTGAGTGTGTTCAAACCATTAAGCTGCTAATGATGGCTGACGATTAATAGTTTTAATCCCCAACAACAATACAAGTTAATCACCTGTAATTCTGTGTGGCTTCCCCTCTCGATTCTCCCATTGAGACTGGGGAACAGAGTAGGTGCTACCACGCTCTCTCTTCATCAGGCTCAAAGTGATTGTCTCCCCTGGTTTATAAGCATGGACAACCCGGATCTGTACACTGCAACCATAAGGATTTTTTTAAATGTCACTGACAACAGTTGGACCAGTCTTCAGAAAAGCATAAAAAGATCATCAGAAATAACATTTACTTCTTTTTCTAGCAATTTCTCACAAATCAAAGCTAAAATACAAGCTATGAAACACTGAATAACAACTTCAAACATGTTGGAGCAAGCAAGCAAGCAGGCAGGTAGTTATGTTTGTCTGAGCAAAAACAGGTATACAGGTATTTCCATGGCTCTGTACACAAAAAAATGCTTCAGAATTATTCAGAGAGGTTCTGAAGATTAAATTTTCAGGATAACCTCTCCTTTATATAACATCATAAACTATCCAGCTAATATTACTTCACTGGTTTGTACATACCTCTTTAAATCTTTCTTGAGAACATACTCGTAGCAAATGGGACACTTTCTCCATTTTTTCTCCCCGAGATCCAAGTAGTGTAGGATACAAGCCCAGCAGTAGACGTGGCCACAGCGGGTTATCTTACCTAAAGCAAATAAACAGGACATCTTCGCAATCTTTCATCAGTTTCATATTGAGCAACCTTATGTGAACGATTCACAAAGTATACATTACTAATACAAGTGTAATCCGCAGGACAGTGTGATTGTGTTTACTCTTATTCAACCGACCTTCACCTTAAAGAAATTGCCACATATGTCCAACAATGTTGATGTATGACATCACTACCGATGACCGATTTCTCATGAAATGGCGGCTTCGTGGATATGGGTGCCCACGATTAAAAAAATTGCAAGGGAACCTTTGTCAATAAATGTATGATGTAAGTAATCGGAAACATTCTGACTATCTACTTATGGTTGTTTGTTTTTATTGTGTTCATTGAAAAAGTCAGAAATGCCAATAATTGCCTATGTCGTTCTCCATGATTTTGCTCTCGCATGGCGTCCACGCTGCACAGAACTTCTCGTGATGAATATCAAATTTCAGTATTGTATCTGTTTTAAGTTTTCTAGTTCTTGCTACGATACTCTTTCCGTGTATATTCTAAAAATATTGAGCTCATGCATGCTACGAATAGACGAACTGATGTCTAAAAAATTGAGAAAATGCTGCACAGTATAAAATCTGATTTTTGCTTTGTTTATATTTCTAGCAAGCGCTGTGTAATGAGCGCAGTGCCGTTTTCACACCCAGTATGTTTCGTTTTTTCTTAGACACTTGGTTTTAGCGACAAAGACCATTTGGAATTTGATTCTAAAATGTATGAGGAATTCAGCGATGCATTTGTCACAACTGAATATGAAATATACATGATGTAATTTGCGTCCTATGACTGGCCTTAGCGAAACTTGATTTTGTAAACACTATCCAATATGACGGAATGCTCACTTCGGCCTTCGTGTTCGTGTATTTTCCAAAACATCCCAACCGATTCTAGGTTTATCGGCAATGTTTCAGAATTATATAGACGTGTTTCTTCACAGCAGTCGATCGAAATGTTTGTTTTTGGCCCGAGGTTTAGCCCTAATGATGCATTTTGACAGACGACCGAGAGTAACAATTACATGTTTACAGCGTGGAATTGTGGGAAAAAATTAGGGGAATCCCCAGATTAAATGAAAATATTTACATTAGGACATCATTAGATAATGATACGCTAATAAGTGTTTGATACAACCGTTTTTAATGATGCTATTAACTAATGATGCATTAAGGATTTAATGTATCATTAGCAGGGTTTTACATAGCTCTTTGAAAATGGGAGTCCTGAGGACTCAGGGCATTTTTTTTTGAGAGTCCATTTCCAAAATTGGGGGTCCATCAATTTGCATTAAATCAATGATAATGAATGCTTCCCGTGTGATAATGATTATGTTAAGATATGTGTTACTTTCAATGTCATTAGAATAATGATTGTAAATAGAATGTTTATATTTTAATATGGGATATCATTACAAACTCAGAAAGTTCTTTCCCAGAAAAAAATTATATTGCGTCCACAAGGACGCATAGGATTTTAGTTTGGGGGTACTTCACCAAATTTCTGCGTCCAATACGCAGGAATCTTGCATCCCGTAAAACCCTGCATTAGGGTTTAATGTTGACATTAGTTAATGAAGAAATGATACAACCGGATCCAGAACATAACTTCTTAATACTGGATCAGTCAACCACTCTCACAGCTGCAGAGCAAAACTTCAACACTCTCAAAAGAAAAAGTCCCCGTAGAGCGGTTATTATTTTTCTTAAAATAAATCTTGGGGTCACCTTACATAACAGTATGGTGGATTCAACGAAGACACAAGGTAACACAGAGAAGACAAATATGTATCTTACCAGCCTGAGGTTCCTGTAAACAGATTGGACAGGATGGTGGCTCCTGGCTCAGTGTTCTCTGATGAAAAAACAATAATTTCAATTTCAAAGATAATAAAATGCCATGGATGTTAGTGACAGTGTTGAAAACTCCCAAAAATTTCAGCCAGACAACTGGTCTGGTAACTCAAAAGTTACCAGACTGGTTGGAAGGTTGCCAGTCCAGAATTTTCTGGATTACGAAAAATATAAAGAAGGTATTTTTTAAATAAGAGGAGGGAACTGTTTAATTTTCAGGTTATTGGCACAAAAACACGTTTTGAAATCTGTTTCAGTCAAGGCTTTAGTCATTATATTCAAAGTCAGATTCATCTAAATCTGAAAAAACAGAATCATAGTCTGAATCAGATTCAGAACTTCCACCTGCACTAGGCACTTCAGCTTGATGCACTTCAACTTCACTCAAATGATGCTCTAGAATATCAGTATTCAATGAAACTGAATTCCTGCCCCGTTTTAGGCAAAAACTCTGACCTTCTGAGATGAGATTTGTTCCACTTATGTATAGAGTGTTGGGTCCGTCAACAACTGACTTGAAGTGAAGTGATAGTCATCAAAAGTGTCATTGATGAGCTGCTGAGTTTGTTCCTGTATTGAGACTTAGTCAGCTTCATTTGTGAAAATCCTCTTTCGCATTCAGCATTGAAAGATGGTAGAGACAGAATCAAATGATTTAACAGCCAGATCATCGGGCAGCAACTTTTTAAAACAGACCGCCCGGTCGCAAAACAGACCGTCCCGGACGGAGTTTGCAACGCTGTTAGTGATTATCCTGAACATATTCGTCATTATTGGAATGATGGTGCAGTGACAATGAACAGTTCAAAGTCCCCTGTGAAAAGCAATCCTCATACCCTGTCCTATGCCAAAGGGGCCCTAAATATGTTTCTGATAAATGGTGAATCATTCAGGGAGTGATCCGAATCTATTTATTAGTAAGTCAGATCAATCAGAAGCTAATTATGTCAATGCTGACATTTTCTCCATCAGATATAAAACTACACACACTGGTAACTATGGCAACCGTATCATGGTAAAACTAAATAACAAGTAAATAAATGCCAAGACGTCCTCACCACTTGCTCCACCAGATCCCAGTCAACAAGAGTGTCTGCATCGATGGAGTGAGCTGTGTAGTCACCACTGTCTCCAACAACAAACTGACAGCTGAAAGATGAACGTCACCATGTACAATACTACTCCATGCTACAGAAGTGGGAGAAGAAATAATTACAGTTTTAATATCTGGACCAAGTCGGGAGCATGTGGTTAAGATATGTACTGTCAGATTATATTTTCGTACAAACATGTTTTACAATACATTCATGAGCAAGATCACTATGACAAAAATCAACGATCCAATGAAAGTAATTAACCATATACAATCCTTCAAAACATAGGTTATTATTGCTACAAACCATGAAAACAGTTAATATACAAAACTCTTTTCTGATCCACATGACTTACTTTGCCTGAAGAAATCTTTCTTTATTGTAAACTCTTCCTCCCGTTCGTGGTCTTCTCACTCCTCTATAAGTACCGGAACTTCCGAAGTGATTTTCTCGACCCGCAAACGTAAAGTTGAACAGGTGATTCAAACTGGCTTTCTTGGAGCCACCAGAGAACACGAGGGACTCATACTCTGAGTCCACAGGTTCTGCTACCTGAACAGAAGGCAATGAAGTTTATTATCAAAAGAGTGTCAAGAGAAAATTACCTGGTAATAATAGTGGCAATATAAACACGTTCTTCTTACCTATTTACCAATGCAGAATGATGCTAAGCAGGCTAAGTATCAGTATCGTCTGTTATACTCAACATGTCAAAAATTATGATGTAGAATGGCAGCAGATACTTTGAGTAAAAACACCTAAGCATTGACAATGTCTTGAGAAAAACAGATATTGTACAGACAACAATCAATTACATTATGTGTATATTGTGTAGAGTGAAGTCTATCAGAGAGATGAATAACATCTTCAGCATGTTTAGAAAATAAACCATTAATAATACACACCACAAATATTATTTTCTTGAGCAGTACATGATAGATGACATACCTGCATGTAATTTTGCATCTTGTCATGCTTATTAAAAGGTTTGTCGAAGATCAGAATGAACATGTCAAAATTATGAATTGATACAATACACTGAATAGAAAATGTCTAGAGAACTGATCTGATTTGGCTGGCCTAGCCTCATAATCTGGTCTTGCACTCTCCATGCTTGCTGGTAATTGTGCAATATATGAACCACAGAGTTACCCCCCTTGTGCATATTGCACTTTATAAACATATCTCATACCTGACATACACAAGACAAGCAGTTGGAGTTTCCATACAGCTTACATACATGGTGTTTGTACATATTATGCTTCGTGTTTACTCAATTTGAAAATTTTCAATAACTGTTTTGGCCTTCCAAGTAAACATGGTAAATATGGAACTGGTATATGTATGCCATTATATCTCGGAAACAGATCAACTTCTTGACGCTAAATTACAACAATTACCTCTTCTCTTTGACGGTCATTGTAATTTCCTCTAGATCGTGGTCGCTTGTCCCCGGTAGATCTGGATTTTTGAGGAGTTGGGCGACGAGCATGGTCCGGTGTACTTCCTCGACCCCCTCCTGACTCTCTTTTCTTCCCATATTTAGAAAACCTATTAGGACTGTTATTATCTGAAAACACAGAAGAACAAAGCAAAAGTGATAAAGCATACTCACAGATTGGACATATAGCTGATATACAAGCTAACTTACATGGTAACCATTTCACCAGATGTCAAAAATCAATTGAATGCCACATTGAAGCCAGCACAAGCTCAATAGTTTAAACAGGAACAGCTGGCCAGCATTACGTGTCGTTTGGTTTGTCTGCTTTACTTGTAATTCGGGTATTTGGACTTAAGTCTGGACATATAACAAATAGTTGTGCTAAATCTTTTGGTCATGTGACATCTGCTGTCAGGGTATCGGGAAGTCTCGTGAAGTGACGTCACAACTCACCATTTTTCTTACTGTCGGACGTTGCACCGTTTTTCGGCGGAACAGACGGCTGACGAGATGATTTTTTGTCCATATTTACTATCCCTTCTTCGTACATCAACAGCAGTAGACAAATGAGAAGTAGAACCTCCCGTTCTCTTCTGCTTAGCAGAGATAACGAATGCTGAACGACCTTGGGCAACCATTTTCATAACTCCATGTTGAACACTCTTAAACAAGTAAAAAAATCCAATTGTATCGTAAACAGACTAATAACAGTTTTGCAGTCTACTAGAAAAATCTGTCAAAAACAAAATGCGGGGGTACAATACGTTCCCCCGGCGCTCAATAACGCTCTTTCAGCGTCTTAAATGGGCGACTATCACGCCCAAACACTTCTTGATGGAGACAGGCCTCCAATGCCCGGATGTTGTTGAACGAAACTAAAACTAGGATCGGAAATGATGAGGATGGCAATCATATTCATTAAACGATAGTACATTCATGAAGCAGATGTCTGTGATTATTTAATTGTTAATCACCAGTTGAAGTAAGCCAGTCATTCAACGTGTGTACATTTTGTAAATACGTTGCAAACCAAGAGCAAAAGAATAATGATATTTTGTCATACATTTTAACTGTGTTCATCTTTTATGTACGTGAATATTTGATGAAGGTATTGCTCCTGATGTTTTAAATAAACAACACTGAGACACTCTGAGATGTTTAATTTGGCCATTTTGACTTTAGTCTATGGCCCTTTTGACTTTCCCTTGGCCCTTTCGACGTTTTCTATTTGGGCCCTTTTGTCCTTTGGCCCTTTGGACCTGTTCCCCTCCTGGTATCGGTATGGGAATAATATGCAAATTAGCAAGATCATATTTTAAGATAATGAAGATACGTCGCACATAAGTTTTGATCACAAGATATTATTTACTATTCCCGTATAAAAAATGTTGATGAAATATATAAGCATTGTTTGAAATGATTATGAAAAAAGGTACTGCATGACAAAATAAAATAAGAAATTGAACGAAGTTCTCGAGATAATAACAGATAGATAGGCAGACAATGATAATGACACCTTGGTCTGGTGCCCAGTTCTTGGGTCAAAGTTACAGCGGTTCACAGCACTAAGAATAAACGCAAACCACGATGTTTATTACAGGTTACATACAATTAACTGACCTTCTATTCCGGTAAGAAATGAATTCACAGCTAAGAGTTGAAATTTCTCCAATATAACGCTAAAACAGCCTGGTCCTAGGGTATGAAGCGCAAGCGGACATTAAAATCCTCAACTAATAATCGAATGAACCCAAGTTTACAATGATTAGGCAAGTGAAGAAAACCTCAGATGATGGTCAGTAAAAATGGTTCTAGATTCATTCATTCCGTGTGTGTACAAATAACTGCTTTTCAGGGAACATGTCACTTCACATCTGATCATGCGTACATACTAGATACCAGTCAAAAATATTTTAATCAAGCGTGCCATCCCATATTTCTAACCTGGGATGCTCTACTCCACCTAAACCCGAGTTAACACACCACCCCTGCCCCGCCCAACTTTATACTAGCAGGTAGGCGATGATGATGATATGGAGATTTAACGTGCGGTCTCCGACATAATGCATATTCAGCACTCGGATATGCCCATGTATATTCCAATTTATACATTGTACGTGTGTGTCACTGAACGTTTTATGGGTGTATTTAGGTTCAGTGGTGGCTGTTAGATTCATCACCATTATCATAATCATCATTATCATCATCCAATTTGAATGAATCCAATTTACTTACCAGGACAGGTAAACTCACCACCAATGTGCAATAAACACACTTACAATTGCATGTAGGTAAAATGTTCAGTTTGGGAATGTGTAAAACGGCTTCTTACTACTAATAAACTACGCACACGAAGATAGTTTTTCCCAAATCAAAATATCCATTACTCAAATTTAATCCTCTTCATTTATCGTTTCCACAATCGCTACTACATTTAGACCAACCCGGAAATACCACGCATGCGTGAATCGGACTGCGCGAAAATTTGAATACAAAATTGAGTAGGTCAAGTCACCTAAGTATTGACAAGTACTTTCATTGCAGCTTTCTGCACTATTGGATCTAGCCACATCATTACGGTAACTTTTGAAGATATACGACAGAAACGGGACCCCTTAAGTATATAAGGGTTAAACTTTTTGTGTGACTATTTTGACGTGTGTATCAACATGAACTTTGTAAAGTCTGAGAAGTTATCCTTGATTTGAATGTTGTTTACAAAACCCGATAAGTGACATTGACAGCTGTTGAAAAACCTTCAGCAACCATGTAAAAGGCGTCCGATCACGGGTCAGAAGGTCGTTATTCGAATCAATTAAATCAGAGACCATATAATAGATTTATATGGTCTCTGGTTTAATGGAATGACACAAAAAATATTGTCAACGTCACATGGTGAATTGTTCCAAGATCTACATATCTTTCCAAATAACAACATTTGTGGGAGTCAAGTAGAAATGACGGAAAGACTTCCGCCGGTATCCCCCTTAAGTTTATTTCTAGTCAAATCCTATCACCTAAATATATACAGTATATATTCTTCATCTGATGAGGACTACTTTAGCATGTTTCTTTGTTGTATCTGAACATACTGAAAGACATATCCAACTTCCATAAATGCCACTCAAAGAATTTTTCCCTTATCGTTAAATTTAGGGGGATACAGGCGGAAGTCTTACCGAAATGACAGCTGAAAACCTATAGCTCATCCATGTTCCCGCACAATTTAGCTGATGCCTTTACAAAATGTCAGAGGCATCTGTAGCTGATATTCAGTAATCCAGTCAATAATGTTTTCAGTCAGCCATGATAATAGAGAATACTAAACGATGTTCCGGGTAATACCATATTTATGAAACGAGTGAATGATTTGGTATCTAACGAGCGAAAGCGAGGTAGATACCAATACCATTCACGAGTTCATAAATATGGTATTGCACGGGAAATAGTTTAGTATTTTATTTATTACTCACCCAACATTAGCAAATTAATATCGAGCAAAGTACCTTTTTCCTAAGAATTCAACGAGTGTGATGACTCTCATCTTTCTGTGAGTCAAGCAAGGTCTAATACTATTGTGACAGAGGTATTAGCATTGTGACGTCATAACTGTAAACCACTTTGGTGTCACACGTACGACATCACGTGATGTTATTACAAAATGTGTAATAACGTTGTAAAATTATTAAACAGTGATATCTTCAACGGGTGGGTAATAAGAACCATTAACCAACGTTCAGTTGTCTTTTGGAATAGTAGAAACCCAAGACAAATCCATTATAGGTGTTGTCTTACATGCGTGTAGAAAACTTTCATGCAGTTTGGCAGCTGTAAATCATCAACAATATATATACTACTGTGTATCATGGAAAGATTACTCGTCATATTCTTATGATAGGATACAGTGACACCTGAGTATATAAAGAAGCCCAGGTGTTAACTCTGTGTTGTTTATTTGCCACACTCAGCAATATTCCAGCTACATGGTGGTGGTCTGTAAATGATTGAGTCTGGACCAGACAATCCAGTGATCAACCGTATGAGCATTGATCTACACAATAGCGATACGATGACATGTGTCAACGAAGTCAGCGAGCCTTACCACCTGATCCCATTAGTAGTATTTCATGACAAGCATGGGTTGCTGAAGACCAATTCTCACAGTAAGATCGTCACAGGTCAATTAACTGCCTGATGGTTCCCATGTCATTGTAAGAGTTGGCAAACATCTTCCATCCAGTGATCAATATCACCCTCTCTGAAACTGAAGGCTGATTATCCTCTTGTTACAGCAGCTGTAGATGATGAAGAGTGAATGGGATACTGATCATTATCAGGTGGAAACCTTGGATGAGTTTGATGAAGCTCATCGTCTGAAGAAGACCTACTGCTCCACTATGACTGAGGAGGAGTATGAGGATCAGACAGCTGAAGAGACAGACAAAGCACTTCAGGTATACCGAGGAAGCAGAATGTGATGTATGACTTGTCCTTTAACATTGGTTAAACCACAAACTATCTGATGACATCATTCTGAACATTCATTGAATTATTTGACCGCCTCCGTGGTGTAGTGGTTAGAGCGTCTGCCCGGAGAGCGGAAGGTCGCGGGTTCGATCCCCGACTGCGTCATACCAAAAGACGTTAAAATATGGTACTTGTTGGTCCCTGCCTGGCGCTCGGCATTAATAGGTACAAGGACTGGTCTGCTCGGAGTCAGTATAATGTGTCTGAGTGGGGTATTTATGTTTCACTGCGGCATGGTATCTCAGTGGGCTAGCACTATAAAACCAGCTTCAGTCTGGGCTAGTACAAGCAGCCGCACCTACACATACACACGCATGCACGTCGTCATATGAGCGAAATATTCTCCAGCGCGACGTTAAACCCAATTTCACCTCACCTCATTGAATTATTTACCAACATCAATCAAATTTGCAAATACTGTTGTTTGTAATTGTAACTTGACAGCACTCGTCCAACACCAGTAATCGACAATACAGGTGGTCCCACACAGCCAAAGGACCTTGCAATTTGCTGCTCTGATATAATCTGAGGATTATGATCAATTTAATGTTTTTATGTTAGACATAACACCTTGACTTCCACACCCAATTTGAATGATGCTCGTCCACCTAAGATCTTGGTGTTAGGAATGGTCAAGTTGTTTTCACAACAGTTTCCACTGTTCCAGGATTTGGTGAAGTATCTGGAATGCAATCCCGAGACTTATGCTCGTATCCTGAGAAAAAAGAAGGTTGAGGAGATGGAACATGGAGGAATGTATTCCTACCTGAAGGTACTGTACACTCTTCACGACCATCACACACTAGTAGCCTTCAGTATTGTGTACCTACTAGGGGTGTCTATTGAGGGGGAAACAACTATTGTGATAATGATAGTCTATTGCTACCAACTATTGCAATACTATTGCAATAGTTCTTTTTTTCTCAGGCTCCATGAATTGTCTCATTTTAAGTCATTTCCCAAATGAATGAATAGTTTAAATGAAATAAAAACTAGCTAAAGTAGTTTCAGTATCTTCTAATAACTGACAAGAAACTTGAAACCCAGATCAAGTAAACAGTCGACACAAACTCAACAAAGCTGCAATTCTGCACTGAAACATCCTGTATTTTGCGCTGAGCATTTATCAACGGAAGTCACTTACTAAACTATCGATAGTCACTGTAAAAAAGTGTTTGCAGCCCCTAAATGCTCCCTATTGTTTTAACATTTAATGTGGATCCGATTCCGCAGTCCCACTTTTATACCCTTTAGGCCTAAAAAAAATAGCTTGTTGTTCCGATTTCCCGACCGACCCTAAATATTCCCGCTGAGCCTAACAATTTTACTCACCACATAATCAATTAAATTTATTTTCTGACACATGAGTAACGTAAAAATATTTTGGAAAAAAAACCAAAACCCTACCTACCTACCCTAGTTCTGAAATGTAGGAAATCGGAGCCACAACATTTATTCTTTTGGGCCTTAATTAGCCTCATTCCGCTTTCCAATCCTGTTTTGTAGTTCTTTGTCTCTGATTAAATGGCTGCCCAAATGGCAGGTCAAATGACCATGTGCTCTGAAGTTTTCTCTCTGACTGATTCCATAGCCTAACCGCTATCCGGTCCATATGCTGATATAGCCACCAGTACCCACTCCTACTACCCATCTATACCTCATTTACAGTCACACATACTATCTATGCATCGGTAGTTTTTCGATTCTATCGGACACTCAACAATTGCAATCCATCGATAGTTTCATGCATTGTTTAAGCTCTAGTACCTACTACTCTACATCACATACTACATGAAGAGATGATGATGTGTCATGAAAGCCATGATTATCATTTTGAATACCAGATTTGTCCTGTTTGTTTCTATACTCCTCACAAAAAATTAAGCAATGAGTATTTTCAGTGTTATATCTTTATCAATCTCGATAGCAATTTTTGCCGACATGTTACTGAAAGGTAAATATTCAAATAAAACATAGCCTTTTGTGACTGTCAAATTGATTTATCTGATAACATTGACAACATCACCCGAACACAAACACCCTCAGAAATAACATGCAAAATGTGCGGCATGAATGCGCTCCACTCTTCACACATGCACCCTGATCAGTGTAAACCTACTCGTAATCATTCCTCTGGTACAACAAGCAGGTCCTAACTTCATATTTATGGATGATAATGCCCGTCCATGGATGATAATGCCTGAGAAAGAGTTGTTAACGATGTTGCTTAGATCAACATCACACATATGGACTGACCTGCTAGGTCAGTTGATCTGAATCTCATTTAAATGCTTGGGACGTTATTGGAAGTTGTGTTTATGGTCTCCATGTTCACCCCCTGACACCATATCTCACTGAGCAGGCGTTACAGAGAGAATGGCAGAACATTCCACAACAGCAACTTTAAAGGTTCATTTGGTCACTGCTAAGACGTGTAGAAGCTTGCATTTGTGCTCATGGTGGTCATACACGTTACTGAACACTGCTTCACTGTCGAAAACTGACTTGAACCTTTTGCTAACATTTTGCTCCATCAACGCAGCACATTATGCACGACTGTTTCACCGGTACATGCTTTTGATGATTTGTAAGTTTATAATTGCTCAATACCATTTCATATAATTTTGTTACTCGTGGGTATATATGTTTCACCTTTCTATTGCATCATTCCATGATTTGCAATTTCAATAAATGAAAATGTAATGAGACTAACAATTTGTGTTGCTTAACTTTTTGTGAGGAGTATAGTTTAGTGAGCACCATATCTCATTGGTTTCACCAGGTGGAAAGATCATCACCTTAGTTTTTTTATATGACACACTGATGTATTTAATAATCTCTTCAAAGTGAAAATAAGTAAGAGTTCCGCCCGTAACCCCCGCTTGAAATGTATTCTATTTATTAGGATTATTTCGAGGGTTTTAGGGTTATGTTTAGGGTAAGGGTTAGTGTTAAGGGTTTTTTTTATAAAAACCATCTGTTCTTAGGCATAGAATGCTAAAAAAAAAGAATAGGGGTTACGGGTGGAAATTTTTCAGAAAATAAACCAAGTCCTTTCCAAAGAAAAAGAAAATTTACTCTTATATTACTGTATAATGATTGCTTAAAAAACTCATAGTCGACTTATTTGTTGTTTAGTTTCATTATGTTATGCCTAAGAATATAGCAAGTACTAAAACTTAGTCCTTCATATATATACTGTAAAGAGAAATACCTTTGTTTCCAATGGTTCCAGGTAAAGATGATGAGTCTGTTGCATGGAGAACACTACCCAGCATGTCTAGTTGCACCTGAGGAGGCTCAGAATCATCTCAACCAGCTCAAGCGAGGGATGAAAAGGGCTTTTGAGTATTCACAGGGTAAGTAATCAGTCCGCCTCTTGTACCTATCCAGATTTGACTAAAAGAACAACTCTGGACTCATGAAGAGACTCCAAAGGTTTCATGGCAGACCAGGTATTGCAGAGCATCAATTCACACTCCTCCTCCCAAACAGGATTATCCACTGTATCAACATGCATTCCAACTACAAAGGGGGATTATCTTTGTGAGAAGGACCTCAATTACTGTCAGTCACTTAATCTGTACTCCCTGAACTAATTACATTTTCTGTTTATTGATTAAAATCACACTACTGGATTAGGGAAGTTAGCAGTCTCTTAGATGTGTATTCAATCTTTTCTTTGACATCAACATCATTAAGGCAGGGTACAAAATTACCATATCTGCTGGTCCAGGGCCCTGTTGCACAAAGCTATTTTATCCCTAAGGTGATCGAAAGTCCCATAATTAAACATAGGCTGATGAGTGCCAGAGATGCTTTCAACAACCGGGCGCAGGACTAGTAAACTAAAGGCTTATATAGCATTTCCTTATGGACTACAATGTGTGTATTAGCTCTGAAGCAGGTAGATTTGCAGAAATTGTGACATTAGCAATCCTTCTGTCTGTGTGCACCTGATGTAGAATGGGTATCAGCACTGGTGGTTGACCTGCCGGAACATATAAGACACGGTGTGTGACATAGTTTCCAAATTTTGCTAACCAGTCGGGCTAGCCATGCGGATGATGCCTGAAAGTTACTTGCCCACAAAATATTTCACTAGCTTAAAATTTGAATGAAGAAACTAAGCAAATGGTTACCAAACTAGATGAGAATAATATATTGTCGGCATGGCATGGGTTTGATCATTAAGCTGCTAATATGATGGACATTTTTCTTCAGGCCATAATCTTGCATGATTTAAAAGTGTATTATAACTTAACAAGTTGGAGAGAGTGATATATTTGCAAAACGACCCCATGAGATTAACTAGCCAGTCGGGGCAGCGACTGTGGAGATTTTCTGGCCCAACTGGATTTTTGCTAGCCATAGGCTAGCGGGCCAGTGGCAGTTTTGCACACTGAGACACAAGTATTCAATGTATAGAAAGGGTTTTACACAGACTGTTAAACAAGAGAGTCATGGTGACCCACAGTATTTATTTTTGGGAGTCATTTTCAATATTTGGGAGTCATTAAAATTTTAGCGTAATATTTATGTGTGTATATCAAAAGGCAAGAGTTTTGCAAAGATTTTATTGTTTTGTGTTGTATTGTCATTTATATGTAAATCCCTGTATATACTGACTCTTCTGACTCGTTGTCCTATCAATGGAAGTTCTCATGTTGAAAGTGCCACAATTAGTACAGTCACAGATTATGCTATTTGCTGTACAGAGTTGTATCCCTTGGCAGTTCCTGGGTAGCACTGAGTATGAGTTTTATCTGTTCACACAAATAATAATATTCATCTACTAGTGTTGGTCCGATTAATTGAAATAATCGAAGATTGGTCGCAGTGACTAAACGACGAAACAATCGATCATGTTTTCTCATAATCGAACACAAACAATTCTGGAACACTTTTTGCATTAACAATATTTTTCACACGGTTGGTTTTGTCTGTTACATTTCATGAGCACTACAAGTTCGTTCCAAGTGACAACTGAATTTATCTTTAAAACCCCACGAAATTTATGTTCCTAAGATACTAGTCATCCTTTAAAGATGTGCAATTTGCAAAAATCAATGAATCAATCATCAATTATGAGAATTTAACCAATTCCCAACACTATCATCTACATCGTCTTGGGTTTCCTCCCTCATTAAAGTAAAAGTGGTGTTATCCCAAATGATTCAAAGGTTTTTATTATCACTTATGCTATACAAGATACATTTTAGTGAGCCTCATCAGTACTTTGATTACAGAGGGCAAGGCAACAAGACGCTCATCTAGACTTGCTGCCAGGAGGCCCCTGTCTGATGCCTCCCCTCGTCTCAACACACCCAACAAGGAAAGGTCACTCCAGTCGTCCAAGAGAGCAAAGAGAGGCTTGGCCGAGCCCCACTCAGCAGTACCAGTTGCCAAGATCACCCCCAGCCACCCCTCTTCTGTGCCACCACCACCCCCTCCTCCTCCACCACCACCGCCACTTCCGACTAATCTCGTCATTAAGCCAAGATCAAAGAAAGTGTCATCCAAGACACGCTCCTCCAAGACAGACTTACCCAAAACAGACTCACCTGAATCTCGCTCACCGCAAATAGCATCGCCATTAGCAGCTAATTCACCCAGTGGAGTTGACAGCTCTGATCATGAGGTAACCAAAATTATCCAGTGGTGCTTAATTTTGTCCATACGTCAGGCATGTCAGTGACGGCTGCTCACATAAAATCACAAAGGCTGCAGTGCTGCACATAGTTCAGTCAACACTAGATTTAGAAACTGGTACTACTCTGTTGTAGGGCTGCGCACTATAACCGGTATTTACCGGTTCAGACATGAAAACGATACGTATTGCAATACCCTGATCGAAACCGGTATTTTGACATGCATTCGGAAAACTTCGTAACACTCGAAAATCTTCGGATATTTCCCGGTTTTTTTAATTGTTCTTTTCCCTGTTTCATTAATGCCAAATGTTACTTACATTTTTATTTTGTCATGATTAAAAGTTTTTATAAAATATTGCAATACATATCGCAATATATGCTTCCACATCGCAATATATCACAATATGAAAATTCTCTGCAATACCCACCCCTACTCTGTTGGTCACAACCAAACTTCCCACTGGTTACAGAAATATACAAGAATGTATTGGAAATGTTTCTAAAATGAAACAGCAGTGAAATCTTCTATATTGAAAATGTCCTATTGCCTTTTCTGTCCAGCAAATCAGTGAACTTTCAAGATTAAAGTTTGATTGTTTCCTCTTTGTGACTTACTCAACGGGATGAATCGATGCTGGCTGGTGTGTTTTATGTTTGTGCAAGGTTGAAGCTACTGTATTCTCCTTTCAGTTTATCACCCCTCCTACAGACACAAGGCCACGGAGGAAACACAGGAGGACAGTGTAAGTATGCTGGGTAGCCTGAAGGAGTCCGCTACTACCACTTCAACTTTCACGTGTGAAGATCTGGGTTAGAATTGATCTTCAGCAACCCATGCCTGTCATAAGAGGCAGCTAACAGGATCAGGTGGTCAGGCTTGCTGACTTGGTTAAGACATGTCATCATATCCCTTTTGCATAGATCAATGTTCATGTTGTTGATCACTGGATTATCTGGTCCAGATTTGATTATTTACAGGTCTGCCATATACTTGGAATATTGCTGAGTGCGGCATTAAACAACAGCCAACCATCATTCTATTTTGATGTTATTGTTTGAGGTTTCAAAGATGGAATTCAGTGGTATCAAATCAACAATAACGTACTTGATTAATAGGCCCTACTCTCATGCATGAGAGACTGAAAAATGTCATGTAAGGCATAGGGGTGAAACGGTATACCGCGGTATTAGTAGAACCACAGGTATACTGTAATGCAATCCAAACATTTGGCGTTTTCGAACTGTCATTTTATTAAACTTTTTAAACCTTTTCTAAATGTCCAAAAATCGAATCATTTTGTGAAAATCTTTGCATTTGTTTGCTTGACAGTTGCTATTTTCCTGGAAGTAAGTTCTCATATACCAAACCGAAACAGACAGAACCGAAGGCCTTGTACCACAATACATACCGCACCGTGGTAAGAGTGTACCGTTTCGCACATAGTAATACATCTGTATGTAGGTTCTGATAGCACAGACAGCAATCTCATTTCGCAACCTCACTAATCTCATTACTCTGATAGGTGAGGTCTGGTGATGATCTGATGACAAGGACAGTTATAATGAATGACTGGAATGTCCTGTTGTGTATGTGTAGGTCCAACAGCTCAACGTCCTCTGTGTCCTCGGTGTCCTCTTTGTCCAGCATGCACTCCGAGCTCATGTCCTCCAACCCTCTCCGCCGACTGCGATCAACACAAGTCATCAGGTACAGTTAAACTTCCAATCAGTCAGTCAAAGTTTATTTCTCAAAAAAACACCCACAGTGATACAAGAGAATAAAAACATACATATATGATACATTACATAAACAGACAAGAATGGTGATATCAGTAACATAAGTCATTTTAACAATATGTAAATATACTGATGGGCAAAAGGAACTTTCTGTTGCAAAATCTGTTATAATATTAACATAAGAAAATATAATCAAATGCAAATTGCCCCATAGTTATTTCCAACAACAAGAGTTCGATTCTGACGAACAGTAGTGCTCGAACGCACCTCTTTTCACAGATTCTTCAATCCTGACAGGTTTTTTTTGCAGATTAAACTTTGTATGTATAAAATATAGCCCATCCCACCGTCCTTGATGGTCAATTTTTGTGAAGGACGGTCTATTAAATAAGTAAGGCCATACTTTGGTCGAGGGAAATATTTGAAAAAATAAACTTGGTTTGTATTTCGTTTTAGCAATGATGTTCTTTCTCATTGTGAACCATTATCATTGATGCGACAGAGTTACTTCCCTTTGCCTGTTTACCAAACCAAGTTTTCAAGTTTTTTATTGATTTTGTTTTTGAGACTGGCTGTGTTTGTTTAGGGCTGGTCACTTTTTTGACAGTTAGTCCTTGGACAGGCCACATTTCAAAACTACTCTTCATTGCATAGACTTAAGATAGTCATTGTGCTAAGATAGCTTTAGGCGAGTAGGCTACAAGTGTTACATCACAACTCTTCTGTCTTTTAAATCAGATCATTTTAGGACATTACAACACCTCTCTGTGTGAAGGTTTGACCAGGGCTCCAGATAATTTTTCATGATCAGGAGTAGGTTATCCTTGTTTTATCCAATATAGGAATGCTGGAAAACAAAAAAGAGTACATTTAGAGTACTGAATGGAATTTAATGGAGTATCAGTAATCTTTTGTTTCGTTTCATATATGCACCACAACATTGCTAGTCTTGTGTAAACAGGTCAATAAACAATATAACAATACTTTCTCAGATAAATATGTCTGTAAAGATTCTAAGACTGTACACCCTTGCTGTGGTGCGTATCTGCTACGTTTTCTAAATTGTTTCCTACCGTATCATGCTTATTTTATATCCGTACATACGCCGATACTGCCCTTATCTGAAGCCCTGATGAAGAATGTGTTGTTTCTTGACCAATCAAATGTCAGTTTTCTGAAACAGTTTGGTGTCATTCCTTTGTCACCTCAAACTCTGATTGGCAGGTTAAAACTCATCTGTGATGATGTATGCAGTAAAAGATCTGTTTTTACACGTTTCTTCCCATCTGTGATATCAATCAGAACACCAATAGTCCCTACCAACCAATCACAATCCATAAAATTTATTAATACTATTTGGCATTAACTTGGAATGCACAAGATTACTTTGTCATAGGCATCTTTTGAATATATGTTTTACTAGTGCAGTACCTTATTAAGTTTCACGGGACAGTGGGGTAGCCCAGTGATTAAAACGTTTGCTCGTCACGCTGAAGACCCGGGTTCCATTCCTCACATGGGTACAATGTGTGAAGCCCATTTCTGGTGTCCCCCGCCGTGATATTGCTGGAATATTGCTAAAAGCGGCATAAAACCATACTCACTCACTATTTAGTGTTAAAACATACTGAGGTAAGCATTCAAATGTCAAAATATAGCTTACATAACAGATGTTCAGATCTTTCCTGATGTTACATCTGATGTCTGTGCATGCTGGTTCTGTAGTAGGATTGTTGCACTGTATTTGAAGCATATTGTAGATGCATGTGTTTGATGTGTATAACTGGTAACAATTCATCTCTGTTGGTGCTCAGGTCACCTGGCGGCACACCTGTCCGAGCACCGGCAGACAAGGAACACCTTGCTCACTCTGAACCTCTCCATAAAGCATTAATCTCGGTGATGAAGAGGAAGTTTCGAAACATCCGCACTCCAAGCCCTCAGTCTGCTGGACACAGCCGACTAAGCAGCCCCAACAGCACGTCAGCCTTCAGTCCGTCCCTGGTGTTTACACCCTGAAGTATTCATACTGTGTTAACAGTGCTACTTAAAGACAAGCTCAACAAACACAGGCTATTTATGCTTAGAACACCAAACAGGTTATGAAAAAGTTGATTATTACAGTAATTGTTGGTGTTGGTGTTTATAATTGTTTATATGTCATAGACAATGAAACTTAGGCTTAGGTAGGAAATGTTGTGGTTTCATGCAGTGTTCGAAATAGACATGGTCCTATAAGTATAAGCCCAAGGTTGACAGATTTGTTCAGTATCTGTTTTGTTCAGATAGTTTTAAATTTCAGCAGCCCCTTACGGCTAGCAGTATATTTTAAGCTGTGAACTTGGTAAATTAATCATAACCCTGAGGTTGCTTTGTAAAACAGGGTTCAGCTTCAAATTCATCCACTTTTTAATCAGTACTCTGCTCGTTAACCAGTCATACTAAGCAGGACGCGAAGGGGAGAAGTGTTACGCACTCTACAAAGTGCAGTTGGTGTCGTACTACTTACTGTTGATACCATTACTCAGGGGTGGAAATAACCCATTGCCCGACGCCCGAGCCCAGTGGTTTTTTCTGTCGGGCAAGCAAATTTGTAGATCACACTGTACCAGTGTCCAGTTGACTTTCCAATATTAATTATCTTGTTTATGTAAAAAATCAACAAGAAAACGGCCAGTATAGTGGAAAAATTATCAGGGCAAGTGATTTTACATATGCCACTGTACCGGAGTACACTAGCAATTTTAAAGTTATTTCCACCCCTGTTACTGTAAGACTGAACTATATGGTTTCAAGAAATCCTTAAAGATCAGCTTCCATGTAATGTCTTTTTGAAACATGATAAATATGTCAATGATGGTATCTAGATATCTTTTAACTTTAATAGTGTGATGTTTTGCAACATTGTGATAAGAATGAGAGTGTGCAAAATATTTAGAAGGAAAGCTTCATAATCATCACATTCATAGGACTGTGAGGTAACATCATCAATGCTTAACAGATTTGTATACCTTATATTTTCAGTGTAGTGTATTAGCCCTTGAAGTATTGATGATGATCTGGTAAAGGTGTCAGTATCTCCTGTGATACCTGCTTTGAAATTTGTACATAAGTGGAACATATTTGAAGAGTTCAAACAAATATGTTCCCATACAACATTTATTGAGATCAACTTGATGATATCCTAGTGACATAATGGCTGAAATACTGCCGGTGTGACTTCAAACCCTAACTATATGATATGTCTGAGTGAAAACTGACTGTGGAAAGTATTACACTATCATCCTAATCCTTGCTCATCACTTGTTTGTCCTGTTCCACATAAATCTTTATTTTTTTGTCTTTATGTCACTTTTGCAAGTGCGAATGTATAATTTTAAACTTATCCTATCTCTCGGTATGCACTTCTCTCTCTTGATTCGACACTGAGTGGAACGATGTAAACTTTTTTCCCTAGGCCTCTCTTGTCCATCCCCCCAAGCACTCCATGCTACCCTCATTATAAGACAGCTTCCTAGCTCTCATGCAAAGCATGCTGCATGCACCACTAGCTGCCCCCGTGACTATCACCGAATCGTCATTCTCTTTCTTGCCGCACACGAGTGTGGAAATATTTTGCTTTGTTCAACGTTTTCAACTTAGTCTACAACATGGGGAAAGTTGACCAGGTTTGCTATCCAGGAATTTTTCCGATGCTTCACTGAGTCCTGTTACTACAAACTACTCGTAACAGCGTTATGGTGTCATCATGGCCTGCTTTGTCATCTTCATCACCCTTCCCTTTACATCAGCAACCTTCTGGACAGATGGGTCAAGTGTCTGCGCATGGTACCAGTACTGATGTCTTGTCAAGTAGCTATCATCCTTTTGTCAGGATGTTACGGAGTTGTGCCTCGCACGGTTCACCGAAGACCCTGTTGTCCGGATTTTTGTCACTGTTGCATTGTGGGTACCATTTGCAAATGGCGGACTACCCCTTGTTTACCGGAGAATTATGATATTTGGAGAGAAGTACAATGACAGATCTGTCTAGGTCCTGCAAGCGGATAACAATCCCAGCCTTTTATTGCAAGTGACGATGAATAGTGCCATTCCCGGTAAGAGTGATTATGTCGGGATTCGTCAACCAGCCGAGAGAGACAGTTCACCGAGAGTTACTCGGCTTTCAACTTAAGCCCAAGCCCTCAGTTCAGAGGTCACTGCAGTTCTGCTCGCATGGTCCCCAGGCACCTATTTTACTGCCTTCATCTCCCAGACGAACCTTCCCTGACGTCGCCGGGCTTATTTACCTTCGTCATTACAGCAACTTTACGATTGTTTCGGTAGATCGATGATCTCCATGCGTTGAATCTACTAACTTTATCACTCCATCTGGCGGACCAATACTTCATTTGGCGAACCATCTTTCCTGAGATCACCAATTTAACGACCTTCATCACTCCATGCACAGTGTGAACGTTCCTGTAGATTGACTGACAGTGTCTATGCGCCGACTCTACTACATTCAGCACTTGGTCAGTGCTGCCATGGTAGCTTGACTATTTAAACGTTCCTATCTCAGGAGAGATATCCCTACATCAGTGACAAGTGTTGCTAGGTCTCCTTACTTCAGCACTAGCCTTCGCTTACAGAGGTCAACTTTAGGCGCTACTTCACCTTCGAAGCACAACAGGGTTTATTCGGACTTCTTCGCCAACTGCAGTTCATCACCATGCTGCTCCGGCAGTTAGGGTTACTATTGTACATTGTGGAATCGAAACTAACATCGATCCAGAGACCCCACGTCATCGATCCATTGTTTGACACCAGTCAAGGGATGATATTCACCCTTCAAGACAGGTGGAGGAAGATCTAGCGATGTGTTGCTCCAGTGCTATCTCAGTGGCAGGAGCTACTAGGCTTTCTGACATCAGATCAAGCCCTAACGTACAGAGTTCAGCTTCGGCCTTTACAGCACTTTTTGTGCCTGTACCATTAGGCCGACAATCTGAAGGAACTGATTCATCTTCCAGAACCCGTCATGCCGAAGACCCGGGTTCGAATCCCCACATGGGTATAATCTGTGAAGCCCATTTCTGGTGTTCATGCGTAAGACAGAAGCTGTTGACCACCAGCAAGATTCTACTGCTTTTGGTTGTGCACTAAGTCCTGACCAGCGAGAAGTTAGTTTGTTGACCTAAGAAGCCTGGCAGAGCCAAACCCAGTACCGCTTCCTGACCGGGGCAACCTGCTTTTTCACCCTCACCCGGAACTACGCCTCCGGTCCCCTCAGACCCTTAATCTACACTTGGCGCATCTCCAGAGATTACTCATTGCTAAGGCTACTCTCATCAAGTAGCCACAGCTATCACTTCAGTTCAATCGTAATTCGACCCGTTCTTTCTACGACGATAGTGGAAGAAGTTTGAAGGCTGTTGTAACATTAGGGAAATCCATCTCCCAATCTGCCTCTACTCAGGTCGTTTCTGCGTTCCTGCAGCATCTCTGTGCTACTAGGGAACTCAAGGGTACTACCTTAGCTACCTAACTGGCTGCTATCAACTCGGTTTTGGCTACTAACACAGGTACGAAGATCTCCACTCTTCCAGAATTGCAGAGTTTTCTTCACTTCTACAACTCACCGACCAGTTCAGGAAGTTCAGACTTCTGGCCTGGGAACTGTCCGTTGTCCTTTGTCATGTGATTCTACAGACTACAAACCACTGGAAGACAGGAACTTCGAGTGAAGTGACATTCTTCTACCTGGTAGCATGGCTACTGCTGCTCGTATATCTGAGCTTCACACGCTTGTTGTCAATCGCGTGCGGTTCGAGTGGAAGAAGCATGGCAAGGTTTTTTCCTGGGTCTACACTGGGACTTCATCGTGAAAAACCAACTGCCAGGGCATCCGGACCGGATGTTTACCATTCCCCTTTTGTCCATCTTTTGGCCTGATGATACTGAAGATTTGACACTCTGCCCTGTTAGGGCTCTACACCTTTACCTTCCTGCTTCCAAGGATCGTCGATGGCTACGAAAGTGCCGCTTCATACCCTTGTCGGCCACTTCAAGAGCTGAGGTTTCCCGAGCCACATTGGCTTTCTGAATGCGTGGCACGATCCTGTCAGCCTCCACTTTGCAGGGTTGCCGCCGCCAATCCTCATGAAACTCCTGCATTAGCCTCGACGATGGCCTTCCGTAGCAACTGCTCCTTGACTGCTCTCATGGAAGGTTGCTTCTGGCGTTCAGAGATAGTCTTCTCTTCACATTAACTGTGAGACTACACGAGTTCTGTCCTGGGACTACACTAGTTTGGACCTCAACAGCTTACATCAGCCCACCAACGCAGTTGAGGGACAGTTCCGCTTGCACGTTACTGCTTCTTTCTACATATGGAACAAAGTTGAACAGGATCTCAATCATTGTTCTCAAGTTATGGGTTTAAGAACTACTTCACATGGCTTCCTACCAAGGCATCGGAATACGGCAATGCAGAGGTGTTCGACATTCACGCTTACTGTCCTCTACTCCACGAAGCAATTACGTCAGTGAAGTGTGACACTCCCGAATTCCAGTGGATTTTGTTGCATTCCGACTCCGAAGGTGCCGTGCACATCCTTTGACTAAGCTTATGCAAAGGAGTGAGGGTCAATTTGATGCTGTCCCGGAACTGAACGTTAAAACTTGGAGTTCCCGAGTTGTGCTTCCCTTTCACCCGCCCCTGGTCAGTGTCTGTGGGGGTCTTCTCGAAGCAGGGGCAGGCCCGATTATTGTCAACCGACTTTAATTTACGGGGGTACCTTGAAAATTGTGGCAAAGTGACATCCTTTCTCGCTGAGCTGCATCCAAACTGCGTCAGAGGTTGCGGCCAAACACCACATCGCTCGGGAACACCCATCTCCCTGGGAGATGTTGTGCATCGCTATCTATGGTCATTTCCAGTCTACACAGTTCCTGCTGTTCATACCGTGAGATAGGATAAGTTTAAAAATTTGACAATTTTAATATAAATTTTATATTTATATACTTATCCTATCTCACGCGACGGATTTCCGCCCATCCTCCCAGCTGTGCATATTCTCCAAGATGGATATTATCCAGTGGCTTCAAGAATGAGAATGATGATTCAGAGATAGTCATGTTGGCAGCTAGTGGTGCATGCTGCATGCTTTGCATGAGAGCTAGGAAGCTGTCTTATAATGAGGGTAGCATGGAGTGCTTGGGGGGAAGGACAAGAGAGGCCTAGGGCAAAAAGTTTACATCATTCCACTCAGTGTCGAATCAAGAGAGAGAAGTGCATACCGTGAGATAGGATAAGTATATAAATATACAATATATATTAACATTTTCAATTTTGCACTGTCCACATTTTCCGTGCAGAGTTGCCTCCCACAAGTGTGCCAGGATATCAAACAAGCATGTTTTGATTGTTGTTTTTCTGTATCTCTTCTTTGTTCACGGATTTCAAATAAGTAAAAATGCTATCTTATTTCTTCCCACATTAAACATGCCATGGTGTAGATGAAACACTTTTCAAATC